TTGTGTAGCAGAACGCCCCCCCCCCAAACTTCCACCGTGGTCAGAACATCTTGCGCCCCCCTCTCAAATTTGAACATTCAGCCAACACAAGGTCATTTGGTCGGGCCAAGCTGGAAGTGCTCTTGAAGCAGAAAGCCTTCAAGCCCCGTGCTGATTCTGGAGGAAACAAACTTCAAGGAGAATCAGCACGGTCGTGCCAAACTCAGTCTTGTTTACCAGGGGCGGGTTGCCCGCATGGACTCTTGATGGACAAAGTCAGCAACTCCACAAGAACCCTTGAATGTGTGTTGCCACCACTCTTGAAGAGGTTCATAGACACGAGAAAAACATATCAATCCTGATTCTTGTTTCCCATGCAGGCTCTCCTTTGTGAAGGACCTCGACTCTGCGTGGAACGCCGCGCTTGCTGCCATGAAAGTGGATGGCTTTGCCCCAGAGGGCAAGTGAAGGGTAGGGCGCTTTGAAAGCCCCCGAACAAAACAATTGGTCCGCCAACAATGAACAAGTGTCTGTTGAACAAGTGTTTGTCCTTGATTCTGGGCTCTCAGCGATCCCGCAATTAGGTTACAAGAGAAGGTTCACATTGTCTCTGGCGCAGAAGGGCTGTGGCACAAACCATTTGTGAGTTGCACTCACGCAGAAACCCAGGCACTGTGTTCTGGTTTGTGCTGAGGCCCCTTGCCAGCTTTGAAGAAATCGTAGGGGCGACGGGGTGGCCACCTGCGCGGAAAAAAAGGGCTGAGTACCAGTACACCCTCCATTCCCCAACAGACCCCCTTGATTGAACCGTACCAGCTCAGGAATCAAATGGTGGTGCGGGTCATGGCCCAGATTCTGATGCTCCAGCTACTCCGTATTCCCTGGATATTGGAGCAGCCCAGCTCCAGCGTTATGGAGCACCACCCCATGTTTGCCTGGATTTGTTCCAAGTTCTGCGTCTATAGAGCTACTTGGCTGTAACTAGTGACACAACTGATGCGCAATCCGCAAACATGGAACGGCAGTTGTGCTAAGACGTTTCTATGGCTTGGAAGCTACGGGGGTGAAAGTGCCTGGTCCGCATTACGTGCAACACTCCATGCATATGCGTGACATGACCAGCTATGGAACATCTAAGGCCCCAAGGGCACACTGCTCTACAGTAACTATCAATTCATCGAAGAGTTGTTCATCCAACTCCCCTCCAACCCTTCCTGGACAGCGGACATGAGCAAAAAGCACCTTGGAAAATTTTGTGCACAGGTCCATCCAAAAGCAAACAGTCCAATGATGTGGCCATTCCTGTCTCAGGTATCGAGATGGTCAGGGGGTCTCGCGGGTTCAAGGAGGAGCAGACCTCAAGAAATCGCAGCACTATCCTGTCTTATTTGGGGCTGCAGTAGCTGAACTGTGGAACAAGCATCAGGACCAGTTTGGGGATTCGTGTTGGGAAGCAACACACGTTCGGCAAGCCTCGCACGTTCGGCAAGCCTTGCAAGGATGCCATCCTCAAGAAAGTCAAAGACCGTGAGGAGGAGCTCTTGGGGCTGACAGGACCACGGACGCCCTTGAAGGACTGTTCCAATGCTCTGGAAAAGGCTTCCAACCCAATAAGGGCAACGAGAGAATGTCAATGGATGTCAGTTGAACCTATGAAAGCAACTGAAAAATTCAAGTAAATGGGAACCTCGTTTTTGGCCAAAGCGGTGACCACACACTCAACTGTCCGGAGATAGGGCGTTCAATTTGGGTTGTCGTTTTTTCTGGAAAAAGAAGGAACCCATTTTCGAGAAATGGGACATTGCTTTCAGCCAAAGCGTTGACCGCGCGCTCAACTGTTCGGAGATAGGATGTTCAATGAAAAAGGGGGAACCCATTTTTGGCCAACACACCACACTCAGCTGTTCGAAGATAGGGCGTTCAATTTGGGTTGTCTTTTTTTCTGGAAAAAGGGGGAACCCATTTTCGAGAAATGGGACATTGCTTTCAGCCAAAGCGTTGACCGCGCACTCAACTGTTCGGAGATAGGATGTTCAATGAAAAAGGGGGAACCCATTTTTGGCCAACACTGTTCGAAAATAGGGTGTTCAGTTTGGGTTGTCTATTTTTCTTGAAAAAGGGGGAACCCATTTTCGGCCAACACACCTTAGGGAAATGGGACATTGTTTTCAACCAAAGCGTTTGCCGCACACTCAACTGTTCATTCCGACACTCCGAGCAAAATGTTCCCTGTTGCTGGCTCAGTATCTTTTGTGTGTGATGCTCGTGTCTGAGGATGGTGCCCCTGTGAAGCTCTGACAATCACAAACCCTTTTGCAAATCTCACCTCCAAGAAATTGCTCATCTCACCTCCAAGAAATTGCTCATTGACAGCAAGCAAACATCGTAGACCCCCAAGACCAAGGATATGTGACGACTGTAACAGGAGTGTCCCCAACAATGTTGGTGAAAGGATGTTACCATCTCCCACTCATATGGCGGAACCATCAAAGGGTATTCCAAACCATATCTGTGGGAGTTCACGGGTTTCACGGGTTTCACGGGCTCAAGGACCCGCGCACGTTGCCAGGACATTGGCTGGGAGAAGAAGGGCGGCCTGCGCACGGTGATCGACAGGCTTTCTTCTTGGTAGGCCTCTTCTTTCTAATTCAATGGCTGCCCATCACATAAATAAGGGCACACATAGACCTAATTCAAGGACATGAGAGGGCACCTTCTTTTGGGGAGCACTTGGAACCTTGTAGAGATAGCTTGTTGACTGTTCTTAGCCCTTCAAACCAGGAAATGATGGGAGCCGCTGCCAATTCAAGACTCCAAGCTTCCAGACCTAGTGCTATGCCACCTTTGGACCATTTTTGAAACATTTTGCACAACCCGTGAAACCGTGAAAAAACCGTGAAAACCCCGTGAAAACCCGTGAATTTTCATGGGTCTGGAGGCTGACCAGATTTAGTGTCTTGGAGGGCTAGGGTGCCCGGAAAGCACGATGTGTGATCAGTGAAAACAGTGCCTTGTGAAGGAGTGTGGCTTGTTGTGCTCTCGGAAAGCGTGGTATGACTGGCCTGTGCTGCCAGATTGCATCATTAGTTGCATGTGTGTGCGTGTTTCTTGGTCAAATCTAGAGAGTTCTGAAAGTTTAGTAGGGTTGCCCACATGCCGCCCCAGCCAGCTGTGCGCCACCGGGCAAAGTCCCCTCAAACAAGGGGGAGGAGCCCAGACCCAAAGAAGCTCCGGCAGGCTGCACAGTCTGCTGACAGTGGCAGTGAGACCGCTTCACGTGCTGTCACTTTTGGAAAGAACACTGTGCACCCCATCAAGGCTGAGAACCCCCCTGGCCATTTGGGAAAAACAAAACCAATGGGTGCAGCTGAAGCAGAAGATGTGCTTCGATCACTATTGAAGGACTTGGGTTTGTTGATGACTTTGATTGGCAGCCAAACCCCTTTTGTGGGAAACACGTTGTTGGAACGCTCTGATGCTAACCCAACCCCTGCCAGGAGTCAGCGGGAACAACGGCGTCCGAAAGCGAGGCCAACGAAACAGATGCAGCTGACGAGTCTTCCAGTGAAAACGCGCCCTCGGATGAGACACCTGCTACCAGCAAAGGCATACTCAAGAACAGGGAGAGCCCTGACGGCGAAGACTCGAAGGCCCTTGCCCTTAGAAAAAAATGGTGGGGTCAGTTTGTGTCTAGAAGAACCATGTGTCGTGGAGTTCGAGGGGCTGCCCGCAAACGAAGAAACACAAAGGAGAACACACCTGAGGCCATCGCCTCTAGAAAACAATGGTGGAGTCGCTTTATTCGCCCCTCCCGCACAGCTTGCCAGGCGGCTCAACAAGAAACCAACCCTGCAGAAAGCTATGATGATTCAACTGGGGAACAGGAGGAGTTGCAGACAAGCGATGATGAATCCAGCGAGGAACCAGCAGCAAAGGAAAACACGAAGCAGCACAAAGCAACCTCCAAGAAAGCCAGGAGCCGCATCGAGAAACCCAAGAAGGACACCAAGCGTTCGAGCGAGCGCAGCAAAGACACTGAAGACACACAGCAGCTAAAGAAGGAAGAGAAGGAGACCAGCGCACGCAGCAAAGAGGATGCCATCAGCAACGCAAAGCGTGACAAGAAAGCACTGAAGCCAAAGAAAGCAGCAGAGCAAGCTGACACAGAGCGCAAAGAGAAAGTGCGGCAGCAGAACAAGGCAGCTGAGAATCAGCAGACCGACGAGAGCAGCAAACCGACTCATCAAGCCAAGCAAGCAAAACAACGAGAGCAGGATGCTAAGGAGCATAAGGCAGGCGCAGCAGCGGCAACAGCAAAGACAAGCAACAAAGGTAAGCGAGACAACACTGACAAAGCACCCAGCAAGACAGACAACCTTGGCGACACAACAAAAGCAGCAGCTGATGAGAAATCTGAGCAAAAGGAGGCGTTGTCAAAGCCAAAGCCCGACAGCAAAAGTGAGCAGGATGCTAAGGAGCATAAGGCAGGAGCAGCAGCGGCAACAGCAAAAAAAAACAACAAAGGTAAGCGAGACAACACTGACAAAGCACCCAGCAAGACAGACAACCGTGGCGACACAACAAAAGCAGCAGCTGAGCAGAAGGAGGCGTTGTCAAAGCCAAAGCCCGACAGCAAAAGTAAGTCAGTTGACCATGGCAAGACCAGCAAGAAGACGGTGCAAGGGAAAGCCAAGCCTGAGGAAAACACAAAGAAGCACAGCAAGTCGCAGAGCAGGCAAGATAGCAAGACAGGCAAATTAAAGCAAGACCAAGATCAGATGCAAGACGCTTCGCAGCAGCCAACAAAGAAAGCTAGGCGTGACAGGAAAGACAAGGATGAGGCAGGCAGCTGTGCAGAGGAAGCAGCATCGCCGGCCAAGAGCCAGAAGGCAACAGCAACCGATACAAAACATGACATCGACGATAAGAAGCAGCAACCCAAGCGACGCAGGAAGAGCAACGACAAGGAGCAGGTCAGCAAGAAAGCAAAGCAACAAGACACTTCCAGCGAGACAGAGCACATGGAAGACGAGGAAGAAGAGGAGGAGGAAGACTTGGAAGAAGAGGAGGAGGAAGAGGACCAGCAGAACGAAGAGCAGGAGGAGGAGGACAAAGACCAGGGTGAGAATGATGAGACAGACAGTGAGTCTGGAAGTGAAGATGGTGAGGGTGAAGGTGAGGAGGCTGAAGGTGATCAGCGTGAAGGTGATCAGGATGAAGGTGACCAGGGTGAAAAAGATGATCCGGATTCGGATGAAAGCGAGCAGGATGAAGGTGATATGGATGAGTCTGATCAGGACGATGCTGATCAGGATGAGGATGATCGCACCAACGCTGCCAGCAAAAGCAAAAGCAAGAACAAAAGCAAAAGCAGAAGCGACAGCAACAAGAAGGACAAGGGCAAGGCACTTCGGGGTGCTGAAAAGCATTTGAAGAGAAACTCAAGCACGCATCGCAAAGAGTACATGGCGTTCGGCAGATGGTGCAAAAACAAGCGCCGATTTCCATCGAAGTTGGTCGCAGAGCTCAAGTCGGAGGACTGTTTCTGCATGATTTATCAAATTCATAACTGCTCGAACCACCCTACTTTTGGGATTGGGATTGATTAGAACTCTTTTTTTGAGGGGCTGCAAGTTTGTTTGAAACACTTGTCCCAGCCAGGATGGGCGAGACCGCCTGTTCCAGGAGTATCTCGATTGCGGTGGAGACACGAACGAAGTCGTGGTCAGGGCTTCCCGCCGACTAGAGGAAACCCAGAGGACAAAATTGAAGTATGGGTTTAGGAACCAGCAATGGCTAAACACCCATCACGGGGAAAAGCGCGCCCAGAAAATCATGCAGAGGAAGAAGGCCTTGGGGCTGACACTTGGCTGATCCATTGAACCCTGACTGCCCGGCCTCTCTGCTTTTGATGTTTCCAGCACCGGCAAAGCACCTCGCGCCAAGGACCATAGGGGACCCAGAGTTCCCTGATGATCCTGAAGAACGACTGTACTTTGTGATGGTTGAGCTGAACATTGAAGATGTTAGGGAGTTGAAACGGGTGACCGAGATGGAGCTATCTGGAACCCTGGACAAAGATGGCGTCAAAGCCTTTGTTGAGGCAGGGTTGGGGCATAGGGCATCGACTCAAGGCTTCCAAAACTTGTTTTGATTGAAACAAAATTGCAGCGCAAGGGTGGCGGCTGCCTGGACGGCAAGTCCCACCTGGCGATTGGCGACATGGTCAGCGCGGGCGGGATGAACAAGTTGATGGCGAGCATGGGCGGGCCTGTCAAGAAGCCGAAAAAGATGGGCGAGAACAAAGGAGGGCCAAAGCCTGACCAAACCTCGCAGGCCAGCCACAAGAGAGAAAGCGACTCAATGTGTAGATGAGTATGGTTGAGTAAAACATTGGTCTTGACCCAAAATGGTTTGAGCCAACACAAAATATTGTCTTTTTGCTTTGAGCCAACGACAGGGGGAACGACTTACTTGGACAAAGCTGGTTAAAATCTTTGGTCACCTTTCGAGTGAAGCAGCCACACATTGGTTACCGTGATTCTGAACCAGGGAGCGCCCACAAAAAATCACTCAGTAGTGAACATATTTGAGTTGAATGTTTGAAACCTTTGGGGATTGCTTGCCATCTCTTTACAATCCTATTCTTCGCCTGCGCTTTGTTTCAACAACTTGTTGATCCGTTTGCCCATCTGGGTAACGCAACATGTTTGAGGTGAAGCCTCAGACCGCGATCGAGAAGGCCCAAATACTAGTGAATAAGGTGCTCAAAGATGCCAATCTGTGCCGCGATACAGCATTCAAATTGAAGCCCCTCAAAATGTCGGGCGAGCTGACCAAACAGCTCACTGCATGTGCGGTCAAGTTCCAAGAGCAGGCAGAAGTTCTTCAAAAGAAGATTTTGCACAAGAACGATCAGAACTCTCAGTACGCGGGTGTCATTTCCCAAGTTGACTCCCTTTCACAAGTCGCAAAAGATCGACTTGAGATTGCGAAAGCATTGTTGCGAGCGTCCGAGAAATCGGCCAAGCCTCCCAAAGCAGCTGCCAAGGCGAAGGCCTCGGCAGCGCCGGAGAGCAAGTCTCCGAAGTCGGTGTAGGGGTTTGTGGCATCTTGTCAAAGTGCCAGTGGCTTTGAAATTGTTTCTCAACAACTTACTCAAACACTAGCTGGTCCCACTCATGTGTTGAGCATGGCATTTAGACAAGCCCTGCTACTGGGGTGTTGAACTTTAGTTGAGCGGGACAGCCCGCTGGCAAGTGAGGGGAGTCTTGGATCGGAAAAAAATGAAGCCTGGCTTGAGGGTTCAACCTGCGGAGCAACCTTCATGGCTGACAGTGTTTGTAGCACTCCCCCGCCCCCGCAGGTCAAGATCAAGGTCCCCGCCCGCTCCATCCAGGCAGCTCGCAAACATCAGAGCCTCGGACAGATTTGGAGTCATTGAGGATGGCCGCTGTGTGTGGGGGGGGGGGGTGTCAGCCCTTTAAGGTGTGGTGACCAACGCATCCGAGAGCGCCAAACGGATTCTTCGAAAAATATGCTCTGGGGTTTGGGCCTCAACGAGATTCTGTCGGGCATCATTTCAAACAATCTCTTTTTCACATTGGTCACCTCTGTGAGGCAACATCAGCTGCCGATGGGTGCAGGGATGCTGCAACGCTTCTTCGTGATGGTTCCCAATGCAAGCTCGCTCAGTTGCTGGCTAGCTGGTCTGGTGGACATGAGGAGCGATCCTTTGCTCGGAATCTGGGCAATGTAGCCTTCCCTTGTGTAAATCCGTTTTATAAACCTTGCACTCAAAAGCACAATGCTCTTTTCAATTCTTGATCTGAACTCAGGTGGAGCGCGAAAATTGCCGACTTCGAGCCCGACATGGTTCCTATACCCAGCAAAGTCGAACAACCCGATTTTGACTACGTAGAAGGGGTGCGGGAAACAGCTATAATCTGGCCTTGGGATTTGTTGCACTACTTGTGGGAGCAGCGACTTTTCTTCCAATGGGTGGCTGATGAGTGCGTCGCTGAAAACAATTCAGAAGTGGCGCAAACAGCCGTAGCCACTTATTGGGACCATGTTCGGAATGAACCCTTTTTTGCACAACACGAGTTCCAGAACAATGAGACCGCCACATGCGTCCCCCTCTTCTTTCACACGGATGGAGTTAAGATATACAAAGCTCAGAAGGCATGGATCTACAGCTATTGCAGCGCCTGTAGAAAAGGCCCTTCGCTTCAAACAAAGATGGTGTCCATTTTGGTCAGGGAAGCCCTGCTTATAAAAGACACGACCCATGACAGTATTGGGCGGCTACATGGCTACATGATGGATGTTCTCCGAACTGGAAAGTTTCCGGACAAGGACTCGTCTGGCCAGCCGTGGCCAGCAGGTTCAACACAAGCCCGCCGTGCGGGGTCTCATTTTGCTGGCGGTTGGACATGCGCGTTTGCTGGTTTCAAATCTGATTGGGAAGCGAAGGCAATTGTGCACAAGATGCTGCGGCACTACAGCTGTGTTTACATTTGTGAGCATTGCCCTGCTGCAAGAAACCACATCTTCAGCTTCGGAAATTTTCGCCTAGACGCTCCTCACCGGTCGGTTCGGTTTTCCCATGAGCAGTTTCAAGCGTTGAACCCCCCTCGCAACATCTCAAGCTGGACCACTGTGAAAGGGTGGACAAAGGACCGCAACCTTGACGACCCTCGACCTGGCAATTTGTAAATTGTTTCTTTGGGCTTTCCTAACCTATGTGTTAATCAGCTAGCAAGGTAATTGGGAAAGTAAGGACATCCTACACGTCCTACATCAGGGAGTTGCTTCAGTGGCCATTGCCAGCCTGGTGTGCGACCATTTGGAGAGCACAAACCCTGCCCTAACACTCAAGGAATTGGACAGTTTGTTGGCCCATCAAGCTTTTCCGCACTACAGGGAATGGGGACGTCAAAGCCTTGCAGCCTCAGCGTTCTCACACAGGTTTGACGCCAGGAGATTCAACCGGGAGTCTTGGAAGGCTCTTCCTGAATTGGGCTCCGTATACAAAGCTTCGGTTGTGAAGGGGCTCATCTATTGGGCAGCTGCCTTTCTTCAAGAACAAGCGGACCAATCCCTGGATGGCAACGCAGGCCTACGTGCGTATTGCGCTTTTTACTTGGCCCAGTTTCAAAGGATGGTGGACACAAGGCCTGCCTGGCTCAACAAGGAGGATGCACTTGCCATAGAGAGGTATGTCAATTCCTTCTTGCTTGCTTACCAAAAGCTTGCTGGCTTGACTTTGAAGCGGCCCGACCATCGTCGAAACTACAAGATTACTCCAAAATTCCATAGCTTCATGCACATGGGGGAATACAGCGCCAGAACGCAAAGGAACGTGAGGTGTCTTGGTTTCCACGGGCGCATTTTCGTATTTCTCGTTTCAAGCAAACCCTTGACACAAAAGGCGGTGTCCCATGTCTCAAGCTGCCAAAATAAACGCTCAAAACCATTCTGCCCTGACCCAGGTTTGAGCACACATATTCCGATGAGGATCTGATGAAAGAGATTGGCAAGATTTGTTCCAGATGCCACCCTGCAACTATGGAAATCACAACCCTGAGAAGATACCGCTCCCTCATCACACTTACTGGCATTTTGCAGTAAGGCCCCCAGTGCTGCCAAGCAGCATGCGCGCAACGGCAAACGCCGGCCCGGGCGTGAGGAAAACAAAGCGTTTTAAAGGTCTGTCAGGTTTTCTTTCATGTTGGCTTCGGCTTGGTGCACAGGCCAGTTTGATTCCCAAAACTCCATCCACGGGGTGCGCCCGTGTTATTTTTGTGGAAGGGAGCGGCCGTCGAGTAAGCCGAGCGAGCGGTCAGTCAAAAACACAAGTTCAGCTTTCTGCGTCCCACGTCCCTTTGGCCATTTGGAGTTGGAAACCTTTTACTGCGACCCACGCCCCTTCTTGGTTTGGTGTCAGTTTCGCACGGGGCCAATTCAAACATTTGGATATTTGGAAACCCTGTACTGCGACCCACGCCCCTTTTTGATTGGTGTCAGCCTCTCACAAAGCCAATTCAAACATGTGGATTTGCAAAACCTAAGCCTTTTACGGAGTAGCCGCCCTTGAATGCATTCAAACTCAAAGTTTCTTGAGCTCCAGATCTTTGATGCTACATGGATGTAGAAGGTTGCCTGTTGTTTTTGTTTTCTTTGGGGGCGTCTTAGGGGGGAGGGGGGTTCTCTGTTTTACACAGTAAAGAGTGTGTAAAAGAGCCATTGCTGCTGCGCTTACAGGATTGACGAGAGAACATCATATAGCCATGGCGCACGCAGTATGGTTGACACATACCCCGCTGGCTGGGGTTGTCAGGCCCCGAACCCTGCGTACTAAATATGGCTTGCAAGCTCGCCGACAACGGCAATTGTCATGCCCCCGACATGAAGGCTTAAGTTTTAAGCCTTCGTGTTCCACGGCTCCCGAAGGCTCACTTGATAAGCCTTTGGGCTGTCTAGGTTGGCTACAACCACATTCCTGGAGGCTTGCTTCTCAGTCCACTTTTTGGCCCCAAGCTTCTCAGCGCTGTCATGTTTGACTACCTTCACGTCTATCTTGTCCACGGAATTGCAAACACTCAGTGTGGGCTGTTACTCAGGGTTTTAGCCAAATCAGACTGGCCCACAGGGCAAGTCAACAATTTCCTCAACTCCTTCGAGTGGCCTGCCCAGCTCAGGGGTGCCAAGCCGTGCAACATTTTTTCGAAGCGGGAATCCAGAAGCGAGCCAGCAAAGTGCTCTGCTTCAGAGCTCCTCAACATCTTGCCGCTGTTACGCGTGTACATTTTGCTCTTTGTCGCGCCGACAGCGGTGGGAGAGGTGCAGAAAGCATGCCGGTCCTTCTTGCTACTTTGCACGGTGATGGACTTCCTATGCAAGATAGGCCGCGGGGAGCCAGTGAGCAGCAATGACCTGGCCAAGGCCATCCACGAACATTCCAGCGCATTTTTGGACACATGAATCAAGGAGCACTGGGTTCCCAAGAACCACATGGCCTTGCATTTGCCTTTGTTTTTGGAAAGGCATGGCACGTTGCATTCGTGCTTTGTACACGAGCGCAAGCATAAGCTCCTGAACTGCTTTGCAAACCAATTGACAGACACTAGCAAAGCCTTTGAAACCAGCTTGCTCAGTGATGTCCTGCACACACAGTTGCCAGCGCTGGATGACCCTGCAGAGTTGCCACTTGCAAGGCCATGTATTCTGGTGAAGCCTCGTGCTGCGTCCAAATCGCTCCAGCGCTTGCTACTGGAGCTTGGGTTCCAAGATCCAGTCACGACAGCGAGCGAGGTAGCCATGCAAACTGGGTTTCGTGTGCGGGTGCGAGACGTGGTGCAAGTCCATGTGGATGGGGACTGCGTGTGGCGGAGGTTTGCTGGCACGCGCAATCAGGCCAGCGCTTGTTGACGTGTCTAAACCCATGGGTGCACATTTCAAACTTCATGCACAAAGTGTGTGATGATCCCGTGCTGGTGGAGAGCCACACCATTGTTAGCTTGTGCGTTTGGTCCCGCAAAGGGACGGATGCTATCGTCGCGCCGAGGTAAAATAAGCACTTTCCATGCACGGTTTGTCTGCGAGCGAGCATGACAATGCCCTGCCCGCGGCGCAAGTCGGTCAACACTTATTTGCCTGCGAGTGAGCGTCGCACTGCCCTGCCCCTGGCACTTGAGGGGCGAACGTGTCAGCCTGACCATTGATAACTTCTTGCCACAAACAGTTTACCGCAGATACATAACTATCTTTGTTCAGTTGGGGAACTGACGCAAAACCTGTTACCTATCTGGTGCAACTGCACCCCGCTAACCTTGCTAAGCCTGCCATAAGTTTTGCAACTGAAAAGCAACCAACGCAAACAAATAGTAAGCACCACGAGCCTCCAAGTATGTGTTGCTTTCCATGCCTGAGTATCGGTCCGCCCTCAAGACGAGGTGCATCCGACGTCCCGGCAAATTCGCCATCGAAGTCTTCACCATGCGACCTGATAAGATCTGCAGGGGGGAGATTCAAATTGGCTTGGAAGGCGCAAAGGTGCCATTCCTGAAGTTGCCGAGCCCTAACAACGAGGGCGAGTTTTACGTCGACGAACGCGTCGCATACATGGACAGGCGCCATGTTGTCGTGGCGATTGACCTGAAATGGTTGGCAATTGAGGGTGCCGCAAGCATATACAAAACCCAACGCGGTTTCATTGCTGTGCGTGAGGAAATTCAAGCACCTTTCTGGCGTGCATGTTACTTGCACCAGGAGGGGGATGTTATATACATCCGACCTTGGGCGATCCGGGCCCTGAATGCCCCGGGTCCGCTGAGGGGAGTCATTCGCGTGGGACAATGTATGGCACCATTCTATGCAATGGTTGCCATTTGCCCATATTCTGTCGGGAATGGGTGCCTGGTACCTCTCGCTCCAAGACTAGGTGTGGGCAGCCGACGTGGTTGGACAGACTCAAAGCAGTCATGCCCAACAGCTGGTACTATGGGGAGACGAGTGTGTGGGCTCCTCTAATGGCATCGGTAAATCCGATCCGTGAGTGCATGATCTCCGGTCTGCGATGTGCGCCATACCTCGTACACAATCCCAATGCGGGTACTGTACAGGTCGCATTTCGGGAGGTTGAGAACGTCACCTCAATGAACACTCACTCGTGTGTGAGAGCGAGTGATGAAGCACTTGAGCGATGGGTGGCGAAGCAACTGCTCATCGAGGAAAGTGAGTCTGGAATCCCAGTTCCTGAGGGATTGACAGTGCTCGCATATTTGATCAACAACCCGCAACACGCGGCGCAGTGGGGACGCCACATAACGAGGAAGGGCAGTCTAAATTCAGCCTTTGCCTTTTACCTTTCTGTATATATGTACGACGCGCACCGCATCGCAGTCGAGGATGGGTATCTCGTTCCACTCTATGGCCTAAGCGTCTCGTGAGGACGTGGTCATGTCAGTGGTCCAAGCCGAGCGACGCCTCGTGGATTTCACTGACGAAGATCCTGATTTTGACATCACCGAGACTCTCAGGCTGAGCATAGAGTCCCTGAGAACCGGTGGTGGGTCGATCACGGCCCCAATCGAGTATGCTGAGGCATACATTTATACCGATCAAAACAAGGTCGACATGGTTCCCGCTGCACAGCGTGACGGCCAAAGCGTCATTGTTTTTGCAGAACCGCCATCTGGTAAACACCACAAACGGGCGGCGACACCTCGGGGTGATCACCGTTCGGCTTCAATGCGACCGGATCAGAAGGGAAAGGGCAATGCCCCTGCGAACCACTGGCCCAAAGGCGAGGGTCACAAAGGGGACCCATATGCAAATAAGGGTCACAAGGGTGACCAATCCAAGGGTCAAAAGGGTGACCAACACAAAGGTAAGGGCGGCCTATACGGCCATCAGTACGGACAATACGGTCGTGGCGGATCCGCCCGGTCCAGGACGCCAACCGGCGGGCATCAACCCGGCGCACAAGCTGCCCCTGTTCCGTATCCGAGTCCGATGTATCCCGCATTCCCGATGGGAGGCTTCATGCATGATGCCGCAAATGTGGCCTGGCGCAATGCCGCAGGGGTGGTCGCAGTATCCGCAGGAGAGTCCCGGCGGATACATGAATCCAAATTCGCCTCACACTCCGACTTGGGGTGATGATGACGAGTTGGCCGAAACCGAGCCTTCTCCTCCTCCCCCCGGGGACTGGAATGTTGAGAAGGGAAAGGGACGGCGCGGCGGTGGACGGGGTAAGTGATACCTGATCGTGTTCCACAAGTGCTATGAATGCGCACTTGCAGTTTAATGTGGTTTTAAATTGAATCAATGCACGATGAAACCTACAGGACAACGCTCCTGGTGTCGATCCACCATTTCGGTTAATCACCGACTTATAATTCAGTTGCACGTATGACTGTGCGCTAATCGCGCCAGTCACATTGTCCTGCCAGGTACATCTTGTCACGGCAAGGCAGTCACCCTCGCCGGCATCTATGGCTGCTGGCGATCAACATCCTTCCGCACCGCTGATGCAGCTGGCGAAGGATCTCATCGAGCTGCAGGGGTGCCGATCACGTTTGTGCTGCACCGCTGCCGGCGGGGTCCTACTCGGACCTGAACCGCTGAGTGCTGTTGGTGGTGCTCCCGTCGGTTATCATCGAGTGAGCGCGCGCCTAGACGGTGCTTTTCAAGGCCAGAGCATTATGGTCAACGCACCACGTTTCAACCAGCTGGCCAAAGCGCCTGATTAATGAATTCAAAACCACATCCACATGAGTCTCATGATTCATTGCGGTTGCATTGCAAATGCCGTTTTATTTCATGCCTGCCATATTGGAGTTGAATCTTTGTTCTTCGTTCTTCTTTTGCCCTTTCCTGTTTGATTTGGCTACCGGCGAGAATCCGCCCCATACCCGTAATTCGGGGTGGTGGCGGGATCCAGGCTCCAATGTGAGCCCGGGTATGGGGTCGCGAACCCTGGTAGCCTAATCTCCTGTTTTTCTTGTTTGTTGCTAATCAACTTCAACATGGCCAATGCGCCTTTCCAAATTCACTCCATCTCTTTGTGCAGTCGAGGGGGGTGTTTTTGGGGGCATGTACTTTTATCACAACATGCTTATACTATGCCATTGCCCAACGCGGCATTTGGCTCAAGTTTTCATCACGGCGAACTGCACTGCCATAGCGTCATTGGCAGCCTGCGGCGACGCTACCCATCCCGCACCTGAAAAAGGGCGGGCTGGGCTTCGCGGCGGTAGGCACGTCCTTTGGTTGTGGGTCGGTTGTTTGTTCGGTGGTGTGCGCTTTGTTTTGCTTCTGCACGCTTGCTCGCTTTGCTCGCTTGGTGCTGTTTGCTGCTGGTTTGCTTGCCTGCTCTGCGCTGTGCTGCGCTTCTGCTTGGTTTCTTCTTGTTACAACGAGGCACCCCTTTTGGTTCGTGTTGGTGCCGGCCGGGGGCAACTGCTTTGCCTTGGTTAGGGCCTGTTTTATCCATCCCGAAACTCTGTTTCAAACCCTTTCGCGATATATATATATACACATTATGTGCATGTAGTGCACATATGTAACTCTTGTTTTGAGACAACCCCATACACAGGCACATGCCATTTGAACTTCTGAAACATGCCCACAACTCACAGGAATTCCCTCGCCGTGTGTCAGGGTGGATCCGCCGGCGGGTACTACGAGACCGTGGATGGCGTGAAGCTCCCTGGACGAGATCGGAGGAGCTTCCTCATGGAAGTGTTTTTTGCTTGAGGGGGGTTGCTTGGGCTCCCTAAAGCAAAAAGTTGGGAGTTGCTTCTCCCAAAAAGTCCTGTCCAGTGCCGCAAAAAGCTTCAGAAGTTGTTGCTTTGGGAGGGCGCTCCCTTTTTTTGCAGGGAGTTGCTGATAGGTGCTGTCTCCATGGGAATCCAACAATCATGGTAATAGGTGGTTGCTTCCCGTGGAACCAAAAATCCAAGTGCCCACTTGTCCCATTTGGGGGTTTGTGTCTTTTGGGCTTCTGGGGAAAAAGGGAAACACGCTGTCCCCAAAAAGATTACTCCCTATACGGATTAACATGGACCCACAAAACACGTAGAGGAGCTCCTTTTGGGAACCTTCCCAGTTGGGAGAAAAAACAAAGTGGGAGTGAGTGAAGAGCCCTGGACCCGTCCAAAATACCCGGTTTGGTTCAGAAGTAAGGGGTTTTCTGCGGGCTAGGTGAAACCTGAATGAGGCTCAATCAAGGGGTGGCAGTACATACCCCTTGGCTTCCCTGGTTTCCAACCACTGATTATAATGGGTATATACCCCTTTTGGGGAGAGGGGTATGAACATCAGCAGGCCTTTTGGGTATATTTGTCCAAGGGGTATGTAAAACGGTATGTACAAGCTCCCGGGGACTCAAGTGTTTTTTTTTTGCGTTGGAGTCTAGTCCGGAGGTCTCATCTTTGCGACAAGTAGAGGTTTAATGGTTGGAGTGCGGTCACGGACCACCCCCTTAGATATGGAAATGGGGGAGGTATTTTGTTTCATCTCTCTGTTGGTCTCAGTCGCCATTTACCTAGATGCCATAGTTTCACTTGAGCCGCAATCAAAGCCCGCGTAGATGAAGCCTAGTAAGTGGGTGCCTTGTTCGCCTTTTTGAATTCGTTACATGGTTCTGGGTTGACCATGTTACCAGATTTTCATTGTGACTCACTTAGCGAGTCATAATCAAAACCCGGCAATCAAATGGTCGACCCGTTAATCACAGCAACCAAAATTTTTGTTTCACTTCATCGGACACCGTTGCTCGTCTCTCGCCTCTCGACTGACCGGAGACCCACGGCCCGTGGAGCTTCCAAGGTGCGACCACGAGATCCTGGAGCTCTGCCGCAAGGCCGTGGCCGGCGCCGGGGACGGCCGCGTCTCCAAGGATGGGCCGACGCGTGTCTTGCGGCAGCGGTTGCGGCGGGCGACTGGCGGGCGACTGGCGATATGAGCCACAGTCAAGTCCGGGTAGATGAAGGCTAGTAAGGGACAATCCCAGCCATCAAAATAGCTGCGGCCGCCTTCTTATTTCTTTACATGGTTCTGGGTAGACCATTTTAATACCAGTTTTTGACCATGACTCACATGGTCTCCGGGAAAAAGCTCTGGGCATGGTCTCAGAGCGCGCGTTTACTAGGTCCCCCCAGTAGTGCCCGCTCTTTTACCTCTTTTTTGGTTGGGAGGGCTCCCTACTAAAATAGACTAAAGGAAAAAAGGGTACCCTTATTCTAACCTCTCTACTGGAGCAATTTACGTGTGGAGAAGTGGGGCACAAATTGCAGGGGTTGGAAGCATTGCCATCAACCAGTCACTCCCTGAGTTCATGGACTGTAGGCACTTTTTGGGTTTCACCTAGGGAAGTGAGACAAACTGGGATTCCACCTAGGGTTGTAAGGCGAGCTTGCCCTTCTTTACCGCCTTAGTTTCACTTGAGCCACTAGCAATCAAAACCCGGGTAGAGGGATAGGGACAGTCCCCTTGCTGGGTGCGGATATCCGCCTTCTGAATTCTTGAAGCATTGCAGCATGGTTCTGCGTAGCCCAATTCAATGCCGATCGGTTTTGATTGTGACTCATTTGGGTTTGTCTCAAAATAGGGGAACCCTCGAAAAAGAAATGTGGTTCCATTTGGTTTCTTTTTAAACCCAACCGAAAACAGGGCTCCTTAAAAGATACAGTTTGCCCATTTTAAACATTGCTTTTTCCACCAAAATACAGGGAAACAACACCATTTACAAGGCAATGTTCAAGTGTATAATGTAAGGATCCCCGAAAAATGCTTTTGGTTTCTTTTTAACCCCAACCAAAAAGGGGTTCCCTAAAAAGACACCCGTTTTGGGAGGTACAGGTACAGCTGCTTGTCCACACGGCTCGGACAGCTGGACCTCAGCTAGTGCTGGGTTTAGGATGGCCCTGGGTGGGTTGCGGGAGGTCTGGGGCGGGTGGGGGGGGGGGAGCACCAACCACGAAAAGTACCCAACGATCGCTGATGTGGGTTGTTCGTCAATTTGAGGGACCCCCCCAAGAAAAACATGAGTCCGGCGTTTCTTTTGGGTTAACTTGAAATCAGCCTTGAGAAGGGTGCCCTGAAGACAAAACTTAAGAAAGTGCATGTGCTCTTTTGCGCAGGACGACGCCAAGGGCATTTTGGACGCTGCTCTGGATGCTGGCAAGGCGGGCATGTCGGGCTTCCATGGCAAGGCCCCGTTTGTGTCCCGTACTCTTTGACAACCGAAAATAAGTCTAAGAGCGGCAGTGCACCCCCTGGCTTTCTGGATACTTACTCACTTTAGAGTAGGTTCACGCATGTACCCCTGGGGAGATGGTGTGAACTACAGCAAGCCTTAAAAGTGTTCATTTTCCAAACATAGATGCCAGAGGGGAATGTACGACCCCCCACAAACGTTGCAAAGGGCTGGTATTCCGACAATCTGACTTGGTGGCTCTTTGACCGTTGACTTGTCTGGAAAACGTTAAACGAAAAAAACCACAAACACGCCAGATGACATACGGGTGTGGTTTTGCTTCGAGGACCCCCAACAATGATAAACGCCATGTGGTTTTCCTGTTGATGTCCCTAAGCCGCAAAGCAAGTTGATTCCTTTACCACCAAAACCTTGGTGTCCTTTTAACACCACCAAAAATCGGTTGCCTTCAACCAAACGACACACCCACGGTTTGGAGCCGAGCCATGCGCCAAAAAGCTCGTTTTCGATTTGCAGAGACACCAGGTACCTTTTTTTGTTCAAAGATACTTTAGGAATGACAAAACCAACGTGAGGTACGTGAGTAGGTTATGACCATGGTTATAAATGGCCTATCCCCAGTGAATCTGCAAGGATCACTGTTTCAAACCACAAAAGCCCACTAACATTGGACACACCTCTATCAAAGACCTGCTGGTACACCAAACTGGTTGCCTTCTTGGGAGTACCAACGCAGGTAAGTAGGCAAGCATGTGGTGACAAGTGGGCGGTCATCCCAGTTACCTAAGCCTCAGTTGTTCAGTGGCACCGATTCTTTTTCCCCTTTTTTTTGGTGGCTGCCCCACTAAAAATGGTCCAAGCCCCAAAAAGGGTTCCCTTTTTTTTCCAGGGTCCCTGGACAACTGAGACTTACCTGAGGTTGGTTGAACATCCAAGTACTTCACCTTTCAGCTCAGGTAGGGCTCTGGTAAAATGTATGCGCCATGCCTCAAGGACCATAAGCGCAAGGGCCGACCCCCAAAGACCTATGAGGTCCAAGGGGCCCCCCCCGGGTGCAGAGGTGTCCTCTGCAAATTTTCCGAACGAGAAAGCCCGTTCGGCCAGAAACCCCCAGACCCGAAGGGCGCAAGGGCAGCGACTTCCTGAAAACTTGGGTAGGGAAGACAGCCGCCAAAAAGCAGGGCGGTGTCCCAGGCTTTTGGTCATTTGCAAATTTGGTTTTCTTACCTCTTAAAAAGAGCTTTTTGGGTAACATGGGCTATATGTTTGTAAAAGATGAGAACTTCCCCAGGGCGCAGGGAGTTTTAAGGGGTAAGTTTTGGGTAGGGGCCAGGCACAGCAAAAGCGTTTTCGACTGCCAGAAACTGGGAGGAAACAGGGTCTTTTGCGGCAGACAGGTTTTCGGACCCATTTGCTGTTTGGCTTTTGGGTTATGGGTGGAACCAGGTTGGATGTCAATTCCTACATGGGAAATCAAAATAAGGTTGTCCACCAGATGCCCCTCAAGGATACCTAAAAAGGGGCCCCCGCTCATAGATAGACCCAGCTCAGATGTGTAAGCCCCGCGATGCTCGCACACCAGCGCCAGATTTGCTGTGTCAAACGGTTTGCATGCTTGGTCTCCCTTGATTTGTCCCTTTCAAGTATTTGCATTCAGCTACCCCAACCGTCACTATTCCCAAACAGACGGGTTATTGCCACAGAATTTGTGGGGTGGAAACATGTAACGGGCAACAAGTCGACTGGTTGGCCGGTCGATTGGATCCATGTGGGCCAGATCCGATCCGTGCTCTGTTCTTTCGTCTCGCCGATAGGTCACGGACACCGAGCGTTGGACTCTGCGGCTTTGCCTTTCAGAGCCTCGGCGGCCTGGGGTGGATTATTATCTATCCCCCAGCTAGGAGCCCGCTCTTTTACCCCTTTTTTGGGTTGGGAGGGTTCCCCTACTAAAATAGACTGCAGAAAAAAGGGTACCCTGATTCTAACCTCTCTGCTGGAGGACCTAGCAATCTATACTTTTGGGAAGAGCATGTGTTCGGCCAATCCAATCAAACAAAAAGGGTGTGAGTTTTGCTTACACGAACATGTTAGACTTGTTTTGGCCACGATCTGAAGTAAGAATCTAGCGGCTCATCCGCAAGTTTTGTCATCATGTTGTGTCTCGCGGGAGCGGTGAATTTCTTATTCCACGTATTGCGGTCCACTTCTTCCTAGCAGGGCTCGGCAGCTTGGCATTTGTGCTTGTTTTGAAGCTCGCCCAGTCGGTTCACGGGGCATTCCCCCCCCCGTTATTGCCACGCTCCCTGCAGGAAAGGGGCATCAAACCTCAGTTGTCAGCCGACCTTGGGAAACCAGTCGCTTCCATTTGCGTTTCAGGGGTACCCCTTTTTTTGACCCACACCCTTATTGTCCGTATTTTATCAAGGGGAGACGGTTCTAATTGGGTACCTCTTTTTGTTCTTACCTCTTAAAAAACCACAGCTTTTCAACTTTTTGGGTAACATGGGCTAGAGGTCTGTAAAAGATGAGAACTTCCCCAGGGCGCAGGGAGTTTTTTACGGGGTAAGATTGGGCACCTCTTTTTTTGGCCCACAGGCCCGTCTTTTTCTTTTTTCCCAGCGGGGGGGTAGCCCACGCCGCCGGAGTTGAACTTCGCTTCGAGGAGTTCAACTGGACGGAGGCGGCCCATGACTGGTTCACCGCCGAGCTGAAGGCCGGAGCCGAGTCGGAGTGTTGCGGTCAGTCGGGAGAGGTGGCCGGGTCAATGCTAAACTCGGGTCAACATGGTTGTTGGGACACATTTTTTTCGCATTTCTGCTCATGGTGGAGTTTAGTGGTGGAAATCCAAATCCGCTGAACTGCTAAAATTTGAGGATTTTTGCTCCCCAAACCCAACGTCAACCAAGGTAATCCTTGGTCAAACCTGAAATGGCCGTGGGTCAACACCAATGGTATCCCATTTTGGGATAGGTGCACCACCCATTTTAGAACCTATTTTAGTGGGGATTGGGATGTTCACTGGGGGTACGGGCTTTTGACCCGTGATTTTGACCCGTGGCCATATCCTGTCAAACCCTTGTCGAAGCCTTGTGAAATCGCAGAACACCTTGTCAAGCCTGATATACACCTTGTACAAGACCTCAAATAAACCTCGCAACACCTTACAATCCCTGCGTACACCCTTGCTCACCATGTCAAACCCTTAGCTGCACCAACCTTATAGCTTATATAAACCTTGCAACACTTTGCAGCACATCCTTTGTAAACCCTTAACATGTCAAACCCTTTGTAAACCCTTAGTTGCCACTAAACCTTGTAAAACGCTTCCTAGACATGTCAAAGCCCTTGCCGATTCTTTTAAAACAAACAGTCGTTTTCCCAGGGTTTCGCTTGAGGTTTTCTAGAAAGATCCGGATCCCTGGCCTAAAAACGAGAAACGGAAGCTACCCCTGGAAAGAAAGCAAAGACAAAAGCAGGGCTCCTTAACAGATACATTTTGCCCTTTTGAAACATGTTGCTTTTTCAACACCAAAATAAAGTTGGAAACCACCATGTACAAGTTGCAATGTTCAGGTGTATAATGCATCCGGATCCCTGTTCTTCTTTTGGTCCCCTTCGAAACAACCATACTCATGGGGCCTGGCGCTTGAAAGGGGGGGAAGGAGTGCAAATGAGCTACAATCAAAACCCGGATAGATGAAGGGTTAGTAAGGATCCCTGAAAAACACCTTAAAAACGGGCGGTCTCCGGGCCTTCTCGGCGGCCTCCGGCCGGGCCGGCCGCGTCGCCCTGAGTCACTGAGAGGCCGCCGGGGCGCCGCTGAAGCGGCCCGCCTCCATGGCCGGGCGCCCGGCCAAGAAGGCGCGGGCCGCGAGCGACGCGCGCGAAGTCGCCCAGGGGCGGGTGCCGCCGGAGGGGGCCAGCCATGGAAGATCAGATTTGATGAAATTCCAGCCTGTGGTTGTGGCTATTTGAGGTACCAAGGACATGGACTTTAATTAATCACTTTTTGGGACCATGTTGGTGGCAAATACAAAGTTAGGTCCCCCAGCTAGGTGCCCGCTCTTGTACCCCTTTTTTGGTTGGGAGGGTTCCCCTAAAATAGGCTACAGAAAAAGTTTGTACCCTTATTCTAGTCAGAGTTGATGAATATTCTGCGACCGCGACGCCAGAGTTATTTTTTAGCTGATGAATGGCGATCGCGACCTCAGAGTTCTTTGTAAGGCCCAAGACCTCATGATTTAAGGTCTTTGGGTGACAGAGGCCCTCGCATTCAGGGTCCAAGCATGGAAGCTCAGGGGCTGCCTGGATTTGACCAAGTCAGAAGTTGATCAATTTACTGGTGATGTCCGCTGAAAATGCCACTAGGGAATTCTCGCTTCCCGTTTTGGACTGTAGTCACTTTTTTGCGGTTGGACCTTTTGGTGGGAAATAATGAGTTTGGCACGTTACTTTTTTTGGCCATTCCACTCAGGAAGTGAGGAATTGCCGAAGTGCAAGCTCTAGCGGCCCATGACGACTATTTCTGATTATGGGGGTCCTTGAGGCCCTCACATCATATGTAGGGTCCTTTTGGTGCAGGTCCTGGTTGCAGGTTGCTTAGTGGCACGTTTTGCAGTTTCGTGTGGACAGGATGTCCCTAAGATCGAGCACTAAGAAAGGGTTGCCTATGCTTTCCATTTTCCAAAGTTGCTGGTCAAGTCGTGTTCGAGGAACAAGTATCGTTGGTTTTAAGTTGCCCTTCAAGCAACGAACATGGGCCACGAAACATGGACCATAGGAAAGGCTAGGTCCTCTAGTAGTGCCCTTTTGCCCTTTTTAGTGGGAGGGTTCCCCTACTAAAATAGGCTACAGGAAAAAATCAGGTACCCTCATTCTAGCCTCAAATCTGGAGGACCTAGCTGCCTCGAATTGAAGCAACATCCAAAGTTGCACCGGCTCCTCAAAAGATCTCCATTTTGCCACCATTTGAACCATCTTGCTTTTTCAACACCAAAACAAACTTGGAAACAACACCAGATCCCTGAAAACGTTGCTTTTTCAAGAATCCCTTGCTTTTTCAACACCAGACAACAGGTTGCAATGTTTTCAGTTTTTTTCTCTTGCATCCGGATCCCTGTTGGGAAAAAAAACGGCGCTCAAGGCTGCCAAGACCAGTAAAGGAACCCAGCGGCTCGGAACCAACCCTCACAGGTTGGCGAAATCCCGTGGTCTCTTTAAGCCAATCGAAACCCATCGGAGCCAAAACCACATGTTGTTTGTCAAATATCACGGTTTAGTGGTTGAAATCCAACCACCTGGAGATTCAAACGTCAAGGAATTCCTAGTTATTCTCGGCATTGACCCACGCAAACCCCCGCAAATTACCGCAAACGCCTAGAAACAGGAAACGCCCGCAACTTGCCGCAAAACGCCCGCAAAAAAAAGGGGCAAACACCCGCAAAAAAGCGCAAAAACGCAAAACACCCAAAACGCCTAAAACGCCTTGAGAACCAGAACGCCTAGGAATTCCTCGGCATTGGAATCTCCAGGCACTTAACTGCTAGAATTGTTGATTTTTTGCTCGCCCATATGGGGGTTTCTCAAGTGGTTGCGGGGGCGGCGGGCATCGCAGTGTACTCAAAAGGGCGACCAATAGGAGAAACACCCCCAAATCAGGCTCGCTTGAACTTCCCAAGCCCCATGACATGCGTTGGATCCCCCATGACTTTGCGAAGGATCATCAGTCACTTGTGTAATTCAGCACAAATGTACGGCCTTTCGCCAACCAGGTCCCCCAGTAGTGCCCTTTCTCACCCCTTTTTGGTTGGGAGATTCGGTTCCCCTACTAAAATAGACTACAGAAAAAAAAGGGTACCCTTATTCTAACCTCTCTAGGAGGACCTAGCCAAAAGATGTTCACTTGTTTAGTCCCAGGTCCCTCAGGGGCAACTGATTTGTAACCATGGTTGCTTGGGAAGCTGGGGTGATCGCCCACTTATGACCATGGTGAAGTAACCTACCTGACGCTGGTTTTCACATCCAGGTAGGGGTCTGTGTGTGTGTGTCCCGAATGGTACACCCCCTTATAATATGTATCAACTTGAAGGATTTGTTTTTTGACCTGGCTTCCAGGTGGATTGAATGACTGAGCCAGGCCTGCTGTGGATGGACAAGATCCTGCACCACCTTGAAACCATGGTTGAAACCATTGTTGGTTGGTATTTACAGGGGACTCATCCGAATCCAGGGTTTCTTAGGTGGTGCGTTGGATGGATTTCGCAACGATCCACAGTATGGTCCATGTTTCGAGGCGTTACCTTCTTCGTCCCAGGTCCAAGCGCTGGCAGAAGGCTTCCATTTTCGTACAAGTACCCTGGTGAAGCCCACCTACCCGACGTTTTCTTTTCTTCTTTTTTCACATGCAAGTACCTGTTTTTTTTTCACAATCTTCCCTTTGGCCTCCAAAAGACCATGGACATGAGAACTTGTCCCCTGTAGTGGGACATCGCAAAAGTATGTCCAAATGACGTGATGGATTTCTATGTCCCCTTTAGTGGGGCATAGCGGAAAAAGTCTGTTTACGGCTTTTCCAAGCAAATGACCATGGAGAACTTGTCCCCTGGACAGAAATACTCAGCTGTCCAGTGGTACCCTTTTTCCCCTTTTTTCTTGGGTGGCTGCCCCACTAAAAATTCGGTCCAAGCCCCAAAAAGGGTTCCAATTATTTTTTCCAGGGTCACTGAACAACTGAGAGATATGTTTGCGCCGGTGTTCCAGGCAATGCTCATTCCATGTACGGAGCGCTTACGATCCACCGTCCGTTTCCGTCCTCTTTTCGGCGAGGCCAAAGTGGTGGACCCGACCCCGTCCAAGGTGAAGTGCGTGGTGGGCGCCATAGACTTGGCGCAGAAGTCGGCCCCTCGCCGGATGCAAAGAAAAAGCGAAGCCGAGGTCAGATCTGTTTTTTTTGGTTTTGCTTTTTTGGGTCCTGGCCTTTGGTTGCTTTTTTCGTTTGTTTGTTTTGGTCTTCTTGGGTCCTGGCCTTTGGTTGTTTTGTTTGTTTGTTTGTTTTTGTTTTCTTGGGTCCTGGCCAGGTTGTTTTTCGTTTGTTTGTTTGGTTTTCTTGAGTCTTGGCCAGGTTGTTTTTGAGTTTTTCCTTCTTGGGGAAACTAGCTGGTGCTTGGAAGGAAGCCGTTAGAGAGCTGGGGGGTATCCAATGTGTGTTTAAAGAGGGAGCTAAGGAGCTACCAGGAGTTCTGTGAGCACAGGCGAGCATTTTTGTTGGTTCTTTGTGGTTTTGTTCCTTTTTAGGTTTTGGGGCTGAAGACAATGTTCTTAACCCATACCAAGGGTTGTGAAATGTTGTGAAGCAAACTGGTCCGGAATGCCCGGAATAGGTCACGCGCATCCTGACCCGGCCCCCGAACCATGCAAGCGGAGGAGAAATTTGGACCTCAGTTGTTCAAAGCGAATCGACCTGAAATGACCTTTAGGTTTTCCCTTTTGGTCTATGTTTAGTAGTCCCGAAAGGTTAACCTTTTATTTGCAGGTCCTTTGGGCAAGTGAGGGACCCCTGGATACTTTCATCTGGATTTTCCCCATTGTCCATCTTTTTGTGGCGGGGAAATGGCATTGGGGGACACCGCACCCCCCCTCCTCTGGAAGGTAGGGGGAAGGTGGGCTTTCTTCGGGTTGATTTGCCTCATTTCCTTCACCCTTTAACCCCACATGTTCCCAGGTCGGCGGAGTTTTGAAGAGAATGATCCCTGAAAAGAATGGGGGATGTGCGGCTGAGTCATATGTGTCTTGTTATCAGAAGAAATCCCACCCAACCCAAGGGTTGCTATTTCAATAAAGAAACCTATGATTTAACAAGAAACAAATCCACGTAATGGTTTTAGTTAAGAACCACGTAATGGGTTTATTTGAAAAATCCCAATCCCGGTAGACTCTTGTGACCTTGTTCGCGGTTCGCGATGAACCCTTCGCAGCCAAGTCACCACCATTTCCTTCGTAAAAAAAGCGGTTTGGAGTCGATTCGACGATTGGAAGGTTCAGGGTGTTGGGAATGAAACTAGGGAGTTCCTCTTTCAGGAACCACAGGGGATGGAATTTATTCCATTTGCTTAACACTTTTTTAGTTTCCCCTGTTGGTTTTAAAGGGAATCGATTTCACTACTGGATATTTTTTTCCAGGGGACTTAAGCAGCGGGAGGGTTTGTAGGGGTCATTCCTATTCTCTGCTGAGAAGCAGCAAGCATCGGTCGCTCCTTTTGTTTTATCGAGCTCGCCAATTGTGTCAAATGCGGAGCCCCGGGTCTGGAACAAAACAGGCACACACTTACAAATCGGCTGCATTCGCCCTACTCCAAACACCCTCTTTTTTTCCAGTGCATTTACTGCATTTATTGAAAAGTATGATGTTTCATGGTAAATACCTTCTTGTTTAGTAGAGGGTTGACATGATACCCTCAAAAGTCAGGTACTTGGAGTAGGAGGTTTATGAATGGCAGCTCGTGGGAAAATGCAGATCATATCTCCCGCCAAAAATGAGCCCCCTCATTAATGTTGCTCCAATGCTCTTAAACAAAGGCTGTAGGGTCTTTAGGGAGGGTAGAGGAAGGGGGGTAGGATCTCATGATCAGAACTGGCAGAGGGTGAAGCTGCCGGGTCGGCTGGCCAGGCCAGCTCGAGGGAAAGTGGCTGGTATATACCTAGGTCCCCCAGGATCGTGCCCTTTCTCACCCCTGTTTTGGGGGAGATTCGGTTCCCCTACCAAAATAGACCACAGCAAAAAGGGTACCCTTATTCCAACCTCTCTACTGGAGGACCTGCCTAGATACTCTTTGCGTGGCTGAGTTGTGAACCCTACGCCATACTCTCCTGGATGTGGTCCGGGGCAGGTGTTGCGGGGCAAAGCCTACCAGGGAAAAGGGGGACAAGCAATGACCTCTTTTCTAACATGGTAGCAGAAAAGATGGATAACATCGAATCGAAACCTAGGGTTTTATTGTTGTCATGATTTGTGCTTGGGAGATCACAGCTCGCCCACAATCACGACTTCTTCCCAGGTTTGGGGTCATCATTTTGACAATTTCTGAAAGTTGCCAAAGTCAGAAACTGGGGTGGTTTCCCTTTAACCACCCACTTGGGTGACTTCGATACTGGTAGAATCCTTCCCCTCTCCCCCTTCTCTCCTTCCCTTTTTCTTCTTTCGCATTTCTTTCCAAGGATTCGATCATCGCCCCACCAAAAACGCCTCCCGCGCGACAACGAATCGCGCATGGACGTCTTGCCCCGAATTTTCTTCGACGGCGCCCGGCCCACGCCCACTCCCACGGCTCGCCGCCGGAGCCCTGAGGGCGTGAGCGCGGAGGTGTGCCAAATGGTTTCGCAGATGGCCAAGAAGGCGTTGCCTGTGGCCAAAGAGGCGTGGGTCAAAGCCATTGCAAAGTGCACCGTGCAGAAGCCATGGATGTATGAAGCCCCTGGGGCGCTGTTCATATCCGACCGGAAACAATTGATTTCCTGTTGGGCCAGGCAAAATCCATTTGGGCCAAGCCTGGGATGTCTAAGACCGCGAAGTTGGAAGGGCCCTTTCTGATTTAATGATTTTGGATCGCAGCAGAAAGCAGGTTGTCATGGGGGCTGGGGGGGAGGGAGGGGGGGGGGAGGGAGCCCATATTAAGGGCTTAATAAGGGCTTATTTGGGCCCCCCCCTCCCCCTCCCTCCCCCCCAGCCCCCATGAGGTTGCTTTGTGCATGCAAAACTGCAGCAGCCTTCTGACCTTTGGGCAAGGAATGGCAAGGATGATGTTCCCCACCAGCCAACGAAAGCTTGTTGCAGGAGGTCACAGAGAATGATACTCAGTATTGCACATACGAGGTAAATTTACAATACATCTGGCTGTGGGTCCAAATAGGTACATGTGCCCAAAATGGAACCCTGGTAATTGGAAACATGGACTAAAACCTGTGGTCTTCTGGTGCTTTAATTGTCCCATCTGATGTTTTAGTGATGTCTACCCGGAGTTTGATTTTATTGATAGCTGGGTGGCAGTGAAGTCCAATTTTGAACCACCTCAAAAGTAGTTGGGCAGAATTTGGATTGGTTTGGGGATTGGAAGCCCACTGCCTTTTGACTCCGAATGGGGAAGGTAGTTGCCTAGCATCCAAACCACCAAGAGGGAAGCTGACTTGCGTGTGTCTTGCTGAGGTTTTACCCAACGGTTTCCCTTTCACCCAACCCCAACCAAAAAGGCACCGCGCCTCCAAGAATCTTGAGATCGGGCATCCCCCAAAGTGATGGTTTTACCCAACGGTTTCCCTTTCCACCAACCCGCAAACAGGTACCCTAAAAAAGAAAGACGAGCCGCACGGTTTCCTGTGAACCCTCCGGCTCAATCGATGGCTCCCACGACAGGAGAGGCACGCCTTCCAGGGCGAGGCATTTTCCATGGTGGAGAAGGCCGTTGGACCCCCACACGAGAGGATTCTCCTTTGCCGAATACGCCCAGTGAGTTCATTGGGGCCAGTGTGCTGTGCTTGGTCTGCTGTTTTGGAGGTTGGACCCGCCAAAATCATGATTGTGTCCTCTTCAATTGAACCACCAAGTAAAAAAGAGGCACCCTAAACGAAAAGTGACAGACCCCTTTTGTCTTCCCTTTAAAGGGTGAAAAGGGTACTATGAAAACGACACAACCCCACTTGAGCTTTGGTTTTGAGGGTACCAAGCGCATTGGTGTTGGGCCCCTATTTCAACCAGTATACATTTGCCTATGAAGGCTCACCATGTAGGTGCTTTACTTGAGGATCCTTGATTCAGGTTTTGGACACGCAACAACTGCAGAGCAATGCCTCAATCAACGAATCGGATCCCAAACTCATGGACCCCTAAGGGGGGCTATGGAGAGGGCGCGGGGGGGGGGGGGGGTGTGACTCCCGTATTAATCTGCCATGGTTGCAACCTTTTCTTCTTTTTCTTTTTTAAATGTTGTCTGAACACCCAAGACGAGTTGGAGGAGACCCCATTTTTCTAGGGGTTGATTCCCCATTATTTCAACCATTGTTCTTTTCCATAACCAGCCGTTTTCCCTGGGTTTCTGAAGGAATCTTGGAAAGAATGGGGAAGGTCCCCCAGTAGTGCCCTTTTACCCTTTTTGGGGGGAGATTCGGTTCCCCTACTAAAACAGAACTTTAGAAAACAGTTGGTGCCCTTATCATGGTTGTTGTTGGGAAACATTTTACATTTTTGCTTATTGTGGTTTAGTGGTTGAAATCCACCCACTTAACTGCTAACATTTGAGAATGTTTGCTCCCCTAACCCAACGTGAACCGAGTTATTCTAACCTCTCAAATCTGGAGGACCTAGTCCAAGAGGAGTTGGAGGAGACCCCATTTTGGAATAAATTCGGAAAAAGCTCAACAAAAAGAGACAATTCGGAATAAATTCAGAAGAATTCTGAATTCAGGCCTTTCCCAATACATTTTCCTTTTGAGGAGTTCAGAAAAAATCTGAATAATTTCAGAAACCCTTTTGAGCCACAGCCAATGGACATGTTAGCATTCCGCGTCTCGCCAGATGCTGGCGGAAGCGCACGAGGGCCTGAAGAAGGAGGCAGGCAGACTGTCTCCGGTGCAATCAGAGCTCACTTCGGCGAAAAAGGGCAGGGGTTCTTGCATGGTTCCTTCGGGTGTGTCAATCATTCACCATATTCACCCCCTTAAAAATGGAATGGGGGAGGGAGGTGACTCCTGGAATTCCATTTGTGGTTCCATTTTCCCTTTATGGGGAAGACTAGATAAATGGAATTGGGGACCCCCCATCCCCCTCCTCCTGAAGGTAGGGGGGATGTGTTTCAAACATTCACCAGTTGGGCCATATTTAAACGTGTTCTCCTTTGGTGGGCTGCTGGACTGCTTCAAGGGCACACATCAACTCATATGTTCGGTTCCCTTTTTAAACCACTGCATCAATAGAGGGTGAATCAAAGAGAGAGCGCGTCCAGCCTGTTGACTGGACCCTTTGCGGACCGAGTTTAAACGAGGGTACAAGATTTAGACCCACTATGTACTCGCATAAAATCTAACTCTGTTGCAACCACTGGATTCCGCCAATTGTCTTTTTTCCTCATTTTGTTTGGGGTAAGGGTTCCTTTTCTCCTTTAAACTCGGCCAACAAAAAAAAGGGGTCATTTGTTTTCATGGAAACCCACTGGGCATCTAAGTAAAAGAGAATAAGACTCCATGTTATTTGTTTGGTGAGTGACAACAAGTTTTGCAGATGGTATTGCCTGCTGTTGTGTTCTGCTGAAGCCTCCATGGGAAGTAGTTGATGTGGCGGAGTCGTGATACATCTTGATGGGATCCCAGTTGTTTGGGTTTCTCACCGCTGGGCTTTTAGGTGCTGGTGTTTAGAATCTATTTCATTAGGGGCCTGGCGTACGATATGGTTTTGAGGGTACCTTGGCCTTTCTTTTCGGGGGGGGTTCCCTTCAAACACACCACCTTCAAAGAATGACACAACCATGTCTCTTTGGGTGATGATGTTTAAGAGACTCGCAAACACCCCTGAACGAAGAAGAGCATGACGAAACTTCTCATGACGAAACTGGAAGCAACATACCGATCCTACAGATCGGTGCTTTTGGAGTGTCTTCCGTTAATCTGGAGAGTTTTACCAGGGATCATTTGTCCACCTTGTGCCCAAACCACCCCAGTCAGGCCAAAAAGCGCCACCAACAAACAACACATGGATGGATTGGTGTCTTTGTTAGGCTAGTTTGGTTAAGAATAGATGGCGCTGGTTTAGATGGGGTTTGTTCCATTTACCAGGGAAGGACACCTATGCATGGGCCATGACTTCTACTTGCCTTCATTCAAGCACTGCCCTATACAGGAACATGCATGGGTGGCTCATCTATATTTGAGGCTCGGTACCCATTTTGATTGGTTTTAAAGAGAGACCAAGAGGACACCCACTTGTTTGGGGTCCCCTCAAAAAGGACATGCCCACATGTTGAAACCACAGTGAACATCTAGACTTGCTGCCGTTTTCTAGAAGCGAATATTTTGAAATTGCCTGCTGGATTTACGAAGGAGATGGCCACGGCTGACAAAATATGCCATGTCTTCGTGGATCCTTTATCAAATTCATGTTTAGGCTTCCCCTTCACAGCGTTGGGCAACATTTGCTTAAACAACCAACCCCTGGTCCCCTTCGAATTAAAACTCGTACGGTCCAATGCTTCACTCCCCTCCCCCTCCATCCCCTCCACCCCACCCCCTCCACCCCCTCCACCCGCTCCACCCCCTCCGCCCCCTCCGCCCCCTCCGCCCCCTCCGCCCCCTCCGCCCCCTCCGCCCCCTCCACCCCCTCCACCCCCTCCACCCCCTCCACCCCGCCTCCATCCCTCCACCTCCACCCCACCCGCCTACCCACCCCCACCCACCCCAGCCCCACGCGCCGCACCCCCGCACCACCCGCTTGTCGGTCGCCGGTCGCAGTTCGCGAGCGCCGGCGAACTCATCGCCAACGCGGACACGGTGAAGGCCGCCCGCGACGCCAAGGTCAAGGAGACCGAGGCGCAGCTTGAGACCGCCAAGGAGCGCGTCGGAGCGCCGATTCCGCGGAAGCGGCGGAATCGCGGGGACGGCGACGAAGGGCTCCACTTCGTTAAGGGTGCCTCGTCTTTCTTTTTTTAGGAATGCCCCCCCCCCCAAAACGGCAAAACAAAAGCAAAAACAGTTTTCCGGTTTGTTTCCCTTTGGAACAGTAAAAAGGGCTAAAAAGAGGCTACTCGAAAAAGAAGGGTAAAAAGGGTACCCTCGAAAAGAGGCCTGGCCAGGCTTCCTATTTTTTGGGGGTAAAAAGGCACGCCAATGCTTGTCTAGGTCCCCCAGCTAGGTGCCCACTCTTTTACCCCTTTTTTGGTTGGGAGGATTGCCCTACTAAAATAGACTACAGAAAAAAAAGGTGCCAACTTATCCTAACCTCTCTACTGGAGGACCTAGTTGTCAATACTGATTCACGGCCATATGGCAGCGAGCCAGTTACGAATTGGTCGGAAGCAGTCTGGCTGGAATAGCTCCCCTTATGGCCATCCTTGGATGTTGTCCAAATGAGACCCCCCCCTTTGAAGTATGGGATAAACATTGGGTAAACCACTTGCTAAGTGGTGCAGGATTTTGTTTATCCACAGTGATTATGAGATCACGCATCCCCGTCCCTTGACTGCTATTGGGTTGGATCGATAGACTTTAACTTTTTGGGACATCAAGGGTTTTCTACAAAACCCACAAAAAGTTAAACTTTTTGCAGGGGGGTCAACAGCAAGCCAGATCCGAAATGAAGAACAACTCTGTCAGCGATCCCCCTGGTGACGTTTTTGTGGGTGGAGTCAGACCCCGAATGGCAAAATGGCTTTCCTTCCGGTTGCCCTTTAAAACACCAACCAACGAGGTACCAACTGGCAAAAAACGAGTGACCTCTGTGGCTTACTTCCGGCAACACCCCCAAACTGTTTTTTCATCCATGTCCAAAATTGTTCGAAGTAGTGGTTGAGACCCGCGTGCTTGGTGAGAAGTGTCTGCTGTTCATTCGGGTGTGTTTTTTTTTTTGTGAGAGTACCCCATTGTTTCATGGTTGTCGTTGGGAAACATTTTACGTTTTTGCTTATTTAGTGGGACATCCCCACTTAGCTGCTAACAAAATAAATGTTTGCTCCCCTTCAAGGTCAACCAAGGTTTGCGGTTTTAGAGGGAAACCAAACGGAACGTTTTCAATTGATGGTTGTTGTTGCTAAGAGAACCCAAAACCTCCATTTGCCTAAGAATATGTCTTTTTTTAATTTCCCTGTTTGGGTTTCAAAGGAGTTCATCACTACTGGAAATGTTTTTTCCCTTAACCTGGAGCCTTGACCAAGTGGAAGAAAAGGGGTCCAATTCCCCCAAAAGAGCCGCCTAAAAAACCGACGAGCCGCCCGGCAGGAGGCCAAGACCAAGACGCAGGAGACCAGCCTGGAGAAGACCGCAGCCTTGAAGGCGAGCCGAGCCGGGCCGGGCCGGGAGTGGTCGGGCGTTTCAAAGCGAAGAAAACGGGGGACAGCTGTCCCGTTTGGGGGGTGAATTTGTATATATATATATGTATTACCTATATGGGTGTGGCTCAAAATTAAAGAGCTAGGGTTGCGCAGGAACCATCAGGAACCTTAGTCTTTGGATCCATTTACCAAGGTGCCATTTTGGTACATTGTTTTTGAGCCACAGCCATATGGATTGGATTGTTTGGGATCAAGACCCTTAGGGTACATCAGTTGGGGGCATTTCCCAAAGGCAACCGGCAAGTTAAGCATTGTTTCTGGAGTGGAGCGGGGGTCCACTTTAAGTGGAGCCTACAAAAGTCACCGAGGAAGGGACGCTCGCGTTTGCGTGCTCTAGGAACAATCAACCTATGTTAGAACTTGGCTGCTATTTAGTTGGATCCTGAATTAGACTTCAACTTTGTGAGGAATGATAGGGTTTCCGATTCAACTGCATTTGTGAAACGCTTTGCAAAGAGGACAATAGCCACACAGAGAAGCAAGATGGCACAAGTCCTGCAGAAGGCTGAAAGCAATATGGCTGAGTTTTGTGCTTTTGGATTGATAATCCCTTTACCGTCGTAAAGGCAGACACGCTATCAATGTGCACAGCACGCCATCATGGACGCAACTCAGGAAGCCCCTTGGCTTCTGTTGGGAGGTCACGCCAAACCACATGATGACGTTTACTAAGTAGCACCCTTGAGCCGTGTGGTTTCTTTTTGTTTTTTTTTTTGGGGGGGGCTTTGCAGCCAAGAAACAACAAACATGGTGTCGTTCTTTCCCATGGCCCTTGGGGTCTGGGTTACACAAGCGCTTTTAACGACCCCCAGGTCTTGTGGTCAGTTTTTACACTTCAATTTGCTTAAGATTTGTCTTTTTATTTTTCCTTGTTGGTTTTCAAGGGGATCGATTTCACTACTGGACACATGTTCGGTTTGTTCCAGTGGGCGAAAAAGCAAACCGAAGAATTTCGGGACACCAAAAGGGAAACCAGGGAAGCCCAGCAAAGGGAAACCCCAGGGAAACCCAAGCAACCGGAAGCCGAAACTCAAAAAAAAACAAAACACAAACAAAAGCACGACCCAACCCAACAAAAGAAAAAGGAAACCGGAAAAAAAGCGGGGGGAACAAAAAAAGACGACGACCCACACGGATCCCCCCCCTTCGCCCTCGCCTCGCTCCAGGCGTCGCACGAGCCGCTGCACAGCGTCCAGGCGGCGCAGAAGGAGGGGGACGCGGAGGCGGTGGCGCTGGAGAAGGACGCTCCGCCCCAAGGGGTGCACCAATCCGCCCTTGTTGCTTTGTTGCTTTGTTGGTTTGTTGCTTTGTTGGTTTGTTGGTTTGTTGGTTTGTTGGTTTGTGGATGTTGTTTTTGTCTTTTTTTGTTTTCCCCCCTTGTTTTGTTGTTTTCGTTTAGGTTGTGTTTGTCCGGACGCTCCGCCCACTTGGCTCAGTCGTTCGGTGGCTCCAATTCTTTTTCTTTTTCCCTTTTTTTTTGGGTGGCTGCTCCACTAGAAATGGCCCCAGCCCTAAAAAGGGCTCCCATTCTTTTTTTCGAAGGTCACTGAACAACTGAGTTGGTGCACCAAGTTGAGTTTAGGTATTGTCCGGACCCCCCGGTTTCTTAGGTGATGCCGGTTTCTCTCTGGTTTCTTAGGTTCTTAGGTCTGTAGTTTGTTTAATTGCAGCTTCCATGTAACCCACAGTTTAACTTTTAGGGGGTCAGTTTGGACAGCCCAGTACTTTGAGAGTTTTGGCTGCTTCTTGGACCAATTAACAGGGAACTGAAGCGGGGGTGGGGGTGGGGGTGGGGGCAAAAAGAGCTTTTCCGCAATGTGCATCAGTTTTTTGCTTTGTTTGGTTGGTTTTAAAGGGAAACCAAGCGGAAGCACCGATTCCTAAGACGGACCCGCCAAATAGCAAGGGTATAGATCCATGGCCGAACTTGTAGCAGTCGGATCAGACTCCATTTTCCCAGTGCAGTGGCTTCAGGAGAAGGGAGAGTGAAACTCTGAACGCCCGGGTGTTGACTCCCCCAAACTGTTGTTATACTCCATTGCCTAACTTTGTGCAGTCAGATCAGACCGGATTTCCCAGTGAGGTGGGGGGAGAGGGGAGAGTGAAGCTCGGGACGCTTGCCCAGCTCTGAGTATTTTGGTTGAGTGGAAGGTCCCCCAGCTAGGTGTTCTTTCTCACCGTTTTTTTAGTTGGGAGGGTTCCCCTACTAAAATAGACAACGGAAAGAAGTTGGTACCAACTTCTTCTAACCTCTCTACTGGAGGACCTGGGTGGAAATAATGTTGACCCAGGATTAATAAACCCGTCCCACTATTAGGGGGGTGTTCCCTCCAAAAGTGGTCTGAATCCCCACTAAAACGGGACACCCCCCTATTAATCAACCAGGGGTTTGTTAATCCGGGGTTAACATGAAGGATGTGGTTTTCCTCTTTTTTGTTGGTTTCCCTTTCAAGCGGCGAAGCATCGCCCCCTCCCATTGGCATGGATCCTGACTGTGGAATACCATATTTTTCAGCTCGGGTTGTGAATATGGGCCATGGGGTGCATAACCTATGGCGATCCCATTTTGGGGTGGATGAATTCATCCAATTGCCACCAATTTTGATGTTCGCCAGGGGTTTCCTGGGTTTTGACCAGGGTTGTGGGATCAAGGGGTTTCTCTCCACTTCTGTGATACAAGGGGATCCCCCTTTCTATGAACACAATAGTCTTTGGAAAGCCCTTTCCGTTGTATCACAGAAGTGGTCATTCCCCACAGCCGTGGTTTTGACCCACAGATAGCCAATCCAAATTCATACATGTCGTGCGAGGAGAAGAAGGCTTTGGAGGAGAGCATCAAGGAACTGCCCAGCCTCAAGGAGCAAGGACTGGACTTCGCAGGGAGCAGTGGCAGTGGGTCAAAAAAATGGGTGCCGTCCATTTCTTCCATTTGGTTCAGGCCCCCGAAAAAAAAAAAAAAAAAAAAGATAAATGTTTCCAGTAGTGAAGGATTTTCATTTGAACCCAACAAGGATTTGTGTTTTTTTTGCTTTTTAAGCAAATGGAGGATTTTCCATTTGGTCGTGGGTCAACACTGTTTTGAAATCCCATTTTGAGGTTTTCGGTGCACCACCCATTTCAGCCTATTTTAGTGGGGATTGATTGGGATGTTCACGGGTACGATTTGGATTTTGACCCATGGCCATGTCTCACTCCAGGTACTTCGAGTCTGGCAACGGAGTATCTACCCTTGGTATGGGTATGTCCATGTTTTAGGACTCGGCACCCAAAACGGCTGTGACCTTTTCTCTTGGTTTCCCTTTAACATCGACCCAAAACGGTGTTCCTAGGGTCGCACCATGGTCGCACCCTGAGTGTCCATGACCGTTGGGGCTGGGAAATGTGTACGGAAGGCTTCCCCCCGATTTTCCCGGTGCCCGTTGGCCGTTGGGGATTGGCGTGAGTTTACTTGTTTATTATTTTGCTATACTGCACATTGCGAGGTGGGTGCCCCGTCAAAACCCTGCCCAACCTTTTTTTGCTTTACCACGTCAAGGCAGTCTGGGTGTCACTTCTTGGATCTGGAAGCCGTCTTGCAGCAGGAGTTGCACAAGTTGTTCGTTAATAACATGTCTTCATAGGTGTCCTTTTTGGTTGTTTTGCTAGAAACATAGATGGCGAATCCTGGTTTACCTGGTGGTTGTTTATCATCTACCAGGGAAACCCATCTATTTCCAACCTAAAAGGACACCTATGCATGTCTTCTTGAAGCCTCAGATGTCCCTCGGCCTGGGGGAACCCCATCAGGGTCCCATTTGGGATGAGTCAAAGGGGGGGGAGTCAAAGGGGGCAACTACCAAACTTCCGTTTGTTTAAGAATATGTTATTTTTCCCTGCTGGTTTTAAAAGGAATCAATCACTACTGGAAATATTTATTATTATTAGTTTTTTTCCTAGGGGGCTTAAGCAAATGGAAGCAAATCAGTCGTTCTCCTGTGAGATGTCCTGAACCGACCGAATAGCAAGGTCACCTTCAAAACAGAAACGCCCCCCAAATGGGGTGGGGGGGTGGTTGGTTGGCCCTGCAAAATGGCGGGTGTTCCTTTTGGTGTTCCTTGAACACCTACCAAGAGGGGAGTGGGTACCAACTGCAACTAGGTCCCCCAGCTAGGTGCCGGCTCTTTTACCCCTTTTTTTGTTGGGAGGGTTCCCTTACTAAAATAGTCAGAAACAAGTCGGGTACCAACTTCTTCTAGCCTCCCAAATCTGGAGGACCTAGCCAAAAGAGAAAATAGACTACAGAAAAAAGGTACCAACTTATTCTATCCTCTCTACTGGAGGACCAACTCCAAAAGAGACCCAAGCAGAGAGCATCCCAAGCTCCCCTCGCAGGCTCTGTGAAGGCTCGGCCCATGCACGCCCTGACCAAGGCCTTGGCCAAGGCGGGCTTTGGAGGGGGGTCCTTCTCAGCTTTCGTTTGGTTAAGAATATTTTCCTGTTGGTTTTAAAAGGAATCGGTCACTACTGGAAATATTTGTATTTTTTTCCAGGGGGCGTGAATCGTAACGACCTCACACGACCTCACACCCAATGTGGCTGTGGGGCTATCACCCCTGATTTCAGGGTGGCGAAATCCGTTCGCACCACTTGGAAACCATGGTTCAAACTACAAGGTTTGTTGGTATTTACAGGAGAATCATCCTTTCAGGGTTTCTTCCCAGCCATCCGGTCCATTTAACCCACCCAAAAGAACTTTTAGCAGAGGATCTGACAGCCCAGCTCTGGATGAGGCTGAACCGATTCCCTCTGATTTGATATTCCCGAGGCTCGCTTGCTTGTTGCTTGTGTTTGTTCAAATCCATGCTTGTTGCTGACTTGTCTGGACCATCAGTTTTCTTTGTCCACAGATCGGTTTGCGTCGATTGGGTTTCAATGGTCTTTTGAACCTTGAGTTTCTTGTAGCTTGCCATGGATCCCAGGGTTCAGGGTTCGACATCGCACAGGTAGCTTGATTCAAGCAGGCCGCTCACCTGTTCGCCACGGGCAGCACAAGGAGCGGATGTTAAGGTTGCAGCAAAAGGATGTTGGAGCCTTCTGAGCCTTCTGAGCCGTCTAAATGTCCAAGCCAAACGGCTCAAGAACAGTCATTTGGACCGCAGAGGACTTTCTGCGAGGCGAAATGTAGTACCCTTGTTGGATGGTTCTAAGGAGCAATCTAAAGGAAACCGTTGCCATTTGTGTGGGTCCGATTCCCGGCAAACATCCTGTTCTTAGGCAGGAAGCTTGGGATCTGCCTAGCTCACCCTTTTTGTAGCTCCAATTCCTGTTAAAGATGCGTATCCCCCCCCCCCCCGCAGGTTTTTTGGCCGGAGAGTTTTTCGCCGATCTCGGCCGAGCTCCCGGAACTCGCGTCTGAGGCGGGTCTTGAGGACTCTTTGGTGGAAACTGTGCACCTGCCCTTGCAGAAGAAGCCAGAGCGCTGTGGCGGAGTCGGAATCCTTTGGGGTGAAGGGCGTTTGGGGGGACGAAAGGATGTGGGCGGCTCATCTTTCAGGGGGAGACCCCGGGCAATTTGGGGGGAAAAGCCGTGTTTGAGGGTCCAAACAAACAACGGGCATGTTGGAGGTCAAACAAGATATCAATTTTGCGGATTTTCGGATTCCGCTCATGAACCAGTGGCAAACCTGGATACAAGGGGCTGGTTGAGTCGGGGGCCTTTTCAGTGGGGGGACGATGCTGTTTGTGTGTTTTTGTTTTTTGGGAGTCTTGGCCAATTAGCATGCCCATGAATTTCCCAGTCAGCTGAAGCGGGCATGATCTTGCTTACAGTGACAAACTCATCCCCTGACTGTCCGGAGCCTTCAAGTTGGAAGCCATCGAACACCTTCCGCAACGTAGCAACGTGAGGAACAAGAAAAACGAAAAACACTGGTTCCAGGACGTTTTTGGAGGCTGGACCATTCTTAGTGCTAACCAGAAAGTTTGGTTACTTTCTTTGGCCAGTCCACTAAGGACGTGAGGAGTCAAAGAGGCATGAGGTGTTGGGTTCTATCTTGGTCATTCTTGGTGCCAGGAAAGCCAGGAAAAGCCATTCTGCGCTTCCAAAGCTTGGACAACTCAACGGCCTTGTTTGGAGGGGTGCCTCTGGCGAAGGGCTCCCTTTCAAACCACCCCCGCGCCCCCCAAACTCAAACCACAACGTACTGAATAGAACAAATCTATGTCTTGCATACGCATTTGGGTCTGTGTTTCTTTGAGGGCACCTTTCTTTCTTCTTTTCTTTTTTGGGGGTGTGGTCTTTTTCGGGCGACCAAAAGCAACAGCAGCACTTTGACAGACCAAAGCTTCGTCTCTTTCGGGCGACCCCAAAAGCAAACGCACCACTCTGGGGGACCAACACTTCGTCTTTTTAGGGCGACCCAGCCAAACAAAAAGCCAAGCTCCACGCTAGAAGCGACTTGGGTCCCAAAGCCAACAAGCTCCGCGCTCGAAAAAGACGAAGAGCGACGACGGTGCGGCCGACTTCGGCCTTCGTGGCCTTCGGCGCGCCCAGGGCCCGGGGCTCCTTCGACCACTTGGTGCTGGAGAAGCTGTCGGAGGCCGTGGACGCGAGGCTGGCGGAGATGGCCAAGGCCATCGAGGACGCAGGCGGGCGAGGGGGCTGAGGGGCCCATTTTGAGGGTCTACCTTTGTTTTTTGTTGAGGGAGATTTGTTTGGGATTGGTGTAAAGGGAAGCCAGGAGGAAACCACCCATTTTGAGGGTTTACCTATTTTGACACACACACACACGGAAGCACGCTTTGTGGCCACTGGCGGAAGCCTCCGGCTTTGGACGGTCGCAGCTATCTGTCACAGGCTTTGCTATGTCGGCGAGCGGGCTGGTGGTGGCGCTTGGGTGCCATTGTAAAGCCGAACCCCAAACCCGCCGGGTGGGGAAGAAGTAGTTTTTTGTTGCAAGGGATGAACCAAGGACTATGATGATACACTTTCATGTGGAACTCACTTGTTGTGATCATGATGAAAAGGGGGTTAAGTTCAGCTACATCAGTTATCACCAGGTCATCACCAATTTACCGGACTTTGGTTGAACATCTGAGCACAAAGGTTATTTGGATGTTCAACTGACTTGGCAAAGGTAGGTTGCAACCGCGGTGTTTCTTCACTTGGGTAATCACTTACAACCCACCTTATGTATAATCAGTAGGTTATCACATTGGTTTTGCTCACTTGGGTGACCAACCCACCTAGTGGTTTCGCTCACTTGGGTGACCATTTATAGCCCACCTAGTGGTTTTGCTCTCTCTTGACTGCTGGCAAGAAAGGTGTTTTCCACTAACCCCCCTTAATGTTGACCCAGGATTAATAACCCCATCCCACTATTAGGGGGGTGTTCCCTCCAAAAGTGGTCTGGATCCAACCACTAAAAGGAATTGGACACCCCCGATCAAAATCAACCAGGGGTTCTGCTTAATCCGGGGTGAACATTAAGGAGGTTGTTTTCCTCTTTTTGTGGGTTTCCCTTTCAACCGGCGAAGCATCGCCCCCTCCCATTGGCATGGATCCTGACCGCCGGCCAGGCCCCGCGCGCGCCGCGCGCGCGGAGAAGGTCGCGGAGGCGCAGGCGTCCTTCGACGCGGCGAAGGCGGCCAGCGAGGAGGCGGCTGCGGCGGCCAAGGCGCGGCGGGGGGAAGGGCCAAGGGGCGTCTTTAAAGGGGACATCCTGGGGGGAGGAGGGCGTGACATTCTGCTGTTTTTTTGTTATGTTTTTTTTTTTGGCGGGGGGGGGGGGAGGGGTTGCATTTGGCTCTTTTGTTTTTGGGGGTTTGTTTTTTGCTCGGGCGGGGTTGTTGGCTTAAAATTTCGGCTGGTTTGTTATCATGAAAGCCCTGCCTCCCCAAAGGGGGGGTTGCTTGAAAAAAGCTCGAGCACGAGCGCGCGGATTTTTGTTTTTTCTGTGTGAGGCTCGGTAAAGCCTTTTGGAAGGCTCGCCATGCGGGCGAACGAGTGAAGCAGCGGCCCGGGGCAACTCGACCAGGGAGCCACCAGGAGGTTCCAAGCGTGGCACCATGGTTCAATCAGAGATTTGGCTGTGGCTCAAAAACCCGGAAGTCCAAAATGGAACCCTGGTAAGTGGAAACATGGAAACCAACACCTGCGGAACTAACCCCCCCCTGTTTAATTTTGAGAACCACCCCCATTTGACTCACCCCAATGCTTTTGGTGACCTCAAGTCCTCAAAGCGGAAACTTCAGGCCCATGCTCCATGTTCGAGGCCTTTTCCCGGCCTAGGGGCGTCTTTAAAGGGGACATCCTTGCGGGGAAAAGGAGGAGGGCGTCACATTATGTTTTTTTTTGGTTATTTGTTTTTTGTTTGTTTGTTTTTTGGGGGGGGAGGGGTTGCATTTGGTTTTTTTGTTCGTTGGTTTTCGGCTGGTTTGTATCATGAACCCTGCTCCCAGAGGGGTTGCTTGGTTTTTGAGGCTCTTTGAGCCTTTTGGAAGGCTCGGTGCCCTATTTTGAGACACGCCCAGAGCCAAAACGATAAGAATGGGGGGCTGCGGAGGAACGAGTGAAGCAGCCCCGGGCTTTCAACCAATCAGAGATTTGAACAACCGTAGATTGAATCTGATTAGATTTGATTTGATTGTTCCAACCGTAGATTTGAATCCCCCCAATGCTTTTGGTTACGGTAACCAAGTCCTCAAAGCGGAACTTCAGGTCCATGCTCCATGTTCGAGGCCAACCGGCCTAGGGAAAAGGCGCAGGGCTTTTCACTGGAAATTCATAGTCCACATCATCAAGCACCTACAACTACGAAGGAAATATGTATACACAAGCGACGTTTTGTGTGTAAATAATATTCAGAAATATACATATGCATATGGACAGGTATATTTGTATGCATAATATATATATATATACACATATATATATATATATATGTATACAAGTATTCATATACATGAAACAAAACACATTTATCTATGTATACGTCCAAAGTAGGACCCAGCTCACTGGGTTCAGTTTCACTCTCCCTCGTCTCAGCTTGCTCTCGAGCGCGTCTCGCGTGTCACATCGCAGGCGGCCAAGGAGGCCCTCGCGAAGGCCCAGGACGAGCTGGCGACGGCGAAGAAGTCCCAGGGCTCCTTCGACGCGGCACCTCGGGCGCCACTCGAGTCGTCGAGCGGGAGGGCCGAGCACCGAAAGCAGGGGCGCGGGGGGGGGGGGGGGGGGGGGGGGGGGGGGGGGGGGGGGGGGGGATGGGCGGGGGAGGGTTCGAGGGTCTTGTAAAGGCCTAGGGGTTTGGAGGTAGTGGATTATGTTTCGCGGGAAGCCAGAAGAAAACCCAGGCCTTCAACAAGAAAGCACTTCCTAGCATCCCAAAACCATATTATTTGGATCTTTCGGGGTCGAAGGTCTTCAAAGATTTGGGTGCAAGGCTTAGTATGACTTGGTCTTCCCACCCCACCCCACCTCTCACCCCGCTCCCCTGGAACCGATCGGAAGAACTTCCTGGCTCCAAGGAGCTGCGGAAGGCCGCGAAGACGGAGGAGGCCGCGAAGGCGGCGCTGGAGGCGTTCGTGGAAGGCGCGGACTGCGCAGTTCGACTTCGCGCGGGCGGCCTTGCGGCGGGCGGGTGTGTGTGTGGAGCGGGAGGTGGAGGGCGGGGGCGGGGGGTTGGTTGGTTGGTTGGTTGGTTGGTTGGTTCGGGTTGGGTTGGGTTGGGTTGGGTTGGGTTGGGTTGGGTTGGGTTGGGTTGGGTTGGGTTGGGTTGGTTGGTTGGTTGGTTGGGTTTTGTTTGGTTTGGTTTGGTTGGGTTTTGGTTGGTTTTGGTTAGTTTTGGTTGGTTTTGGTTGCTTGGTTGGTTGCTTGGTTGGTTGGTTGTGCGCCAAGCCATGCGGATTCCTGGAACTTTTCAACATGCCCTCACGGACCCCCGAATCAACAGGAAGTTCCTGTTGGTTTTAAAGGGAATCGATTGCACTGGACATGTTTTGCCATTTGTTCAAATGGGCAAAAACGCAAATGGAAGTTCGATTCAAACTGTGTGAACTTCGGCAGGTTTTTGAACGACCCTTTGGTTGGACAATAACGTACTTGTTGTAGACCAAGCTTTTCACTTGGTGGTTCTCAACCAGCCTGGTGGCAAGCCCAGCCATCGGATTCCTTGGGTTTTTTTGTTATTAGCTGTAGCTGGTGAAATGGGGTTTCCATGTCTTAGCAGGGGATCTGACGACAGGCCAGCCATGTTGCTTAATGGACAGTGACGTGTGGTCATGGCGTCTGGGAAGTTCACAGTGCAGACACGACATGACACGCAGGGTGGAGGGGATGGAACAGACATGGCTGGTTAGTACAGGCAGGACCAAACAACTGGCGGTTTCTTTGTTGGCAAAAGTTCAGCATTGCGTGAGTAAGTGGAGAAAGTTAGTTTTCGCGCATGCAGATAGGAAGTTCACTGTTGTCGTCGGCAAGTATTTCTAGTTGTTTGATGGTTCTGTTTATTTTTAGTAGTGGGCTGCAAAAACGAAAGTGTTGCTGCCATACCAAGGGTTGTAAAGGGAAGGATCTGGAAACACTGCACTTTACAACCTTGACTGCGTCCAACCTTACTTTCCCTTGAGTCTCCATTGTCTTGAACTCAGCCCAAAGGCCCTGAACATAACAGGTTAGCCTTTTGGCACATTGAGAAACGACGAACGCGGCTAAACCAAGTTGTCAAAAGGTTAGATTCGGAAAACTGCTGACATGGGGAATTGTCACAACCCGAAAATACGGCCTTATGGGCCCGCTTAACAAGGAGAGGTGTGACAAGCCGAGACGAAAGCTTGCAAACAGCTGCCAATTACATGCAACATGAAGCCATTGAAGTCATCGAAAAAATGGCCTCAGCGGCGGCTACCCAAAGCCAGGTAGGATGTAGACATGTGGCGACACCTCTTCTACAATTGAGATTGCCCCTACCAAGCTTGGATTACCCAGATGTTGCTTGCGGCTTTGCAGGGGCTTGACGCATGGCTTTGCATGTCAGAAGATTTGTCATCGGCTGCAAACACGTCCTGCACATCCCGCGTGACATTATGACTTGCCCTTGGGCTAGGGACCACTTCACTGTTGTTGGCATGTTTTAATTTTTGTGTGTTTGTTGCTTCTCTTTAGTTTTAGTAGTGGGCTGCAAAAAGAAAGTGTTTTGCTACCATACCGCCATACCAAGGGTTGGAAAAGACCAGCAGCTTCAGGCAAGAAGGTTTTATATTTTGTCCATTTAAGTTTCAGGGTACGTGGGTGTGTCTGAAAAGACACCCTAAGGGGATCAACATAAGATGTTGAAGAGTCATTTCGGAAGTCCCTGGATCGGACAAGCCCATGTCAGCACAAAATATAACGAGCTTGCCAATTCGAAAGCTGACACGAGTTCTTTCTGTTGTGTGACAGTAAGAAATGCACATGGGCATTTGTGGGTGTGGTAAAATGTAGGGTGCTTCTAAGGTTTTGTCCAAAGGGTTTCCCTGTTGTTAGACAGGCTTATCGACCAATGTCAATGTCCCATACTCACTTCCTGAGTTCCTGGACTTTATCCTTTTGGGGAAGACCAGTTTAGTAGACCACCAAAAGTGTGGTTACTTTTTGTTGGCCAATCCACTCAGGAAGTGAGCATACGTCAAGAAAGGGTTTCCTGTGAGGGCCCCAGCATTCCCGAGATCCGAGTTCCGATCGATAGCCGTAGGACCGCTGGCAGACTTCAAATTTCTGGTGGAGCGGTCGGTGCCCGCCGAGGACGCCGCTTTAGAACTGCGGATTCGGTCCAAAACCGGCGGAAGAAGGGGGGGAAGGCCGAAGCAAGGCTTCGGCGCAACTAAGGTGAAGCTTGGTGGCTCCCAGCCGTCCCCGTAGCAGTTTTAGCTTTTTAGGGTTTGGTGGGGATTCCCATTTCACCCACGAACAGTTAAGCTTTTAGCGGGGGATCTGACGGCAGCCCAGGAATGATTGAAGTCTTGTTTGCTTCTATGACTCACTTTCTGGGTCTACTTCCAGCTTTGATTTGAGGGGTAAACACAAGCAGAATCCGAACCTCGGCTTTTCTGTTCGGAGTTGGGCCATGATTGACCAGCACAACTCCCAAATGTTTGGGACAGCTCCCATCTTCCTGCAGGTAGAAATCCACTTCGTGAGCGCCAAACCACAGCTGGCCAATGCTTTCCCCGCCCTCCCTTTTGCTTGGGAAACGATGCGGCTGCCGGCTGCCACACAAGTCCAAGGCGTAGTTCTCGACAAGTCTTGCTTTGGACAACATTTCGAGAGATCCGTGCTCATGCTACTGAGGAGACCGCCTAGGTCCACTGATGAGACCGCCTAGGTCCGCGTACCACTATGCCTCGAGTTGTTTGGCTTGTATCATTACCTTTTAACCACAGGAAGCGAACCTGCCCTTGGCGGGATGCCCGAGTGGTCTCGAATTCATGTTCTTGGGGCAAGAGACTGCAACATGCTCTCGCGGTTGGCAATCCCTTGGCTATTGGCTGAACCAAAAGGGAAACCACTTTGCCGCAGAGAGCCTTTGGGTGCAGTCGCATCACTTGCGCCGTTCGCTTTTCGACTGGAGGGGGCATGGGGATCAAGCTCTAGCCAGCGGGACAAAAAAGGCGCAGTGCTCCAGCGGATCCTGACACAGCGCTTGGATGTGTCTGGAAATTGGGGAATCCCATGACCTGCTGGTGCAAGAGGAAGGGAATGAGAACTGGAACGAGCCCTTTCAAACATCCCCTATGGTTTGCATTGGGGCATCCCCCAATAAGTGCGCGCGCGCGTATGTGCGTGTGCGTGTGCGTGTGCGTGTGCGTGTGCGTGTGCGTGTGCGTGTGCGTGTGCGTGTGCGTGTGCGTGTGCGTGTGCGTGTGCGTGTGCGTGTGCGTGTGAGTGTGAGTGTGCGTGTGAGTGTGAGTGTGTGTGTGTGTGTGTGTGTGTGTGTGTGTGTGTGTGTGTGTGTGTGTGTGTGTGTGTGTGTGTGTGTGTGTGTGTGTGTGTGTGTGTGTGTGTGTGTGTGTGTGTGTGTGTGTGTGTGTGTGTGTGTGTGTGTGTGTGTGTGTGTGTGTGTGTGTGTGTGTGTGTGTGTGTGTGTGTGTGTGTGTGTGTGTGTGTGTGTGTGTGTGTGTGTGTGTGTGGTGTGTGTGTGTGCGTGTGCGTGTGCGTGTGCGTGTGCGTGTGCGTGCGCGTGCGCGTGCGCGTGCGCGTGCGCGTGCGTGTGCGTGTGCGTGTGCGTGTGCGTGTGCGTGTGCGTGTGCGTGTGTGTGTGTGTGTGTGTGAATGTGTTCCACCTCGAGATGGCCTGATGCGTCGGGTTTTTGTTTTGCAGGCCGCCAAGACCGAGAACGTGCCGGGTGTGGACGAGTTCTTTCTCTACAAGCTGGAGGCCAGAAGATGGGATTTGGTTGGATGAAGCAAGCCCAGTTGCCAGTGGATCCATTTACTATCATTTACTGTATTGTAGGTAACCAAAGCCAAAAAAAACAGCTGGTTACCTACTATAAGGGTAACTGGGGATCCACTGAAATCAACGGGCCTTCTTGGGATGGGATGATTGGTTGATAAGGAATCCACAAGGAACTCCCTTCCATAAACGGGAGTTAGCCCCTGTTTCCGCGAGGGTACCCTTTTTGGGAAGAAAACCAAAGAAAACCACTACACAACTAAGAAGCAACAGGAGTATCACCCTGTCTGTAAATATAAACATAATTATATATATGTGTTTGGGCTCAGGGTCGTTTGGAGAGAGAGTTCCGGCCCTTTCACAGATGCCGTGCTCACATTTTTGTGAAGACCGAGTTGCCCCTTCGCAGTTCTAGTTGTTCCAGGGCCCCTCTTGTTGGATTGCCCGAGCGTGGCCTTGTCACCAGAAGGGGTAGTGAAGGAGAGGTTCTGCTGCCTGGTTCAAGAGGGAGGCTCATGGGGTATATTGGGGTGGGTCCATTCCAACGCCCAGGATAAGCTCCTTCCAGGGATCCTGAACTGCGCTTCAACTGGATCTCACAGAGATCTGTGAGTCAAGGGGCTTCAACTAGTCAATGTCATACACTCGGGGCTTCAGCTGCGGGCATTTCTTTATCTTGTACTTAGCAGTTTTGATATCTTCTTTTGCGGATGGTGTGCACATCACCTGTTTGGTAGCTCACAAGTGCCTTTCCTCTTCAGGAGATGTTTAAAGGTGACATATTAGAGGAACTACCCTGTTCGCAGGTCGAAAGTGAAACAACTCCTCAAGGTTTGTCTACGGGCCATGTCCATTGGCCTTCCACTCACGGCGGGGCTTCATACCAAGGCTGGAACTGTGACGGACATGACGCCGCAGAGCTGACCTGTTTTGGCGCTGTTAAGACTACTTCTTGAGGCTAATGAACGGCTTTCCTTCCCATCAGCTAGCATGGGTTTGTGCACAACGGCCCTTTCCAAGAGGAAAGTAGTCTTTCCACAGGGGTCTGTAAACTTCCATGTTAGTCGGTGGGAAGGAAACCAAATAGTTATGGACCATACTCAATCATACAAAGCTGAGGTTTCAACGGATTTGCGACACCTTTGAATTGGTGCTTCTTGAGTTCGGGACCCAACGACAACGCGTCAAACAATGGAAAGAGAGGGACACTCCTTGAGCAGACTTTTATTCATCCCAGGTGGTGTGCTTCCCTTTGTGACACATCCTGGTGCCTGCTTTGACCGTTCCTTCAAGATGACACCACCGTTGGTTGCCTTTGGTTTCCGTTCCTTCCTGCTTGGGTGGTCCTCCTTTTGGAGGCAAGCCTTTTTGGGGTGGTTTTAAAGGGCAGCCAAGAGGAAGCCCCCCGAAACGAACGAGAGAGAGAGAGACACAGCCCCCATTCCCAGGTGTCGTTGTGGATTTCTCTTGATTTCCCTTTTTCAGGATTATGCACATGACAGTTATTCCCCTCCGAGGTTGAATTGAAGCAAGGCTTCCCCACACCATTGGGCCCCAATGCTGAATAGATGTTTGGTACAGAACCAGACCGCCAAGGGGTACTGTATGGAAGGGGGCAGGGCGTACTCCGAAAAAGGGGAAAGTTCTTCCCCGTGTTCCTTTGGTGATACGGAAATCATGCATTCCCCAACCCGACACCAACGAAGCTCCAAGCTATGGCTAATTATTGCGATGAGGAGTCTTGCTTGTCATGGTCCAGACTGAGCATTTCTTAGACATACTATAAATGGCCGAAGTCGACTTCTGCCCCACCACAGACACCCTGGAATCATAGGTGTCCTTTTTGGTTGGTTTGCTTAAAAAATAGAGGGTCCTGGTTTAAATGGGGGTTATTCCATTTACCAGGGAAACCCATCTATTTTCCCAAAAGGCCACCTATGCCTGGAAAGATTCGATTCCCCCGCCAAAAATGCCAACCAACAATGGCAACGAGGCAACCATCGGACCTACCCGGGATAAGTTACCTTCGGATTCCTCATGGGAATAGGCTCCGCCAGAAGGTCGGGTTCCTGGTCTATGTCATCACCCGCATATCTACAGCCACGTCGAGGGCCACCCCCATATTAATAAACAGGGGGTTGATTTGTTTGGGGTCAGCATTGAATGTCATGACCTTTTGGTAGATGACCCCATTTTGTAAGGGTCGGGGTTTGTTGGTACCTTCTAAGAAGGTACTTGGACCCCTTTTGACCCCCCGAAGCCATCCGGCAATTTTTGTCGCTCAATACTCAGAAAAGCTCACTCTCTGATTTTTGTTGCTGACTTTGTCCTTTTTTGAGAAGACCGTTAAAAGTGGTAAACAACAAGTTTACACCTTTTCTGTCTCATCCACTCGATCGGTGCATAGGTTTGTTTGGGGACCTCCAAACAATCGCCAGGAATCTCTTGTGGGGATCCGCGCTGCGTCAGCTGGGAACTTGTGGGCAGGCTTGTGCATAGCCGCTTTGGGGGAAGACGCCAGGCTTTGGCTGCTTTTATAGTTTATGGGTTAGTTAACCGTTAGTTATGGCTGAATCATGAGAAACTAGCCCTCAAATGGTCCAATATGGCCATGGCTTCATATAGGTCCAAGCCTGGCTATGGACATCGGGTTCTAGGGTGCTTTTGGTTACCACTTTCGGGGAGAATCTAGGGATTGGTTGAAGTTCATTGCAACTTCCCCTATCCCTAGGGTTCAACCCCCATTAAAAGAATGGCATTCGGTAAAACATGGTGGTTGCAGGGGGTCCGAATCATTTTCCCGGGCAGAAACATTGCAGGTTGATGCCAGAAGCTAGGTCGGCTGTCCGACTTGCATTGACACCAGTCATGTGGGTGTGGGTCAAAATTATTTCTCCACCCGAAAAAAAAACCGCAGGTTTGAGTCTTTGCTTCCATTTGCCAAGGCAAGCCATTCTGGTTACCTATCTTTGACCCGCCATGTGGCTGTGGGACCAACTCCCAAGGCAGCTCTCGCCGTCCAACTTCACGGAGCTCCGATCTCGTTTTTGGGGCGTCTCAAAACAGGAGTCGGACCCCCTGAAATTCCTCAAATTTGTAAGGGTTGATTCCCCATTCTTTCCAACCATCGTTCTTTTCGAAAACCGGCCGTTTCCATGGGTTTCCGGAGGTTTTCTAGAAAGAAGGATCCCTGGAAAGAATGGGGAAGGTACCAGGTGGCACTAGAAAACTGGATGGTTTCCTTTAAAGTCCCCTTTAAAAGGAACCCAAAAAAGGGTGCCCTCAAAAAGACGCAGCATCTTTCTTGGGTTTTTGGGCCCCGTGATATGGTTGAAGAGGACCCTTGGTATGTCTCCCAGATTTAAGGTAAAGCCAAGCCGGTGTTGGCATGCACATCCTCCATGTCGCAACATCCGAAGGTCTTCAGAAAATGTCACTCCCTGGTTCCGTTTCGTGAGTGACTTGGGGAATGCCATTTCCCAGGAGTCTCTTGGACCCTAAGCGACGCCCAACTGCCTGAAATGAGCTCCTAGGGTATTGGCATACCACAAAGTGTGCTTTCTTTTTTGGGGCCATCCACTCGACTCAAGCGAGTTGGTCTCGCCTAGGTTCAAGCCCATCGAGGAGATCGGCGTGGCCAAGTTTGCCAGGGGCCCGGACTGAGCCGATCGGGGCTGGGTCGTTTTCACTGGGCCGGGAGGTTCCTTTGCTCGGTCATTTGGTGGTTTGGAGCCCGGAGGTTTGGGGAATTGAGGTTTGGGTTTGAGGTTTTGGTTTGGAGCCCGGAGGTTTGGTTTCGGGGGGGAAAAAAAAGAGAAGAAACAAAAACGAAAACCGCCACTTGACCACCAAACCACCAAGCCAAACTTCACCCAACTCAGGGGACACCTACACCAAGGCTCCGATCGATGGCATGGGGAATTCAACTCGAGATTCGCCTTTCACCAACTCGGGGTGTGGCTAATGCAGCGGGAGTTGCGGGTGCATTCCGGTCGCCCCGATCGGAGCCTTAGGTTCCGATCGTCTGAAAACAAATTGCTGGGAAGCCTGGAGTTCCCAAAGGCTTTGCACACCCACTAAACCCCGAAAAGGCTTTGCCCCAGAAAGGGAACTCCGAGAGATGAGGGTTTTCTTATCGCCCTTTGGGGTGATGAAGGAGAGAACTGGGGCACTTTACATGCAATCAGCACCATTGCACAAATGTTGCACTCCATGTAAGTTACATTCGAGGTATTTGATCCCAATTTTGAGGTAGCTAGGGGAAGGGGAGAGACCCAAATACTTTGAGAAATTGGACCCACTTACCCTGAATTTATTGAGTGTTCAAGCTGGTCGCTTCGACTTGGCCAGGTGGAGAAGGAAGGGGTGAACATGGACAAAGACATTGGCGAGCTGATCGATCGAACTCATGTCCTGGTCGACAGGACATTGGGTCTGCAATCTGCCTTGTTATGATTTTCCCAGACTCTTTTACTGGCCGGTGCTCAGTAGGGAATGAGGGAATGACCATATAAACCATCCCTTGTGGTTTCCTTTAAAGGATCCCCTACGTTCAGTCCCTCGTTCCCTACTTACATCACCGGCAAGTTTAAGACTGTCAACATATATGTCGCTACAGCCACTCCGGCACCTTTACTAGGTCCCCCAGTAGTGCCCTTTCTCACCCCGAATAAAAGGAGGGTTCCCCTACTAAAGTAGACTACAGAAAGAAGTTGGTACCCTTATTCTAACCTCTCTACTGGAGGACCTAGATTCCACCGTCTCGTTTTTTCTTTTTCAGGGCGCAGAACCGGGTCTACAGCGAGATGCTGAGTCAGACAGACCTCGTCTCGGGCACCAACTCCTTCTACACGCCTGGTCCTCGGTGAGCCAGTTGCCCCATGGCTCCTTGCCACACGCACGTTATAAACCAACTCTACCCTAGTCCTTCATGATAGTTTTTTGTGTTGTCTTTTTTTCTTCCCTATTTTTTGTCGCGCTTCAGTGTGTTTGCTGTTTTGCTGCTAAATGTCGCGCTATGGTTTGATTTGTTGGGTGTGTTGTTTGTGTGCTGCTCGTTTGCATGTTTGGGCAAGTATACACACTTAGTATGTTTGTGTGTGTGTGTGTGTTGCGTGACCTGTTTTACCATTTGTGCTTGCTTGCGCGTTTGAGGGTTTCGGGGCGTGCGCGCGCGCGCACGCGCGCGGGTGTGTGTGTGTGTGTGTGTGTGTGTGTCTGTTTTGTCTGTGTGAGTGTGTGTTCGGGTGTGTGTGTCTGTGTCTGTGTCTGTGTCTGTGTCTGTGTCTGTGTCTGTGTCTGTGTCTGTGTCTGTGTCTGTGTCTGTGTCTGTGTGTCTGTGTGTCTGTGTGTCTGTGTGTGTGTCTGTGTCTGTGTCTGTGTGTGTGTGTGTGTGTCTGTGGCTGTGTGTCTGTGTGTGTGTGTCTGTGGTGTGTCTGTCTGTGTCTGTGTGTGTGTGTGTGTGTTTGTTTGTGTGTCTGTGTGTGTGTGTGTCTGTGTGTGTGTTTGTTTTTTGTGTTTGTGTTTGTGTGTGTGTGTTTGTGTTTGTGTTTGTTTTTTGTGTGCGTGTTTGTGATTGTGTTTGTGTGTGTGTGTGTCCTTGTGCGTGTGCACGTGCGCGCGTGTCTCTGCGTCTGTGCGTGCCTAAGTGCGTGCGTGCCAGCGTGCGAGCGTGTGTGGACAAAAATTGTTAGGCCTACAGTGTCGGGGATTCTTCGGGGCATTCCAAACTTGTCCCAAAGACCACCCGCACCTGGATGGCTGTGGGTCAAAACCAATGGTATCCCGTTTTGGGGTAGGTGAATTCACCACCCATTTTAAGACCTATTTTAGTGATTCTGTGGGTCAAAACCAATGGTACCGTTTTGGGGTAGGTGAATTCACCACCCATTTTCTATTTTAGTGGTTGGATTGGTTGATGTTCACTGGGGGCTAGCCGATTTGGATGTTGACCCACGGGCGAAGGTCCAGGTTTCGTTGCATCTCCGAGGCTTTATTTGCTCGAGTCCGACAAGGTCCGGGGTGTGAAGAAGCCGTTTGCCATCTCTGAACCCATCACTCCGATGGGGAAGTGGGTGTATCGTTTTCTATAGGGTTTTGTAGTTGTATACTGCTTCTGGAGTGGGGCAAACAAAATTGTTAGCACAACTAGGTTGATCGCCTGCAAATGCTAGAAATAATAGAACGACGCACCTGATCATGGTAAGTTAGAGGTGTTGTTTGTTACTTGCAATATGGCTGTGGGTCAAAACCAATGGTACCATTTCACCCATTTTCTATTTGAGTGGTTGGATTGGGATGTTCACTGGGAGTACGATTTGGATTTGATCCATGGCCAATATCTGGGTGTGCTTGGTGCCAGGACTCCGGCGGCAGCTGCTACTGGGTGTGGCGGAAGTGGGGCCGAATAGGCGTGGGCGGGGGGGGACTCAGCCGGCATCAGAATTCAGTCAAGCCCGCGCGTTTTCGTCTTGGTTTTTCTGGCGTCATTGTGTCGACTGCCATTCGCTAAATGAATATGTTGTGTGTTCCGTTGTTGCTTTTTTGAACGGACTCGATTTCACTACTGGACATGATTTCTCATTTAGTTCCAGGGGGCGCAACCGCAAACGGCAGTTTTGACTGCGTTTGGGAGTCATCACATATGTTTTTCCCTGTTTGCCGCACTTTGGAGGTCACGTTGATGGTGGCAAAATAAAAGGGCACCGTTTGGTGGGTTCGGATTTGGGACCCAAAGGGGGTGGGAGGAGAGCTTCAGCTGTGCAGAAGGCTGCTGTCCGCATACCAAGCAGAGAACCAGAAAAGCGCCGTGGTCACATGGAAGGCCATCACGGACAGTGTCCTCAGGACACGACCAGTGCGGCCACAGCGCCGTATCTCTACGCATTTGTGCTCCGCTTCAGGGGTGGCACAAATGCAGAGCCGGTGATGGAAAGTGAGCAGTTGCTCAAGTCAGTGTCAAGCCAAAACAGCTAGGCGCTGAGATGTGGGATCTGCTCAGTGCGGAAGTCAAGGGCACAGACCCCCTCTTGCGCTGCAGACACGCCGCGTTGCGTCTGGCATTCATCAGCCCAAACACGTACATGACCCCGCAAGACCTGAAGAAGCTCCTGGGAGCGATTGCAGCATGTCCGCCAGCTGGCCACGGCTCAGGGCTTGGACAACCCAAACGGAAGCTCTTCAAAGACATGTTTGGTTTGGTCGCATGTTAAGCTGCAGGAGACTACCCCACAGAATGTGACGTTTACTCAGGGATCCAATGATATCCAATGTGTTTCCCTTTGTGGATACTCAAACGTCAACTTTGGGCCGTTCCTTTGGTGGGCTGATAGGTAAAGGGGAATATAGGGATCCCTGTCTCATGGCAAGTGGGTGTTGCCAAATCTTGGGAATTCCCGTGGGCTGCAAAGGAACCGACAGGAACATAGCCTGAGGGTCCTCTTGACGTCCCGGCAAAAAAGCAACTCGGGGGTGCACAGAGCCTCCGATCCTTAGGGCGTGCATGATTGTCGTTTTTCATTGTGCCCCGCTTGCTATGAACTTGGGAGTCACTTCCAAAGTGATTGGTGGACATGAAGCCCCCACCTAGATACTGAATGTCCACCAAAGGGTCCGGGGCTTGGTGCTTTGGATTTTGCTCCCTCATTTACAGGTGACTTGGTGTTCTTCTGTGACTTCCCTACTCAGTGTCTTTTTTGTTCTTGACCTGCAACCTGAGTCTCCATGACTCCCCTTGGAACATGGGGTCATGACTCAACGAAAGGGGTCATGACCCCATTTTTGAAGGGTCATGACTCCAGGTTGCCCCCCGACCTGGGTTCGCTCATGGAAAGCCACAAAGGCGGTCAACAGGACACGGCCAATTTTGCCCAAAACCGGTCTCTCCTGGCTGCCCGGTTTTTTGTGGACCCATAACTCGGTTGAATGTCCAATTTTGACCCTGGTTCATCGACGGCGCATCGGGGCAGGAGAAAGCTACTCTGATTTTCCATGCGCTTCAGAGTTCATGTTCGCATTGTCGAGATGTTTCGGCACGGAACTTGGTTGGTTTAGAATATGAACAATATGGTTCTTTGGCAACGACTGTTTTTTGTTTGCCGGGGGGAACTATGTAGGTGTTTGCAGGTACAGACGACTTTCTCTCGCTTCCTCGTTGTGTTTGTACAAATCGTAGCTTCTTACCCGCCAACCGGCCAAACAAAAAGAAACACATGTTTTGCGTCGGGGGCGGGCAGTTGTATCAGCAGTCCAACGCCGAGCTTTTAGCCTTTACTAGGTCCCTCAGTAGTGCCGTTCTACACTTTTTTGGGGGAGGGTTCCCCTACTAAAATAGCATGGACTCAGGGTACAGTTCAACTCTTAAAACCCGAATGAGAAAATACTTCCCTTTGGTTTAAGTCCCCTAGCTTGGTTGTTGTTGACCCCCCTGCAAAAAGTTTGACTTTTTGGGGGTTTAGTGGAAAACCCCCCTTGATTTCCCAAAAAGTTAAAGTCCAAGACCCTAAACATGGTAGATTCCTTTTCAAACCAACAGGGGGGGACATAAATAATATGCCAAAACGGGGGGCTGGAGCTCCAAAAAACCATCGATCGATGTAATATAGGGGTGCCACAAAAGGGAGGGGAGCGTTGGAACCCCGAAAATCCATCGATCGGACCTGGGAATGAAAGGTGCTTGCTGGCTGCTACCTTGACTAAACAGGGACCAGGAGCAACCCTCAACTAGAACACGGGCACCTTTTTTTGCTCTAGTCGACGGTCCGCCAACGGTCCGCCTCCGATGCCAGGCGTCAGCCAGGGCGGCAAGAAGTTAGAGGAGTTGCCTGGCCGATCCAAAACGCTTCAACGTTGCTTGCCCAGTGGACTGCGGCCCTTTTCTTCATGTTTTTTGTCTCACTTCCTGAGTTCATGAACTTTAAACTTTTTGGGAAAACCGTTTTAGTGGTAAAAATACAGTTTGGACTTTTTTTGGGCCATCTACTCAGCCAGTGAGTTGTGGTAAGGGTTCCCCCGTCCAAGTGAAGCAACCAGGAAAGGATGCCGATTCATTTTTTCCCAAGGCCACTGGGCATCTGAGTGAAGGAAACGGAGTCGCAGCGCTTCGCCGATTCGGTTGACCCATGCAGTCGGTTCAAGAAAAGGCAAACCGGTTCCTTGGGTTTGTAGCTGTTTGAGTTGGTCAAAGGTGGTAGCCACTAAACGAGACGTTGCGACTTTTAGCATAAGATCTGAGAACAGCCCAGAAAGGAATGGAATCGGAAAAGAATGCGTCGAAGGGTGCGATACGAGTGGCTGGGCCCATGTCGGTACAGGTGATGGCTTTGTCTCAAAATAAGAATCAGAACCCCCAAAATGGGCTTCCCATTCAATCCACCCCAGGAAGGAAAACAAAACACAGGCCCTTGTGTTCAGGGCTGTGGGGAATGACCACTTCTGTGATACAACAGAAAGGGCTTCCCACAGACTATTTTGTTCATAGAAAGGGGGATTCCCAAAAGTATCACAGAAGTGGGGAGAAACCCCTTGATCCCACAACCCTGCTTGTGTTTCGCAAGCCATGTAGACTCAACGCTGCGCCCTTCGAAGCCTTCCGAGGTTCAAAACGAACAAGTCCGCCGCCATAGCGCAGTTCGGAAAGCTCTACACGGAGCCTCCGTTGCATTGGGTTTGCCTAAAATTTGAGCAAACTAATACTTTTTTGTTTTTCAATTGTTGGTTTTAAAGGGAATCTATCAGTGGACATGGTTTTATTTGTTCCAGGGGGCTTAAGCAATTGGAAGTTTGCCTCACAAGCATCAGTGCACAAGGGAGTTATCCTATGGTTGAGGGCCTCAATAATTGGGGCCGATTCCCCAATCCCAATAGGGGCGGGGCTAACTCCATTTAGCCCACAGAAACTTTTAGCAGATCAGTTTTGGCCGCCGGGTGTGTCCTTAGCGACCTCAGGAGCATTTGTTCGGGAACCATGGATCGTGTCATTTTCCTAGCACAGGTCTCAAGTCCTTTTACGCAGGTCTCGTTTCTCAAGACCTTTTTTTTGGTCTTTAGAGGTGAGGCCCTCAGATTTGTTTCGGGTCCAAGTTGGAGTTCGTTTATCCACCGGCGGTAAAGAAACAGTTTTCTCGAGCCAAGGAGAAGACGGGCAACACCTATGGTCACAAAGCCACGGAGTTTGTGCCGCTGGGCTGAAGAGTGCGGATGGTCCGATCTTTTGTGAGAGAACGAGCACCTTCGCATGAAAGGCAGAGTGTGCCGGAAATGAAGCTCACTTTCCCTGCAGGTTTCGTTTCGGACTTTAGCCACTGTTTGGGTCTGGACCACTTTGGTGGTAAGCAACAAGTTCGCTTACTTTGTTTGGCCAATCTACTCAAGAAGTCAGGGAGAGGACACCAAACGGAATTGATATGAGAAGGAAACCAGGGCACCAAAAGGACACCATGTTTGTTCTGGGCCTTGGATTGAAAAGGACACCAAAAGGACACCATGTCGTTGTTCATCGGTTCGAAAGGCCACCGAAGGGAAACCAACCGCTCGGTTTGTCCCTTGAGACAAACCCAGTGGGGAGGCAGAGACGCCGACTCGGTTTCAGCCGGAGTCCCGCCTTCAGACTTCTTCTGCGGTGAAGATGTTGTCTTTTTGACTGGAAAACCGCGTCTTGCGCAGGAAAGCCGCGTCTTTTCTTTGGGGGGGGGGGGGCGGGCGGAGGGTGGTCTTTGGGAGGCCCTTTTTGTTGTATCACTGTGGTCATTTCAACTTCGCTGCTATTGGGTTGGATCTTTAGACTTTAACTTTTTGGTTGAAATCATTTGGGGTTTTCCACAGCCACACAAAGTGATTAACTCTTTCTTTTGCAGAGGGGTCAACACCTAACCACTTTATTGCTGTTGGGTAGATCTCAACTTTTTGGACTCCCCTCATATTTCCTTTTAACCAATAAACAGTTCTACACTTTTTGCTGGGATCTACAGCACCCAAGACCAACTCCACCGCAGCCCGGATCGCTTGGATGGGTAACTCCCATCGAGCTGGGTGAATCACCCCAAATGGTGGTTTATGTGGAGAATAGCCCCCCGACCACCGCAAGTTTCAGTTTGCTTTACTTTCAGTGCTACTGGCATGAGATTGGGTTACCGTTTAACCAAAAAGCAGTTAAACTTTTTGCTGGGGGACCTACAGCGCCAAAGAGTTCCAGGCAGAAGCCCGGGAAGTTCGGGCGGATCGATCTGCAGCACAAGGTTCGCGAGCGAGAGAGCCAGCGGAGCGGCATGAAGCGTTTTTGTTTCTTCTTCTTTTTTTGTTGTTTTTTTCCCCCTAGGTCCCCATAGTAGTGCCCTTTCTCACCCCCTTTTTTGGGGAGGGCAAGCCCCTACAAGCGTCCGCAGATTTTGTGTTATTTTTTTTTTCCTAGGTGCCCCAGTCCTTTGCGATAGCGCACAGTGTCTGTTCGACGCAGCGATTTAGGGGGAGGGGGAAAGAAGGAGAAGGCCCCAAAAACAAACAAGTCAGTAGCGCCCTTTCTCACCCCTTTTTTGGGGGAGGGTTCGCCTACTAAAACTACAGAAAAAACTTGGTACCCAGATTCTAACCTCTCTACTGGAGGACCTGGTTTCTGACCTTTCGGAGTGGTTGCCCCTTTTTTTGAGGGTCCAAAGGGAAACGCAAAACAACAACACAGGGTTTTGAAGCCTTGTGAGGGAAAACCTTTGGGTATCCCCATTTGTGTGGTTTTAAAAGGGAAACTTAAAGGAAACCCGGCAGTTTTGGGGGTCCCCTAAGCAGAGACACGCCCATGCTGCGTTCCCATTTTCCGCCAAGAGCTACCTTCTATGTCCAGGTCAACATACGGCAAGGTGGTTCGGTTCCTACCCGTCTTCGTAAAGCTTCGGGTATGAGTATATAAACTTTTACAACCATCTTGGTAGAACCTAGAGACGACTGGTGTTGGGCACTGCTCAACTTGATGTAAGGGGTCAAATACGTTCTGAGAGTTTACTCCCAATCATGACTGAGTTTGTTTTGGAAGTCCTACAACCGCATTCCAACGATTTAGACCCCTATACATTACACGTTTAGCCTTTTGCCTTGTTGGTTCTCCGTCATTGTCCCTCTCAACCAGCAACAGCTGTCACTTTTGGCAGCTCGGATCCGTTTGGCCTGGGGGTTTCAAAATGGATTTCAGACTCCTTTTTGGATGGTACTTGGGAAGTTGGCACAATTCCCCCATTCTATTGGCATCCCCAAAAAGGCGACGCTGCCGCTCTGCACAAAGATGACATCCTGAAAATCAAGGACGAGGAGTTCAGACTGACCTGCTTGGAGAACTTGATGCAGAGCAGGTTCTCAGCTCCCACGGAGAGCACAGCAACTTCTACACAAGCTGTTCACCATGTTGCAGAGCTTTGCGGACGTGGGTGGGAGGACAGGACACCAGCCCATCTTTAGGGTTTGGTCCCGTGTGTTCCACCACGATGGATGCTTTTGGTCTAAAGCTTCAGCCCAATCCTGTGGGCGTCTATATTGTTTGGAATGCCCAAGGGTGCCCTCTTGCCTTGGTTCCCAGCCAACCCCTTTGCTGTAGGTTTTGGGTTCTTCGGGTTTAGGGGGGGTTTCCATTTGAGACACTAAAAGCTCAACTTTTTGCAGGGGATCTGAGGACGGCCCTCTTGAGCGTGACAAACAGAAGTTGTTGAGAGCAGCCCGACAGTTGTTTGCTTCCTCCTTTGGAGGGGTCCACCATTCTAGAAAAGAGGCTGTTAATTTTCCAAAAGCAAACACTCCAGAACCGGGGCCCCAGCAACTTTTCCCATTTCGAAGGGTCTACGACTCTAAGATGCAAGCCAACCCCAGCACGATGCCGTAATGACGGTCTTGACCCACCATGTTTCTGTGGAAACACCGAGCTTCCAGTCTGCCCACCCATACCACTGAGCGCAGTCACTTTGAGACGTACTACCTTTGAGGGCATGTCGCGTGCACCCTAAGGGCCGTGCATATCCACGTGCAAAAACAAAACAGAGACACTAGAATAGTGGTGAAGCACCCCAGCAAACACAGCTTTGGCAGGGCTCGTTTTGCTTGCGAGGCCCTTCAGAAGAAGAAGGCCAAGACGGAGGACAACGAGGTTGGTTTTAGGGGGGACAAAGGAAACAGCCAATTTGGGCCCAAAAGGCGTCCCTTTCTGCCATTTTGAGGATCCACAAGCAGCATATCAGGTAAGGGGATTTGAACCCTTGCTTCTTGTGGTGGATAGATGGGAAGCCCACCAAACCGGGCTCCAAACCACCAGTAGGGAAGCTGAGAAGAGCTCTGTTAGCTCAGGTTTCGAGTGCGGTTTCTTGATTTCGTTCTTATTGTCCCAGCTTTCTCAGGGCTCCTTGAAGATACATGTTGCAACCCTTTGAAAAATGTTGCTTTTTCAACACCAAACTAAAGGGAAACCACCATGAACAAGGCAATGTTCAGGTGTATAATGTACGGATCCCTGTTTCTGGGGGAATACATGGGAAAAAACAGGGTCTCGGAAAACACTCTCGGGGGGCAATGCCGAAAATGATGACATATGGCCTACTCATGAAAAATAGCACTTGAAACCTTGGGGAAGCATTACTTGTTGGTAATTTCAGGAATCATCATCCCAGGGGTTGTTAGGTGGTGCAAAATGTTGTCCATCCACAGTATGGCCTATTCATGAAATATAATATATTTGTACACCTTGCGCCGTTTGCAGGAGTCCCAGCTAGATTTTTTCTTGCGAGACTACCTGCTGAGAAACATGCACCGTAGACAAGCCTTGCCCAAAAACTTATGGCAACATTACCCCGTACCCCGGTGGATCTTTACGTGGAGCTTTTCTGGGGTCCAGCATCACGTCAGAGGGTGTTTTCTTGCCGACAGCCAACCTGTTGACCTTTTCGTTTCCAGGTTTGGTGCATACTTACTTAATCATGACCCCAAAAGGTGATCACCTTTTAGTCCCAGGTCCTTTATGCAACTGAGTTGCCCTTGTGCTGATCGGGCTTTTGGAGAATGGTGGCTTCCAACCCAAACCCTCATATCCCCACAACCCCAAAATTTGATGCCCCCAGGCCGCACATGTCCAACCTCCAAGTCCTGCTTTTTGTTCTGTTGTTTTTACCTTTTGGTTTATGTGCCCAAAAGCCAAGGTTGGGGCCCACACCAAGGTTCAATCGGATCTTGAAAGTGTTAAGATAGTCGTGGGAGTCAACAGCCTCGTCATTCAAAGGGGCCCTCTTCTATGTTTCACAAACTTCCGTTGCACAGGCTGTTCCATTTTGGTTTGGTCAGACATTGTTGTTTATTATGTCTATTATGTTTATAACTATTGTAGCAACATATTATGTTTATAACTATTAGAACTACCATTAGGTCTATTATGTTTATAGCATTGACCAAAAATCATATTACTATTATTTGTATATTTTTTGTTTCGGCCGGTTCTCAAGTTACCCCTTGATTTAGATGGCCGCCCAAGACCCATTAGACCCATTCCCGGAGCACCGATCCCAAGCGATTCGGCGGACCTCATCTCGAACCCCCCGGCCATCCGGCCCAACTTCGGCTTTTTTTCACACAGTTCGTCGGTGTACTTCCCCAGAATTAGCTCCCCAGTTTGACTTTTTGCTTTTTTTTGGGTCCCCATTGTTTTCCACTAACCATGCCAAAAATAGGTTGTCGTTTTTGTTTTGTTGTTTAGGTTTTTTTTGCGGGGGGTCCTAATTCCAGCCAAGTTTGGTGGTTGGCTGCCCCTTTCACCCACAAGTTGAACTTTTCATCGCCCTCAGCGACCTCTCGCATTTAACTTCTTTTTTTAAGGGTTTAGTTTGGGGGGTTTTCATTTATTTACACCCCCAAGTGTGTAAACAACAAAAACAAAGACAACGAAGAAACAAACCAGACAAACCAACAAAAAACAAAAAAACAACACAAACAATCGCAAACGTCTTAGCCGGCTGAGACAAACGCGGGCCAGGTGAACCCGTCCCAAGAGGAGGTGGAGGGTGGCCAGGTCTTGGGCCAGCTCTCCAAGGCCGATCGAGGATTTGGGGTGGACATGGAACCCGCTTCCTCCGTGTGGAATTTTGGGGTCAAAATTAAACCCACCCAGGTTTGGTCCAGACTTTTAGGTTTTAGATGGAAAATTAGACCATTGACCCAGGTTAAAGAATTGGGCCGCAGGTGTTTGTCTTCTTTGTTTCCATCCACGACCACGACCACCTGTTGCACAGTGGATTTCGCCCCTTGTTTCAACTTTTTTTGGGGCAAGGGTTCCGATTCCTTTAAACTCGACCAACAAAAAAGGGGGCCATTTTTTCCCAATGGCCACTGGGCATCTCAGCACCATGAGTTGAAACGCTTGTTTTGGGGGGGGCGTCAGAGCAGCGACTTGTGGCTATTTGGCTTGATCTTGGGACTTTAACTTTTGGAAACAGTGGATTCTCCATTGCACCCGCAAGAGAGCTAAACTTGTTGCAGAGTGGAGCCTTTTGTAGGGATTCTGAAAGCTATGGACTTGGCCTCTGCTTAAATAGGCTCTGGGGTGGTTCGGAGCTTGCAGGGAGGGTTCATTAGGAGGTTCCAGCAGGTTTCGGGGCTGTTGGGGATACGGGATACTACCTTGGCTTATTTCGAAGGCACCATGATGGCCCATGGAAGGAGTGTTTGACCATGGCTCATGTCATAATATGTTTATTTGCCCATACTTGCCAAGTATCCAGCTTAATTGGTGGACCGGCAATTGCATGGCCTGGAGTGGTTCAAGTTGCAGTAGAATAGCTGTTCGATGCCCGTGTTGATTTCCCCCTTCATGGTGCTTGTCATCCATTCACCAGTCAAACTTTGCCATAGCCGGCTTCAGCCTTCACCTACAGGGGCGCTTAAGGCCCCCTGCAGCGAATCTCCCCCACAGACGGCAGGACAACTTCTCTGCACGATTTATGGGGTACTCACCTGGAAGTAAATAAAGCGAGCTCATAGATGAAGCTCCAATACCGGGGTTCACTTCTGTCCGATTTTTGACTTAAAGTAGCGTGCCCAGATCTCGTTCGATTGTTGAATTCCAGGATTTGGTTCAAGTGTGTCTTGGCAAATTCCACCTGAAAGGGCTTGAATCCTCATTGAGGAATACGTATTGCTGGGGGCAACGTGTTGGTGAATTGTCGCGGTTTCTCCAAATGTCGCTCGTGTTTCTTTCGGGGTCCGAATACAATCCCAGGTCCAAGTACCTTGCATGTAATAGGTGGATCACGGGGCAATGAAGTGTCTCAGACTCATTTTTTCCAGTGGTGGCAATGCTCCGAGGGTTTCCTTGTTTTTGGGAGGGTTTCAATGTAAAAACCTGAGCTTTTTCTGGAGGAGGTTCCCTAAAAGTCAAGTTTGCCCCTTCACGTCCTTTTCCCCCATTCCCAGCCGCAACAAAATGGGTTGCAGTCGGGCAGTCCTGCTCCCCGATCAACTCGGACTCGATCGATCCGATTTCGTGTCCTTGTCCTCGCAGGCGGCGATCGAGAGGGGAAACGCGGTCCTGGATCAGATTGAGAACATCCTGTCTGAGCTCGCCGAAGGCCGTCCGGGCGGGTGCCTGCGGTCAGTTTTCAGGCTCCCCCAAATGCATCCCCAGCCCTTGGTGGTTCAACGAGCCATCTGGTTCCTTAGCATTTTAGCTTTTGAGTTGGTTTAGTCGGCGGTTTCCATTAACCCACTAGAAGCGAAACTTTTAGCAGGGGACCTGAGGACAGCCCAGTTTAAAAATGGATGGAATTGCGGGAGGGGGGAGAAAACGCCCCTGAAAAAAAACTCAATTCTGGTCACTCATTTTCGTTTAGGGGGAAGCTAGACAAATGGATTGGGGGATCCCCCCGCTGCCCCTCATGGTAGGGGGATCAACTTGCGAAAACGCACGGATCCGTGCACATAGACATGGCAGATTTGCCCTGTTGGAAGAAGAGTGGAGGGTATTTCTCACCCCTCGGAGCGTTGTTTCGGACTTGATTTGTTTTGGGCTCGGCCATGTTGGTGGTAAATACAAAATTTGGTTGCTGTTCCACTCGATCGGAAGTGAGGTGTTTGCAGTTGTGACAGTAAACTGGTCTCTGTTTCCTGCAGACGTCTTCCGGTTCATAATGTAACTTCTCTATTCTGCCCAAGGATCCTTGTATAGCAAACCATTCCAGATACACACCCAAGGGAAGCGGGGGCTGGTTTTCATTATTTCAAAAACACATTGTCGAAAACGGTCTGGATTCATGGTCTCAACCAAGCATGAAGCCGGTCATTTGCACTATCAGTCACTATCAAGTGTTTGCTATTCGATCCCAGTTGCATGACTGTCGTGGGTGTGTGCCACGAATGGTTGATGTCCTTAAACAAATCAGTATCTGGGAGGAGATCCCCCGAATTGTGGAAAGGACCCACATAGCATGCACCCTCTGGGGAAAGAGCATCTGAATTGGTGTAGAGATCAAATGAAGGACACACACTATGACGCATGGCAGAAATTACGCCACTGCAACATTGGCGCATTGTTGACACCTATCGTAACACACTTCAAAAACACGAAGCGTAGGGGACTCTCAAAAAAGTGAATGATTTCTTTTGGCCTGTGAAGGTGTTTGTTTGCATGAACTTCTCCTGCTTTGGGGAAGGTTTAAACCAAAGCGCAGCGGGCTTTGGGTGAAAGTGAACTTGGCTTTCGGTGAGTTCCGGCTTCCTTGCAAGAGGCTCTGCCCCAACGGTTTGGCTTCGGGTTTGTTCCCTCGCCTTGAAGATAAAACACAAAATGCTTGGTGGGTTCTTTAGTTGCTTTTCGTGGTTTTGAGTTTAGGTGATTCGGTTTCCGAATTGAAGCCTCTAAAAGTGTTCAACACTTTGAGCTGGGGCCCCTTTTTGTTGAGACACAATGTTGACCCCGAATTAATAAAAGCCTGTCCTATTAAGTTAGGGGGGTGTTCCCTCCAAAAGTGGTCTGATTCCCCACAAAAAGGAATTGGACACCCCCCAATCAAAATCAACCAGCGGTTCATTCATTTGGGGCCAACATTATGTCCTTGGCTCCCAGCCATCCGGCTCCTCAGCTTTTTCAGCCTTTTTGTGGGTGTGGTTCAAAGTTTCATTCCACCCAAGTGTTTCACTTTTAGCAGGGGGGTTGAAAAAACTGGCCGCCCAGTTTCGAGGCATTTTTTTCTCGAGACTCCTTGAGACTGAAAAGGGGTCCTGAGCTCAGGAGCCGCGCCCAGCGCGGTGCAGAAGGCCAAGATCAACGCCCACTCCGCAGAGCTCCTCGGGATAGGTTTGTGGCAGTTGGTGTCTGGGATACGATTTTTGTGCTCATTTTCTAGGCGGCTTGTTGGATTGGAGGTGAAAAGATTGGAGGTTTGGAGGATTTGGCTTTTCCTCAGGTCTTTGGGGGGTTCAAGTAGTTTCCGGGTCTTGGGAAATTTTAGGGTGAACTTCTTAGTTGCTGAGGGCGACCTCGGATGAGCCTGAAATGGCTGGTTCTACGACTGAGGTCTGGTTCTACGACCTGGTTTATAGGGATTACTGTCCTCCCTATATCAATCTGCCTTACCATGTCAGTAGAACCAAAGGTCAGCTCGGATCTTGGTCGCTGCTCGATTGGCCAAGGCAGCTCAGTGAAAAGCTCATACCGCACGTTCAGATGTTAGGGGTGGTTGAATTTCAGGAAGTTCCTCTGCACAACTCAGCTGGGTTGACTCGGATGTTTGTTTAATCAATTTGGTATCTGAAGGGAAGACACAGGCAAGTTATTTTGCACTGTTGTTCCTCATGAGTTCCAGCCACCTTAATGTATGTATGCAGGGTTGCCTCCATTTCCGTTTTTGGAGCCGCCAAAAGAAGCAGGTTCAATGAATGGAAACACCTGTAAACTGCAACCTTTCAAGGGGAAACCTTGGTAGAACCAGGCAGGCCTGAGCCGGTGATTTTGCCGAGGTTCTACGCGCTGATCCCGCACAACTTTGGACTGAAGGCACCACCGCCCATCGCGACACAGGACATGGGACGGTTTTCTGGATCCCAGTAAGAAGCCTCAAACCCACCCGCACCCTCAAACAGTTGTCCTAAAAGCAAAAAAACATACCCGGACCCTCAAACTACCAACTTCAACTGCTTGGAATCCCTTTTTTCATGGGTAGTTTGAGAGTCCAGGGTCCCCCAAAAATGGGATTGGTATTCGTTGTTTTTTGAGGGCACCCCCTTGTGGTTGGTTTTAAAAGAAGACCAACATCAAGCCAGCAACCCTGCGCCCCAAACCTGACTCGAGATCTGTTTGGCCTTGAGTGAAGGGGTCACTGCCCATAGGCGTGCCCTTGGTCGATTTGCTTGAAACAAGTAGGTGGCAATTCCTGGTATACCTGGTGGTTCAATCTAGGCCATCTATGTTCCAAGGACACCTGTCAAGCCATGCTTGATTCGGCGGCTCGGAGAGGGTTGTGGTTGATCACTAAGGGTGTATCCAACCACTTTTCTGAGACAAGGGGAATCTCCCCCTATTATTATTTTTTTGGGGGGGGTAGTCTTTTTTGTTGTATCACAGAACTGGATTTCTAGGGGTACCTTCCCCATTCTTTCTAGGGATCCTTCTTTCTAGGGACAACTAGTTCCAGAAATGGATTCCATTTCCTTCTTTCTAGCAAAACCTCCGGAAACCCAGGGAAAATTAGCTTTCCACCGCTGCCAACCACGGAGGGTTTCTGCGGTCGGTTCCGGTTTCGTTCGGCAGGACCTCTTGGGCGCCGAGCGCGCCACGCTGCAGTTCTACCTCCGCGGCTCGGAGATTTGGAGCCAAACTCCGGGCCCAAGGCGAAGGGAAATGCGAAATTCGACGTGTTTTCCCGTTTTTGTTTTTTTGTTTTTTGGATTTCATTATATATATATATATTTATACATATGATTGTTGTTTCCCTTTTTTGGGGGATTTCATTAAAACAAAAAGAATGGCAACGTTGCTCAGTGGAGCCTTTTTTTCAACCTTTCCGGGGTACGGATTCCGATTCTTTTAAACTCGACGGATCTTCTGTGAGCAAATGAAATTTGACGGTTTTTCCCGGTTTTGGGTTCCTTTTTCTTTGTCATGGCAACCCAAAAGGTGGTCACCTCTGAGAATTTTAGGTTTTCGGTTTGGGGATCCTATATCTCACTTCCTGAGTTCATGAACTTTAAGTTTTTTGGGAAGACCATTTTTTCAGGGCCATCCACTCAGCAAGTGAGATATGTTTTGGTCATGGCAACCGAGAGGGTGGTCACCTTTTAGCCGGTCCCTCCCATAAAAAGTCATAGCAACCCAAAGGGTGGTCACCTTTTGGAGTTGTTGGTTTCCTCAGGAGCAGGGGGGGATGGGGGGGGATTGGGGGGGGGATGGGTGTGTGTGTGTGTGTGTCTTCTTTTGGGTCACCCAGACGAAGCACTGGAAGAATCTCGGATCAGCACTTACAATACCCGGATTTCATCAATTTGATAGTTCTGCTTTGGTTTCTTTGAAACACCCTAATCTCGGCTATTGTTGGGAAACATTTTGCATTTTTGCTTGTTGTGGTTTAGTGGGAAATCCCCACTTAACTGCTAAAATTTAAATTTTCGCTCCCCTTTCAACGTCAACCAAGTAATGGATTTGTCTTTACTAGTGTTCCGAGCCTTCCATCCCAAAAGCTTCCGACTCAACAACCCTTGAGCAAAAGAAAAACACTCATCCCCAGGCCACTGAAGGTAGATGAGGATTCCTTTTGGTTGGTCCGCGCTCATTCCTCTTTTTGGAAGGGTCAAAGATACAGGGCATTTAAAGCAATGTTGCCCGCTAAACGGTCCAGTGTCTCGGTGGGAAGTACATGGATCCCTCATTCAAGTGTGTGTTTCATGCATGGAGAACGGGAACGAAGTGGCTGGTGGCTGCACACACCCCCACGTGTTTGTCATGTCCAAGTGTCTCCCAGTGAAAGTCCGAGACTTCGCGTACTAAGACAAGAACCACCCTGTTGGAATCGCCAGGGTCAGGGCAAAGTTTGTTCAAACACCAAGAAAGGGCGTCCCTAAAGCAACCAAAGCTGGCCCAATTTTTGGAGAGACCCTGTTGAAAAGTTGATTGACTTGCTTGTTCTCAGCACGGGATGAGATAATGACCCAAGTCTCTCTCTTTGGATACCCATAAACCATCCCCTGGGAAATCCCCTTCTACACCCGGAAGTATACTTCTTAGCCAGCGCGCCAGCAAGTTAAAGCGGCTGCTGTTTTGCTCAATGACGGGAACCAAAAAGGTTGGTTTAGCGGGGCTCCTTGAAGAATACATTTTGCCCTTTGAAACATGGCTTCTTCCACCAAAATAAAGGGAAACCACCATTTACAAGGCAAAAGTTCAGGTGTATAGTGTAAGGATCCCTGTTTAGAGGTAGATGCGCAAACCCCATTCTGGCGGGATCCGGTCCCCCGTTTTGACACACATTGAGCAGCGCCCCAAAGCTCCGGCTATAGTAGGTGGTTCACTGCCTGGCTTCGCAGTAGAGGAAGCGTAAAGCTTCAAACTGCGGTGTTACACAAAGTGGAATGGACACTCACGTGTTCGTGGTTTCCCTTATTGTCTAAAAGCGCCAGACGAAGGGATCCCTTAGTATTTTGATCACATAGGTGCAGGGTTGTGGGATCAAGGGGTTTCTCTCCACTTCTGTGATACAAGGGAATCCCCCTTTGTATGAACACAATAGTCTTTGGAAAGCCCTTTCCGTTGTATCACAGAAGTGGTCATTCCCCACAGCCCTGCATAGGTGTTTTGTGGTTGTTTCGATAAAACAATATCTACCAGGGCCATCTACTTCTCCAAAACCCCTCAATCTGACCGACCTTTTTAGCATTTAAAGTGGTGAATGTATCTGTTGGTGCGGTTTTCAACTACTGACCGCCCCCCCCCAAAAAAAAAAAAAAAAAACACGCCGTTGGGTCAACCCCCCATGCGTCCTAGATTGACACCCCGAGGCATGGGCTTCGAAGAGATCGGCGGCGAGGAGGAGGCGGAAGCGACCAAAATTTTGGGCTGGGCGGAAGCGGCGGCGCAAAGCGTGCGGTTTGGTTTGTGACACCGCCTTTAACAGGGGTCCCTATGTGTCCTTTTTTGGTGGTTTTAAACATCACCTTTTTGGCCATTGAAAGGTGAGTGTCCCTTGGTGGGGGTGATGTTTTTGGCCTTTAAACAACTTACCTCTTAAAAACACAACTTTTCAACTTTCTGGGTAACATGGGCTATATGTCTGTAAAAGATGAACTTCCCCAGGGCTTGGAGTTTTAAGGGGTAAGCCAACAAAAGTTCACTCCTCCAGCACTCGACTACCAAACGGACGTCGCTATATGTTAAAAAGGATCGTAGTTTGCAAAACTACTGCCCTTGTTTATTTGCGGGAGTATTGTCAACTGGAGGGTAGTCATGTGAGTCGGACGGTGCCGGCGGTGTTAGAGGTAAACACGAAGTTTGGACGTTGTTGTGGCTAATCGTCTCAGGAAGTGAGGAAGGGTGCTCAAGCAACAGTTAGAAGATGATAATGCGCGTTTGCGTTGTTTGAGAACTACCCTTTTGAAGCTGGTTCAAAAGGACACCTATTGAACACTCATTTTGGGTTGCCGCTTTTTGAGACCCATTCGAGCAGTGAGCGGCGTAATATCTAAGTGTCCCAAAAAGAAGGACATGACTGAGTGATTCCCCCGAGGAAAGCAGAAACGACGTAGCAAAAAGGGGTGTTGTTTCTTCGTGGCAAGCCCAGGCATCCGGTTCCTGAAGGGTTTCTATTTGTTTTAGTTGGTGAAAGGTGTCCCCTTCCTTCCCTCAGGTGTATATAGGTTTGTTTGTTGGTGAAGTGGTAATTTCCACACCCGACCAAGTCAAAAAGCCTCTTGGGAGAGATCAAAAAGCGGCCCGCCGGCCATGTGGGTCCAGCTTCCTGAAAATTTGGAACCGAGCGAAGGCCAAGTGAAGGCCAACCGAACGGTCCCCAAAACTCCAATTTTGTTAAGACATGTTTTAATATATATATATAGGTATGTATAGGTTTCCCTGTTAGTTGTATCGGGAATCTATCACTGGACATTTGTTCTCTCATTTCTTCCAGGGAGCCTCTTCACCAATGGAAGTTGCCAGGGGGCCCCGCTGGAGTTGGCATGATACCAGGTTCCCCTTTGGGGCCTTCCACTGAATCCCTAATTTTGGTTTGGCTGCTATCGGGTTGGATCTTTAGACTTTCAGTTTTGGTTGAAATCATTTGGGGTTTTCCGCAGCCACAAAAAGTGTAGCTTTTTGCAGAGGGGTCAACAGCAACCAAGTTTGGTTTGGTAGGCTCCCTATTGAACATGGGTATGGGTCAAATGTAAACCACCAGGGGACCGCAGGTTGTAGTCTTTGTTTCCATTTACCAGGGTTCTATTCTGGGTACCTATTTTTGACCCACACCCTATGCAAGGCTTCCCCAGACACGCAAAACGCTGGCGCTAGGAGAAGCTCACGCCCATCAGCGGAGTGATGGAGCTGGCCTTGCCCAAGACCTTGGCGGATGGGTGCAAGGGCATCTGCGGGAAGAAGGACTGGGTCGCTTGGATCTTCCGTTGGGCAAGACTTACCTCTTAAAAACACGAAACTTCTCTCAACTTTTTGGTGGTAACATGGGCGAAATGAGAACTTCCCCAGGGCGCAGGGAGTTTAAGGGGTAAGTACTCCGTTCTTGGGCAAGAAGGACTGAGACCAAGCATTCTCGGGCTCCAAAAAAGTTGCAGTGTTCGTGTTGGAGCCAAACCACCCATGTATATTTTGGTCTGAGGGGGGAAATCGAATCCAGCCGGAGCTGCTTAAAAACCTGTTCGGCTTGCAGGTTTTTCACACAGAAAAGCGGTTTCCCCGTGTGCCACGGCGTTTTCCTGAGGGCCTCCGATAGGCCCGAAAGGCTTCCCCGAACTTGGTAGGACTCCTTCGTCTGACCTGAGCTCCGAAACTCGCTCGGAGCTTCTTTCGGTCACTTTTGAGGAAGTGGCAAAAAAACACAGTTGTTCAAAGCGAATCGACCTGAACTGACCGGATAAGCGGCAAACAGCAAGTTCCTGGACTCTTTGGTGCATTTTGCCAAGGGCTGGTAGGACTTGAGAACTTTTTTCCAACGAATGTGGGTTTTCCGAACTAAACCACTAAAAGTTATTCACTTTCAGCAGGGGAGCAGAAAGCAACCGAGGACAATTTCCGACCACTCCACTCAGGAAGTGAGTTGTTACATAGTTCTGATTACCCCTCTCGCGGACCTGGAAAGTGATTCAACTTGACGTTTGGCCTTTGGACAATTGAATTCCATAAGCAAACAACTAGACTTGGTCGAGTTGCAAGATCTGCAAAATGAGAAACCCGTGAAAGGGGCAACTTGAACATGATTCAATTGTTCGGTGGAGCCCCCCCTTTGTTTTTTGTTTGCTTTTGCCAGGGGCCCTATTTGGCAATGATCTTATAGTTTATTATAGGCAACCACCTGAAAAGTGCTGGGTGGACATAAGTCCCCACCCAAATCATTCATGCCCAACAACTCGCCGTTTGCATGTTCAACCAACTGAACAACCTAGCAAGTAGGTTGCTTCACCATGGTTATACCTCTTGTACTCTCCTCCAACTACCCTCTTTCTTAATTCCCATGGCAAATACCTCGTGTTTCCGTAGAGAGTTGACGTGATACCCGCAAAGAGAGGGTCTTTGGAGGGGGGATAATTTATCATCTACTTGGCCTCCCACCAATTCACACATGGAACCTGACGGTCGGGACCCGGTCCCTTAAAAGGAAAATGGTCTAGGTCCCCCAGTAGTGCCCTTTTACGCCTTTTTTTGGGGAGGGTTCCTCTACTAAAATAGAGTACAGAAAAAAAAGGGTTCCCTTATTCTAATCTCTCTAGTGGAGAACCTAGTGGTCTTCCAGGACCCCCTGAAAGTCAGGTTCCATGTGAATTGGTGGGAGGGTACCTGTGAGCTGCCTTCGTAGGACGTTGACAGCTGCACCAAGAAGGGCGATGCCCTACAGGCTCTCTGATGGACCCTCCCTGGTTTCGACGGGTTCTATTTCATTGAGGTCATCTATTTGTGAAGGTCATGGGAGTGGCACTGCCCCAGACTTGCTGGTTTTCCCATTGGTCCTTTCTTGATCTCAATCCCCTTGCCACCTGTAGCCTTCTTAAGTCCTGAAGCATGGTTCTGGGATTACGACCATTTTAGTACCGGGTTTTGATTCTGGCTGATTTGCTACCCTCCCTCCAATCATGGAAGCTGACAGCGTGTTGGAAGACGAAAGTTACCAAGATGGGTTCCACTGGTTCAGATGCGTTTTTCTTCATCTATTTGTCAAGGTCAAGGGAGTTGCATACTTTCTAAACCAGACTTGCTGGTTTTCGCATTGTTCCTTTCTTGCTGGAGTGGCTTCTCTTTAAAGTTAACGAACAAAATGGGTGCAAACAATTGTTGGGTGACTCTGAATGGGCTTTCACAAATGGGTTCTGGAATGCTACACATATGGATGTGGCTCAAAATACACAGGAGGGGTTACGCAGGTTTTGGTCCATGTTTCCACTTACCAGGGTTCCATTTTGGTACCGGTTTTTGAGCCACAGCCATATTAGTTTCATTGTTTAGTGCAAGCCTGAGCTCCTTGAATCTCCGACAGCCAACAGCTCTTGTCTATCTCTGGCGGTTTTTCAGTTTGCCCCTCCAGAGCCAGAACCGCCTGGAAGCCTGTGTTCACTCAGTTGTTCAGTGGCTCCCTTTTTCCCCTTTTTTTTGGGTGGCTGCCCCACTAAAATGGTCTTCCCAAAAAAGGGTTCCCTTTTTTTTCAGGGTCACCGAGAAATGTTTCATTCCCCCCAAAAGGAGAACCCAAAAGGGGAGGAGAGTGAGAAAGTCAAAACATCCCGGGGTCGAACCCAAAAGTGGAGCGAACCGCCTGGAGGCCTGTGCTGTTGGCTAGCAGACCGTTTCGGGCTACTTGGAGCTCCTTTCGTTTGTTTCCGTTTTGGTTTGCTTTCCATTTTGTTCACACTTCCAGCTTCGGTTTCCTTAGGGTCGTGGCGAAGGCGTGCGCCGGTGTCCTTTCTGGTTAAGCCCACGCTTCCGTTTGTTGTCCCGGAGCGAATCCATTGGATGTGTTTCTTCCATTTGCGGAAATGAATATGTCCTTCCGTTTGTTTAAGAATACTTTAACTTTCCCCCTGTTGGTGTTACAAGGAATCGATCACTGGAAATATGTTTATTCCCCAACAGCTGAAAGCTTTGGGGTCTCAGCCCAGATAGGCTCCGGGATGTCCGGGGCGGCCCTGCGGTAAGGTTCCACGCATATTGATCAACACCAGTTAAATAGCGGGGTAATTCGGCCTGGGTTTAGTGGAGACTCACACCACTTCTGGAAGCCCCCCTATTTATAAACTGGGGTTGATTAATACAGAATACGGGGTCAACACGACTATAGATGTAGTACAAAGCCTATTTGACTTGTTGTTTTCCCCTCTTGGTCTGGAAGGTGGCAAAGGGTTATCCTCCCCAAAAACCATCACGGAACTCGAACAGGGGTGCCCTTAAAAGGAAAATGGTCTTCCAGGGCCCTCTGTGCAGGTTCCATGTTTTTTTTTGGCGAGGGACACCGTCAATTTCCTTGCCTTTGGGCAAGCGTTGTTTGGCGGATGCCATCCCAGAGTGATCAAGATCCAAGCAATCTGTTGCGAGCGTAACTGTCTCAATCTCCTCAATCATGATTTGATCAGGCTAGACTAGTCGGTTCAAGTCTATTTGGGTGTGTATTTTTGTTGGGGGGGGTCTTGTGGTTGGTTTTACAGGAGAACAAAGGGGAACCAACCATTCGGGGGATCTAATTTTGAGAACCCAGTTCCCTGAATTCCCTTGACTGCTATTGGGTTGGATCTTTAGACTTTAACTTTTGGGGAAATCAAGGGGTTTTCCACTATACCCCCAAAAAAATAAGCTTTTTGCAAGGGGGTCAGCAGCAAGTTACCTTTTGGTTTTGAAGAGTTGGACCGACAGGTGATCACTTTTTCCGAAAGCAGTTCCAACAGACCGGACTGGTCTTCACAGGGAGCGTCGGTTTTCATAGGCAGTGTGAAGCCAGAGAAGGCTGGCATGGACCAATTCTCAATCCATTTTTTTAATGGTTTCCTGAAAGAAGGATCCCTGAAAAGAATGGATGAGAAAGCTTCCCTTCGCAAATCCGGGTACACCTCAGCCCACCTCAGCCCACCTCAGCCCTTCCGTGGCTCAGCCACCAGCCTGCCCGCCCGCCAGAAGAAGAAAGCTGGAAAGCCGGTGAAGCCCATGAACAAGGACCTCTACGGATCCATCCTGCCGCTGGGCTGTGCTAAGAACGAGGGGCTTCTTGCACTTTGCGAGGGGGTCTCACGTGTAAAAGGGTGTGTCTTTTTTGATGCTACCCCTGTTGGTTCGTTCTTGTTCTCTTCTTTTGTTGGGATGCGAATTGAAGCCAACCATTCTTGGGTCCTCTAAAAACACACACACACACACACACCCATATCATCATAGCCATTGCTATGAGGGGACTAACCCCAGTTACACAATTTAAAAGCATGGTTGTATCCTCCTTACTAAGTTGCTTGAACATCCAAGTAGCTTATACATCATTTTTGTGGGTGGTCTTGAGTGTATTTCTTTTTGGTCGAGTGACACAGGTGGACATGTAAGCCACCCTGTCTGAGCACCACGCACCCGAAGATTGGCGTTCGGTTGTTTCCGTGGAAATTTGGGTTGCAAACTTGAGCGATAAAGTAGTCATATTTGGATGTTCAACCAACGTAGTAGGTTTAAAACCATGGTTATAAATTGTGTACCTCAGTGATTGTCACCTTGTCACCATGCTTACCCTCTTCCTGACTATCATGGAACTTCCCAGGTTTGGAAGACTTGGTTCCATTTGCAGAGGCCTTCTGGGAGCTTCTGAGGGAGTGTGAGGCGTACTTACCTGACGTTGGTTGAACATCCAAGGATGGCCCGCGGTATCACAGATGGAGTTGCCAGGTTGAGGGTTTGGCTAGGCCCGCATAGCGGAACTGGCCATACTTTGGAGACTTAAATGTTCACATGTCATGTGTGTGTGTGTGTTTAATATATATATATATATACATTAATATATGTGTATATATATATATATATTATTATATGTATATAGATACATACACATATGTGCGTAGTATTATCGAGACGTTTCCCCGGAGGAGGATATCAGCAAATCTAAATAGAAACACGCAACTAAAGATGAGACACTGCCCACTGGTCAGCTGCTAGTATTAGGGGTTGTGACTCCATCATGGTTGGTTTGCACAACAGCAGTTCTAAGAAGGGTTCCCAGGAGTTTGGAACCACTTCCTCCACACTTCCATTTGCTGACATCAATATGTATTTTCCCTCGTTGGTGTTCAAGGGAATCAAATTGACTACCGGAAACATGCTTTGCCCGAGGGCGAAAAAGAAAATGGAGAGTGGCCTGCACCAAAGGGGGTTGCAGCAATGGTTGCTGAATTATTTTTATCGGCTTTTGGAAAGGCCAGGGTTTGGCGAGGGAAAAATTAAGGAACCATCCCTATGAGTTGCACTTTATAAACATTCTGGGTCTGCAGCATTTTAGTGATAAGAGTTTCGAACTGTTTCGGCCAATCTGCATCACCTTAGGGATCGACACAATCTGCCGAAGTGAGTTTTCCTTTTCACCTTCCTAGAAGGGACCGACACAAGGACACCCATTCCTTGGTCCTTTGGTGTATTGCGGGTTCGAGAGGCTTTACACCTCCAACGCCATCTACAAGCAGCTGAACAAGGCGAAGCGGGGAGTTGAGCAGTTGCCGGGCTGCGCGCATAGGTGTCCTTTTGCTGGGTTAGTTTGGTTTAACATAGAGGGCACTGGTTTACTAGCTTCCCCAGTAGCGCCCTTTCTCACCTTTTTTTTGGTTAGGAAGGTTCCCTACTAAAATCGACTACAGAAAACTGGATACCCTTATTCTAACCTCTCTACTGGAGGACCTAGTTTAGATGGGTTTTATGCCGCATTTCCCAGGGCCAGCTATTTTTCCAAAAGGACACCTATTGCTGCGCTACGTTCCTTGCTCAGGGCCCTGGCCACTCATACTGGCCTGGGTTTCACGTTAGCAGGTCGACTTTTCAGGCTGGGATCGAGGAAGTGTAAACGTCCACAGTGTTCCGACCTGCTCATATCTTTTTATGCGGATGACATTCTGGGAGACACCTCCTCTACGTCCCCATGCCGCAAGAAGCCACGATGCCTCGCTTGCAATGCGGGCATCAAGTGAAGTGCGGCCTCGCTATAATAGCCAATGGGGCCATCTTTCTGGCAGTGATATCATTGCTTGGCAACTCGACATGGATACAAAGTGGAGGGCTGGCTTGGGCCTCAACAAATCTGAAGTTATGTTGCCTGATCCTGGAGGCCGAAACATACATGCTCATGGGATTATCTCTAAGACTCACAGCTGGGGTCCCAGAAGGATGTTCCTAGCTCTTGATGGGTCAGGTTGAGTGTGATCCATCCCTGGGAATGCAGTGATGAGAGGCTCACCTATGGCCACCTCAAAAGTGGTTGGACGTGTTTCTCCCCACCGAATTTTGATACGCATTCTGGGTCGTTAAAATTCATGCCCATGGCATCCGTCACTGGGGGGGCCGTATGAATCCAACTTCTCACTTGAGAAGACAAGCAAACGTGGCAAGGATGTCAGGGCTTGTCTCCCGGGGAAGGTTTCGGGTTTCAGTCGGTGATCCTGTGGGTTCATGTCACCCTGAAGAAAACATGGGTTTGAGCCTTTGTTGCCAAAATCAGAGGCATTCGGAGAATCAGCTCAGCCAACTTACTAGTCAGGCCTTGCGCGACGAGGACCGGGACAAGGCGAAGCGGTCAAGACCTGTGCGGGTCGACCGAATATTTCGGATCAGGGGGAATAGTTTCTTGATTTCATTGACAGGAGATCGGAACAAGATTGGTCCGGCCCTTTTTTCCGACATGCTTTTACATGGCCAGGTTTCGGACCATAGTCTAAACCATGTGTTCGGCAGAAGACTGGGATTGGAGACTCGTCCTGCAACTTGAATTTGTGAGGTGTGTGGATCACGATGCGCATGATGGTGTTGTTTGACGCTTCCTATTTCATTTGGAATGTTGCTTGTCGCAATTGAAGCCCGTATTGGTGAGAGTGAGCCTTTTGTTGGGAAATCGCAAGCACGTGCTGCATTGGTGGTGTGGTTTGGTGGTTTGGTGGTTAGGGGCTACGAAGGTCTTCACGGCTACCTTCCCCATTGGTTTCAAAAGAACTCGGGATCAAATCCCAAACCACCGGGGATCAAACCAGCAGTTAAGGGGTAGCTGAAGTGTGCCTTCTTTCTCACTTCCCGAGTTCATGATCTTTAAACTTTTTGGGTTTGGACCATTTTAGTGGTACATCTAAAGTTCGGTTACTTTTTTTGGTTGCCATCCACTCAGCCAGTGAGCTTTTGATGCTTGGGCATGGCACTGGATCCAAGCCTGCCTCCCTTGAAACGGGCCTGGATGTCTCGATCGGTCGCTGCCGCGGCTGCCGGGGCGATTGCGAGTCGAATGCGAGTTAGGAGATGGTCGAGTCGCTACGAAGGGCTGGCACGCAAACACAAGACGCGCCTTGGTGAGAAGACCCCCGTACTTGTGGATGGTAGAGATGATCATCAACCTAATAGAAAATTCCTGCAACTATGATAAGGGTTCTTAGCATGGGAGACATGACAATGGTTCACATGAGGAGCGTTGATCATGGCATGTACAGTTTATTAATCCGCCGTCGCTTGAGCTTTGCGTTTTCTCCATGATGTACATTGCTTGTATTTCATGTCACGGAAAACGAAGCTGCGTTATGGTCGTTGCTCGTGCTTTGCGCCCACGCGAGGCGATGCTTTGTCGTTGGCTTGGCAGCTTCATGGTCTCCGGTTGCTAGCAGTTAAATTCTAGTCCAATGTTTTGAGGGTGCCCCTACTAAAATAGACTACAGAAGAAAGGGCACCCTTCTAACCTCTCGACTGGAGGACCTAGTATCGATGTTAGTGAGAGGAAGGCTAGCCAATTGACAAGGTGTTTCTCCAAAGACCTTGCACTCATCGCCGGCCTTCACGAAGCGCGTGGACGACTATCGTTGGCTCGACCGGGCGCGAGATCCGGATGTGCAAAGTAGACGAGGGTGTGGCTCAAAATTGGGCCAACAGGTTTTGGTTTTTGGTGCCATTTTGCCAAGGTGCCAGTTTGGTACTTGTTTTTGACCCACAGCCATATGGTCCTTTTCGTCCTTTACTTGGAGATCCTCACTTTTTGGGAACACCCTTTGCTTCCCATGCCTTTTTGTGTTTAGATTCTCAGCGGTCTCCAAAAGTGGCAGTTGTAGAACCTTGGATTTGCAACAATAATAGAAGTCTACTTGGATGTTCAACCAGCTTAGTAAGTAGGTTACAACCATGGTTATAAGTGGGCTGACCCCAGTATCCCAAGTTATACCCATGGGTACTACCCGCACCTTCAAACTACCCTGGAAAACCCGGAATTCACCAACCATCTTCATTTTGGGGTTGCACTACCCCCTTTTTTACAGTGGGTATGTCTTGAGGATCCAGGCACTGAAAACCTGAGGGGAGGGGAACCTCCAAGCGCAAGAGTCGCCTTCTCCAGAAGCCTGCCAGCCAGGTGGCTGTGGGTCAAAACCGTTTTGGTATCCCATTTTGGTTGGTAGGCGAATTCACCATCCATCTTCGAACTTCTTTTAGTGGTCGGATTGGAAATTGGGATGTTCACCGGGGGTACGAGATTGGCTTTGGCTTTGGGCAGGCATTTGAACAGCCCATGGCCAGGTGGGCTCCTTCTTCCCCTACCTGCGGATCCTCTTCGAAGCCTGCGCCAGGCGGTTTTGTTTTGGGAGGATTTGGAAGCTCTGAGGCCAAGAGGCGAGGGGGGTGGCGCCCCAGACCACTTTTTCAAGGGACCCCCATCTTTCTTCTGAGGCGCATGGTTTGGCTTTTCCACTGTTTGCCTTGGATAAATAAGCCGCCCCCCGGGTGTAGAAACCCTTTCCAGGGAGGCGGTTCATTTCAGTCGAAAAGGCAAGCCATGCGCCTGGCGGGTTTCTCCTCTACGGGCCCAATCCTTGAGGGAAAGAATGGAGGCCAAGAGTCCACCATGAGGAATTTGGGGAATCAGGGGGTTTGGGACATGATTAGCTATCCTTCAAGTATGCAGTTACCTACATTCTAGGGGTGGATTCCGATCTCATTCGTTTCAAGCATCCTTCTTTTCAAACACCGGATCCGTTTTTCCCTGGTTTCAAGGCAGGTTTTCTAGAAAGAATCTCACTTCCTGAGTTCATGAACTTTAAACTTTTTGGGTTTGGACCATTTTAGCGGTAAATAAAAAGTTCCGTTACTTTTTTTGGTTGCCATCCACCCAGGCAGTGAGAAGAAGACTCCCTGGAAAGACTGGGGGAGGTACCCCTGGGCCCATGGGCCTGGGAGGCTTGAGTCACAGTCCTTCGAGTCCTTCGTAGGCTGCCCGCGAAAGAAGTCACGCTCTGGCGCGGGGTGGGCGTGGACCTCTACGACCAGTACAAGGCGTTTGAAGTGGGCGACCGGGAGTGGCGTTGTTGTGTGTGCGTTTTTTTTTTTTTCTTATGGGACCCCAGCCTTTTTGGGGCCGGCTTGCCAGTTGCTCCCCTTTTGCCGCGCAAACTGTTGGGCCCACCCCCGCACTCGGTTATGGTCGGTTTGCCAGTTGCTTCCCTTCTGCCGCGCAAATTGTTGGGCCCACCCTCACTCGGTTGTGGTTGGTTTGCCAGTTGCTTCCCTTTTGCCACACAAATTATGTTGGGTCTGGATCATTTTGCTTGTAAAACAAACAGTTTGGGCTTTTCTTGGCCGGCCCACTCAGGAAGTGAGTTGTATATACATGATTGCTTCTCCTGTTTACTAGGAAACGTTGGTTTAGGCTCGAAAGAGGCAATGCATGTGTCCTTTTTTAAGCTTGAAGCCAGCATCAGGGACGTCGCATGGTTTTCTTCCATTTGCTTTTCAATAAATTTGTTATACTCCCCTGTTGTTGGTGTTCAAGGGAGTCTATGACTGGAGATATTCTTATGTTTTCCAGACGCGGAATTCGCAAAGCCACCAGGCATTGGACCGCATTTTTTTAGTCCATGTTTCCGTGTACCAGGGCAAGCCATTTTGGCGACCTATTTTTGACCCACAACCATTTCGGGATCCAAAGACCCAGACCTTTGGCTTGAGAACTAAAGCCGACTCAAGGACGAGGAAGCGAGGAGCAATAGGCGTCCTTCTGGAGTTGTTTGGTTAGACATCTGTTTGCCTGAGTTTCTGGACTTCCATGTTGGTAAATAAAAGCTCTGTTGCCCAGCTTGGCGCCCTTTCTCACCCCTTTTTTGGTTGGGAGGGCAAGCCCCTGCTGAAATAGACTACAGAAAAAAGTTGGTAACTTCTCTACTGGAGGACCTAGTAAAAGGGTTGGACTTTTGCTGGCCCTCAGGAAGTGAGAAATAGATGGTTTCCACTGGTTTAGGGCGGTTTCTAGCCACATTGAAGGCCATGTTTTTGTTTCAGGTCAGGTCACCTCTGGCAAGAGTTCCAGGGAGAAAAAGGGAGGGGTGGGGCGGCACGATTTTCAGCATTTTGCAGGCTTTGGATGGTGGCCTGAACTGATAGGAGATGGCATGCCCCCCACTGCAAAGAACTACTATAAGGTCAACTTTTGACTGCACCTCCCCGGTGGGAATTCTTGGCTTGGCGGCAAATTTCAGCCCGCCAGCTCTACTCAATCCGTGTCAACTGTAGGCTTTCCCCTCTGTTTGGTAGGTTGGTTTCCTGTGGTTTCCCTTTAAACACTATCCAACAGGTTTTTCTTGAGATTCTGGCAACATGGGGGTCACTATTCTTCCGCGGGGCATTTTGGAGCCATTTCGATTCGGAGGTTGGTAGCACCATCACCTGGTGGGGCGTATCCAGCTGCACCAGCGACAAGAACGCCGGCACCTCGGAGCTCGGAGCTCGCCATGACTCGATGGCCCGTGGTCAAGGTGTCAGGGAAACCAAGGAACCAGGGAAAAAAGGGGGATCAGGGATACGGGAGGATTCCCCCGTTTGCACCTTGACGAAGTTGGGAAATGCCGCGATATGGGAATCCATCTCCCCATAGCCCCGCCCCCGTATTCTTGCTTGTTCGTTTGTCCAAAGGTGGGACGAATCACGACGAATCCCATAAATGGGTGCGTCAGGAGTTGGACACCCAAGGCGTGGGGGTTCTTTTTTGTTCCTGAAAGAACAGCCTGCAAGCAAGCAATCAACCGACCAACCAATCAACCAACCAACCGACCAACCAAAATCACCCGGCCTTGTGCCGCTTCGACACGAAGCGGCTGTGGCCGCTGCCCAGCCGGATCCCGAGGTCGCCAACAACTTTGCCAAAGGCTGCGCCGGAGCGCCCGCAGACCCGGTGGGAGGAAACGCCTGGCTTGCTTACTTCCCGGTTCCTTAGGCTTTTCTTTTCTGTTCTTGGCATGGTTTTGGTATTTATATATGTATATATATATATATGGTCAGGTCCCCCCCCATGAACAAAAGTTGGTTCTGTTCATTTTTAGGTTTTGGGGGTTGCAACAAAACAATTTTTATCGCTACCATGCCAAGGGTTGTGAAGTGTTTTGCCTGTTGTTAGTTGGTAAGGTGTCCGAAGTTGACTCACTAGAAATTGACATTTTAGGCCGAAATCAGTTTGAACAGCCCAGACTAGTGTAGGTAACCTAGTATCAAACAAAACACAGACACACTACTTGACATGTCTATGTTGTAGAAGACGGTTTGGATGTGGCTTTTGTGGATAAAACCCTGTAAGTCTGTAAGATATTAAAATCGCATTAAAGCATACTACGAAAGGACCAACCGGGGGAAGCACTTGCAAAATCCACAGAAAAAGCGCATCCACACCGTTTTCTCGATATGTCATATCTAAGATGTTCGCCAGTAAGATATCAACATGTACAAAGAGGCAAGCCTGACAAAACATAGAACCGCAAACAAAAACGAATGGTAACGCCTAAATCACCAATGACTTCTTCATAAGCAAAGACAACAAGACAACAGCAACAACACAGGACGCCAAGAATATAGCAGAATCATCGGATTTCGAGTATGAGCTGGAACAACCATGACACCCCACATCCAACCCCCCAGACAGAACAACTACTAAACGGCCTAGAGAAACATGTCTCCCCCGAGAAACAAAAAGCACAGGCACAAATTATACCAATAATAATAGTTGTACAACACCAACACTCCTCATACCCTGGAACAAGCAACATGATAAATTCAAGGATGAAGCACCACATGAATGAACACCATACAATCCCAGATCCCCGAACCCCATGTTTACCTCCTCTGGTTTTTGTTGAGGCCCTCTTTTTCCGCTCGCAAGATGCCTCAAGGCATGGGGGGAGCCCGAGGTCAACGGTGCTTACGGTCGAGACGCAGACCGCCACCGAAATCTCCGAGGCGGATGTGTTCCAGAAGCGTCCACGTTGGGCTTGGCTTCTTCCCTTTGTTTGTTTGTTTTTGGTTTAAACCGTTGTTGTTGTTTTTGAGAGAATCTATCAGTACGTTTGTGTGTTTTCCAGGGTGCTTAAGCAAACGGCCGTTTTTTTGCTTTTGTCTCAGCGACAGATGGGGACATGCTGGCCCCATTCTTTGAAATGTGATCAACCCAGAGCCAAAAAATCAGGGGCAATTCATGCATGGGAAAAGCCGGGTGTTGCTTGGATGTGGGCAAAAAAACGCATCCCTCTGAGCTTATGTCGAAGTGGGTCCCGAAAGTATCCCTAACACGGCGCTGGTCTCTCCCAGAAAACTCCTCGGCTCCTCGGTGGATTGGATCGGCGGGATGTGAACCCTTGGTTCTTGTAGAGGAAATGGGACCACCAAACTCCCACCAGTCCATGGGAAGGATTCTGAAAATCCGACGTCTAAATTATCCTGACAACCCCCAAACTCGAAACAGACTTGCAAGACCAACTATTTGAGATACGAAAAAAGGTTCTGGAGTGGAATAGGGCAAACATGTCCAAAAGCGAGGTCCTTGAAACGAAGGATTCAGAGGTATCCAGTTTGGCACATGGGAGTTGATCAAAAGGTCCGTACAATATCGGAGTACCCTTGGGGAACACCACCCAAAAAACACATGGGAACAGTTTCCCGTGGCCAAAACTGGGGGCTCAAGGCAATACCCTCCGCAGGACCCCTTTGGAAGCCCAAAGGCCCAAAGGAAACCAGTTTGTTTTCCAACCGTTGAGCCACGTGCTCAAAACCCGGGTAGATGAAGGCAATTCTGAATTCCTGAAGCATGGTTCTGGGACTACGACCATCTTATTACCGGGTTTTGATTCTGACTGATTTGCTACCGAAGCTGACAGGGTGTTGGAAGATTGGGGAAGCTCCCTTATTTCTTTGTTGCCCAGTGGCGCCCTTTTTTCTCCTTTTTTGGGGTAAGGGTTCCGATTCGTTTAACTCAACCAACCAAAAAAAGGGCGCCGATTCTTGTTTTCCCATGGAAACCTACTGGGCATCCGAGAAAGGGTCGGACTTCTGCTGGCCCTCACGAAGTGAGAGATAGATGGTTTCCACCGGTTTAGGGCGGTTTGCTTTGCCCCATTGAAGGCCCCTTTTTTTCCCATGGACATCCACTGGGCATCTGAGTTATTTGGGGAAGCCCCCATACTGTGGATGGACGAAATCCTGCACCAACTAAGAGGCAGCAAAGGGATGATTCTATAAATACCAACAAACCATGGTTCCCATGGTTTTCAAGTGGTGCAGGATTTTGTCCACCCACAGTATCATAACCCTAAAACCCTATCCACTTCCATTGGTCAGTTGAGCTTCTACACCAACGAGTCCGAGAGCATCCTGCTGCCGGGCACGCAGCTCAAGGCGGGGCGTTTGGGACCCAAAGACGTGCCAACTCTTCTTTGGTGCATTTTGCTTGGCTGTTAGGACTTTAACTTTTTGCCAACTGATGAGTTTTTCATTAAACCACTAAAAGTTATATAAACTTTTAGCAGGGGAGCCGAAAACAACCGAGTCAAGTCTTGGTTCTTGTTGTCTTCCATTTGTTCTTGTTGTCTTCCATTTGTTCAAGAATATGTTTTTGTTTCTTCCCCTGACACGGTTTTAAAGAGGAATCGACCACTATTGGAAATACCCTTCTTTCTTTTTGTTCCTTCTTTTTTTTTCCGGGGGGCTTGAGCAAATGGAAGTATTGTTTTTTTTGGGGTGTGTGTGTGTGTGTGTGTGTTTGTTTTTGGGGCGGGTGACCTTTTTTTCGGCAACCGGCAATCAAGCCGCCCCGACGCGGTCCGGCCCGAATTGTACTTTTGAGCCGAAGACTCGGATGCGGGTGCGGCAAAAAACGAGTCCAGGCCCGCCTTGCAGGCCTCGTATCTCACTTCCCAAGTTTTATGGACATCATACTTTTGGGGGAAATAAGCAATTGTGGGTGGAAAACACAAGATTTGGTCCATTCAAGTTTTGGTGTTTGCTGGTCAATCCAAGGGAGCATCTACATCCGTTGGATCGATCTCTCTTCCTGCAGCCAGGTCCTGTCATCCGAGAAGAAGGGCAAGACTGTGGCAGCCTCGAAAAGACCGATTATTGCTGGCAACCCTTGGTTCAATCGCTAGGTCCCCCAGCTAGCTGCCCTTTCTCACCCCTTTTTTGGTTGGGAGGGTTCCCCTAAAAATAAACTACAGAAAAAGGGGTACCCTTATTCTAGCCTCTCTACTGGAGGACCTAGAATCGTTTAAAGGGCAACCCTCAATACGGCTGTTCAAACAACTTGCTGGCGAGCATTTGCGTGTTTTGTTTTTGGTGGAAGCTGAAATTGTTTGCGCAGTCGTGTTTGGGTTCCCAAGGTCGTCCATGGTCTGATGTAAATTGATTGTGCCCAGCGTTTCACTGTCAGGGCTACCCTTTTGTTGATAAGAGTAATATGATGTTCGGTCAACGTGTCCGGTAGTCAGTGTCAAGTTTTCAGCACATGAAGGAGGATAGACTGAGGTTGAGGAACACTCTACTTTCCCATAATTATGCAGAAGCACCATATTGTGACTGTGGGTATGGATTGAGGAGGCTGGCTCCCAAAGCATAGGGGAGCATCATCTGGACTAAAGCAATGTCTTACAGGTTTGCTGTGATCCTTTAGGATATGTGTTCTGAGGGGCTGGTTTTCCTGCTGGTGTTCCTGCAAAAGCGCAAGACCTTTGGCACCCTCAAAAAAGACACCCATATAGCCAAATTCAAGGAAGACAATTGTTTGGTTTCCTTTGGGTTCGTTTGGTTTCCCTGGGTCCAACTTTACATGCCGGGCTACAAAGGAACCCCCCTTCCAGTGGACACCAACATTCCTACAGAACGACTTAATATGTTTCATCAAAGAAGGGCACGAGCGCGCCCACCAGTTACGCCAGTTTAGAGCACCACCATGTTGATGTTTTACTAGGTGGTTTCCTGCGTGGTTTCTTCCATGTGAGTTTCAGAAAATGGTTGTGCTTGTTTTTAGTAAACAAAAGAAACGAGAAATGACGCAACTGCTGATTTTCGAGGGAATTCGTTTTACTACTGGAAATACATGTGTGTGTGTGTGTGTTTTTTTTCGCCAGGGGACGGATTCGCAAATGGATGGCTTGATTGGGTTTACCTTTGAAGCCATGTCGGCGCTAGAGGGATGATTCCCTTATAAATACCAAGGAACAATGGTTTCAACCACGGTTTCCAAGTGGTGTGGTCTCGGATTTTGTCCATCCGGTGTGGTTAAAACAGCTGAAGGGTTCCTCTCCCAAGGCGCACATCAAGCTGAAGGAGGTTGGGCGTCAGGTCGGCTGAGGCGGCTCCAGGCGAGGCGAAAGCGGGGGGGGGGGGTGTCGTCGGGGTGTCTGGGTGTTTGGTTATGGGCCCAAACTCGGAACCGGTGTTTTCTTGTTGAATTTTACATCAGCCGTGTTTATTTTGATATCCTCATTTTGGATTCTCATTTGTTTTTCTCACAGACGAAGCGAGCAAGTAAATGTGATTATATGTGATTCCAAAGAAAAGCACTCCCGTTGTTTTGTTCATATTTGTTGAAATCACGCCTTGGGGGGGGGGGCATGTTCTTTTTCGAAATCCCGCCGGCTCCCGTGCTTTTCTTTTTGGAGTCATGTTTTGTGAGATCACGCCTGGGGGCTCCCGTTTTTTCGTTTTATGAAGTCACGCCTGGGGGTTCAAGGTGCTTTTTGAAGTCACGCCCGGGCGTCCTAGGGTTTCCTTTGTTTACATCACGCCCGGGCGTGATTTTGAAAAAGGAATCACCGGAGCTCTCAAGCGTGACTTCAACAGAAACAAAAAAACACCCCGGCCCACAGGCATGAACACAAGCACCGGGAAACTCCAGGCGTGATTTAAGAAAAGCACACACGCACACGCACACGCACACGCACACGCACACGCACACACACACACGCACACACACACACACACACACACACACACACACACACACACACACACACACACACACACACACACACACACACACACACACACACACACACACACACACACACCTGGACCCCCAGGCGTGATTAAAAAGGACAAACACCGGTACCCCCCTGGCGTGATTTCAAAAACAAGAACACCGGGACCCCCCTGGCGTGATTTCAAAACACACACCTGGACCCCCCAGGCGTCATTAAACAAAAACACAGGGACCCCCCAGGTGATTGCAAAGTATATTAGGTTCCCCTGAGCCCCCAAACTCACTTCCCGAGCTTCTGGACGTTAATTGGCTTGTGCTTGGAAGGGAGCCACTACGGAGCTAAGGGTATCCACATTTACGAGGGAGCGGTTCAGGAGCTACCGGGAGCCAGACAGTTTGGGCGGCTCCTTTTGCTTTGAGAATGTCGAAGGAACATACAGGGACTGTGTCCCCTTGCTGCACAATCAGGTCCAACTCAACTTCCCCACCCGAATCGGCAAGGCACGCCGGCCGCAAACTCTTTCACTTTAGTTCTCAGCCGAACTTGAACCCAGTCGATCCCAGTTACTATCATAGTAGATGACCAGCCATTTGCCTTTTGGTTTTGAAGGGTGGTGCTCTTGCTTACCTACTATATATATATATGATATATTATATGTAGGTAAATGATGGAACCTACTGAGTAAAGGTTGATGGGGTTTTGAAAGTCAATCAGTCTCGTCTTTTCTTTCCCCGCGATTTGGCGACAGTCAATTCCTTGCAGGGCTTCCAGACAAACAACTTTGTCGTCAACAGGCAACACCCTTATGGAACTGGTTCAATTTGGTATATCATCTTGAGCGCCCTTCCCTAAACTTGGTGGCTCCCAGCCGTCCGCTGAAACTTTTAGCAAGCAGCCCAGTAGATTGATTGCCAACCCGCATAAAAGGGAAGTGTGCCATCTACTTCCTGCAAAAGTTGATCAGCGCAATGGAGTTCTCGGTTGCGAGTGAGGTGCAGTTGCCCCTTCAGAGTTCGCTCGGCGCAAAGGCTGAGTGTATAGGTCCACATAGGAACCCAATGGCCTTGTTGCACGCTCTGGGGGCTGACTTTCCATAAACAGGCCGTACCAAATGCTTAATTCGCCCATAAACTTGGGTTCATGCCAGGGGTTCATGGTATGGATCTGTATTTTTTTTGGAGTTCATCTTTTTGGGGCTAGCTTTACAGGGGGGCCAACAGGAAAACCCTGTCATTTTGAGGTATACCCAGTTTTAAGACACACACATGGACGTAGAACAAATTTAAGCCTTCGATCAGCGCTCTGACTTGTTTCTCGCGCGCCAGGAGAGCGGGAGGCGTCTCTCTCGTTTTCAAGCGCCTCGCTGCTGTTTGCTTCCATCCTTGGGCTCTCGGTCATCGATTCCGCCCGGCGGCAAGAGATGGATCCTAGGTAGCTCCCCGGTCGTTTCCTCTTCGGGAAAGATATGGCCATGGGCTTTTCAAAATCGGTTAGCCCCCAGTGAACATCCCAATCCCCACTCAAATAGGTTCTAAAATGGGTGGTGAATTCACCTACCAACCAAAATGGTACCATTGGTTTTGACCCATATGGCCACCCCTCAAGAGAGGGTTCCCCTAGTTTTCTACAAGGGTCGCTCTGCAACTGATGCTTTCATCACAAGGTGCGCGAGAGAGTGTATTCAGAGTTATGGAGAGCTGGACAGTTGGGGCCATGGCTCGTAAGTCTGCCAGTTAGTATGCCAGCATGGTTTGTCTGCACACCTGCCCGAAACCTTTCAGGAACTCGCTCCGGGATCGCCCCGAAGTATGGCGGATTGACCGAGCTGACAGCACTTGGGGAAACATGACACCCATTTGCCTGTTGAATTGTCTCTGCTTGTTTTGCCCTTTGCAATACCCTTCAAAGAGGTACTGAGCCTAATAAATGATGCCGATCTCCTGGTTCTTCTGGCACTTTTATGGCGAGGTCACTTGGGGGAAGCAAGCTTACCATGATGTGTTGTTTTTTTGATTGGGGATCCAATGCTCTCATTTCAGGCGCTGTAGCTTAACATGTACAGTTAACACATAGGCGGTGTCCTTTTTAGGTGACCTTGGTTAAAAATAGATGGCACTGGTTTAGCTGGGTTTGGTTCCATTTACCAGGGCCATCTATTTTTTCCAATAGGCCACCTATGGTTACGCATGTTCTTGCCGTTGCGTGCGATTTATTTACCACATCAGCCGGGTTGGCTGGGATGCGTGGGAAGCTACGGTCTGGCAAGCCTTCCTGGCGACAGTGACGGTGAAGCTGCGAGGTGCAGAAATGAGAGGCATAGAGACCTGCTGGTTGAGCGCCATGGTCAAAACACCCTGTTTGTATCTGTTTGTAAGGGTGATCATGGACTCTTCGAACACTTTTTGACAGATTCCTAGAATGGATTCGGTGATGACACACATGGAGAAGAGAATCTGCATCCTCAGAGCTTTCGGCCGAGCTTCATCCCCAGCAGAGCAGCCGGAATGCATATGGACCTCGAAAGTTTTGGTTTGCAACCTCACCCAGGAAGAAGCATTCTTTTCTTGGTGGCTCCCAGCCATCCGGTGGTATCCATTTCACCCCCTAAAAGTTGGTCACTTTAAGCCAGTTTTGAAGGCCCTTGCTTTCTTTGGGCCTAATCCAGAAGCGTGTGTGCTGTGATGTGTTTCTGGTACGCCTGTTTTCGGTCCCCCATGTGCCCTTTCTCACCCCTTTTTGGAGGGAGGGTTTCCCTAAAACAGACGACGGCAAAAAGGGTACCCTTATTCTAATCTGTCTACTGGAGGACCTACGCCTTGTGCAAATGCCCATCAAACTGGACTTGATCGGCCTTGATTGCATGGGTTTGCAACTGTACACGCTCTACTGAAAGGTTGAAGTGTTTGTGAATTGAGTTTGTCATAGCCATTGGCCCAATGCTAAGCTGCTAATTTAATCGTACTAGCTCTACGATTGCGAACATCGTGGTCCGCTTGTAAATCATCATGTTTGTTTTGTCATTTCATGACTACCTTCTTGTGCAACACTTGCCCTAACACGCGAAACATGTCCTCGGATGTCGGTAGCGAAAGTGGTCCGACGCCTGTCATGTATGCCTTTGACACACGACGGATCGTTTCAGGGACAGCAGTCCGCGTAGCCAACCGCCGGCTCATGGTATGCCGGGAGGATTGGTTTGGTGCAAACGGTCAACTGCAAACTTGCCAGTTTATGGTGACCTGACGAACCGTTGCACTTTGGAATCAAAGGGTTGAAGGGAAGAGGGTTGACATGTTGAAACGAAGAGAGTTGACAGAAGACGGTTTGGATTCTGCCTATGCATTCAGGCGCCATGTGGCAACATGCCCCATGTGGCAACATGCCCCATGTGCCGGGGGAAGCACATTTGAACAGGGACGCGCTGCATGCAGCTGCCTCCACTGTAAAAGAAAGGCCAATCGTACCGCCGGGCTTCCGCCCGAAGCCCCCGATGTCCCGTTTCTTTTCTCAACATGAAATCCAGACTCCTCCAGTACTTGCTGGTGCGAAAAGTAGGGAGGGAATGACCCCAAACCTTTCAGGAAACCACCTGCTGTATGTTTTATAACTCACTTCCTGAGTTGGTGGACTTTAAACTTTTTGGAAAGACCATTTGAGTGGCAAATAAAAAGTTTGGACTTTTTTGGGCCATCCCCTCAGCCAATGAGTTTAGGAGCTATCCAAATAACGAGGACTTCAATCTTTTTTCGGCCAGTCAACTTGGGCAGTGGGATAAGGGGTTAGCTTCAAGGCCTGGGGTCATCGCCTGGGATCGTTCCCAGGCTGGGGTAGCCTGTCATGAAACCTTAGCTTAAAGGGTTCTAGAAGGCACCGGCTCCTTAAACGATACACATGTTGCAACCATTTGGAGCATGGCATGTTGCACCGAAATCAAGGGACACCCACCATTTACAAGTTGCAATGTTCAGGTGTAGAATGTAAGGATCTCTGAACATGGCTTGCCCTGGTAAGTGGAAACATGGACCAAAACCTGCGGTTTGCTCTCCGATCGTTTCATTTTGAGCGAGCCACATCCGGATCCCAAGGGTCAGACTCCATTTCTCATTCGGCCCCGATCGCATGGCTCGCACCGATCGGGAACGGAGAACTGCCTGGAGGAACTGGAGCCTAGGCGGCTAGGCCCGTGTCTTTGGGGTTTGGGAGGAGCCTCTTAGCCCAGCGGCCCAGTGAGTTGTTGCCTTTCTGATTCTTACTTTGTCTAGGTCCCCCAGTGCCCGCTCTTTCACCCCTTTCGGGGGAGGGCTAGACTGCAGAAAAAACAAGTTGGTACCCAGAGTCTCCATGACCCTTAAACAATGGGTCCATGACCCCTGAATTTCGGGTAATAACCCTATTTTTAAAGGGTCATGGAGACTCCAGATACCGTTTATCTAACCTCTCTACTGGAGGACAAGGGTAAACCAAGGGGTCCCTTCTTTCCCTTCGCCACAGGTTGGGCTTCTGAGTTGGTGTCTCATTTTAAACGCGGTGTCAGAGGGTCTTTTGTGTGTGTGTGTGTTCAATCTGAAGCAGGGATGCTCTAAGCCGTTCCTCAAATTTATCCTTATTGCCTTTGACCAACTACGCTTCCTCTCACTAACATGGCGTCAGGTGCCATGTTAGTGGGGAGTGTATCTAGCCTGAATGTCATTAGACCATTTGGTTTTAGAGAGCGAATGGCATCGCGTGCGGCCGAATCGTTCTTGGCTCAAGGGCATGATGTGCACCTTGAGAACTCAAGCTGTTCCAGTTTCCATGGGTCTTTTTTGGTTGGTACAGCAAAAACGGTGAAACCATGGGAACGAGGAAGGTAATTACTAGATGTCTCTATGCTGTGTGTACCAGTTTGTGAGCCAAGAATTAGACATGATACTGGCGAATCGACGTGCATGAAGTGTAGAATAGGCACAGCTTTGAGATGAGACGAGACTATGATCATGACTGACAGCTCGGTGAGCTCACATTTGGTTGCGCTGTACTGGTTCCACAACGATGGCGGAGGACTGGGAACAGGGGTCGGGTTTCATACATCAGCCTTTGTGATGGAGGTCAAGCTTGATAAAGTGCCTTGATTGCTTATTGATGTTCAACCTGTTCTTTTGTTTGCTTAAGCATATGGTATATGTTATGTTCTCCTGTTGGTTTCAAAAGGGAATCTATCACTACTGGAGATATGTTTATTTGTGCAGGCGGCTTAAGACAATGGAAGTGTTTGTCTTTTGTCTCTATGTTGTCGGTTTCCCTTGTCGCGTGACGCATGGAGAGGAGGAGCTGAAAGCTGTGAAGGAGGAGAAAGAGAAGCTGGAGGCCCGCATTTGTAGATTTCGGGGTTGATCAAAAGGTCCTTGTATATGGGATGAACCATTGGGAAAACCACCAAAAAGATGAGCCTGTTGATTCCATTTGCAACTTGTGCGTGGGTAATATCATGGGACCCACGATGGAAAGACACGAGGGCAATGTTTGGCTACCTACTACGGTGGTAAACATGATCAACAGTCTATATTTACTGCCATCTACTGTTTGCAGAGGACCTTGGCGTGCGAACTCCAACAAGTACGTTAGGATCAAACCAAGAATCACTCAGCATCGAAACACACATATCCCGGACCACAGAAAGGAGCAGGCAGTGAGCAAGTTAGTATCCCGAAGGAAAGGGCGGATAGTAAGTTAGTATCCGGCGTGGAGCGGGAAGAAGGGGTAATAAGTTAGCGGAGGAGGATTTTAGTGTCCGGGTCAGTTAGCAAGTTAGTGGTATTCCAGCTATTATTGCATACTACTACGGCTGCTGCTACTATACTACTGCTGCTACTACTGCTACGGCTATTGCTCCTGCTACCTGCTACCTGCTACCTGCTACCTGCTACCTGCTACCTGCTACCCGCCTGCTGCCCTGCCTGCTGCCTACTACCTACTTACTACGTACTACCCAGTAGTACTACGGCTGCTGCTGCACTACTGCTTCTATTGCTTCTGCCACTTCTACTGCTTCCACTACCGAGTTGTTTGTTTATCCCTCGGCCGAGGACCTGGGGAGCAAGAATTCACTGGGACATGGAGTATGGTGACCGTGGCTCATGTAAGAACTTGCTCAGCTATGAGGCGAGCTACCTGTAACGAGCAGCCAATGCCCTTTTCCACGCCATGGGTCTGTCTTTTTTGTGGCCCCCCCACAAAAAAGCTCATAGTGGTGCTTTTTGTTTTGCTTCTTTCCCCTTAAAGCCAGAAAAAAAAGGGTGGGGAGGGCGTACCAACTCCAAAAAAGCACACCGCCCATATCCCCTCAGACTAATATCCGGAAGCTCCCCCAATCGGCCACGGAGCCAAGTACGGGGTCATTAGCTTCCATGTTGGTCTGGGGGTGGGACATGATGTTTCAAGAGTATGACCATAGGTGTCATTTTTGGTTGGTGTGCTTCCATTTCCCAGAGAAACCCATCTATTTTTCCAAAAGGCCACCTATGAGTATGACGTGCCATGGAATCGCCTAAAGAACTTCGACGGCACATCCCCGGATCCTTTTTCTCCGAAGCCCTCGCGCCGCCTCGCGACACGCAGGCGGCTCTGCAGGAGGAGAAAGAGAAGCGTCTCTCGGAGCAGCAGAGGCTCAAGGAAGCCGAGATCTGGTTCATTGCTTTGGGTCCGCGCAAAAAACATGTGCATCTATGGCATGTCTTGTTGTTTTTGATTATTTTGTTCAGCCCACACGTGTTTTTGTCTTTCTTTCTTTCTTTCTTTATTTCTTTCTTTCGTTTTTTTTTTGGGGGGGTGTTAGGGCACCTGTTTCTGACATGCATGTTTTGCTAGGGCACCTGGTTTTTTGTGGCTTTGGCATGTGTGTGTTTTTGGGGCACCCCTGTTTGTGGGGATACTTTTGTCCCGGGGACGTAAGCAAATGCAGGTGTTGCTTTAACCAGGACACTCAGCCAAGAAAATTGGGAGCTCATTGAGTTCCAGTGTTTTTTCCTATGGGGTAACGGTCCCATTCTATGCGATGTTTGTTGTTTTGTTTGTTTTTTTGGTTTGCCATGCGAGCAACAACTCCAGGAAATTGGTGTTTCTTGATGGTTCCCAGCCATCCCCGTAGGCTTTTAAGTGAAGAGTTAGTGCGGGTCTTCATTTAACCCGCTAACAAATCAACTTGCGGCAGGGGATTTGAGGACAGCCCAGTTTGGGTTGATTGTTCTTTGGTGCATTTTGCTTGGCTGTTAGGACTTTTTGCCAACTAATGGGTTTTCCACTAAACCACTAAAAGTTAAACTTTTAGCAGGGGAGCAGAACCGAGAGTTGGTTGAGTTCTAGGCGACCGGAAACAGTTCAACCACGTTTTTTCTGGCTGCCATTTTGTTTGTCACCAGGGGTTCTTGGCTACGACCACCGAAACGTTTGGTCACTCAACATTGCCAGACTTGTGTGTGTGTGTGTGTGTGTGTCTTTTTTAGCTTGCCTTTTAGCCTGTTTGTTTGTCTTCGTCATCTTTCTGGTGCTCATCAGGGAATGAGAAAGGGAATGACCCCTAGAAGCCATCCTATGGCGTCCTGTGTGCGGGACTCCCTAAAATGCGGTTGATTCCCAACACCAGGACTCATTGTAATTTCTACCTATCGCACCAGCCAGTTTGTTTTTCAGACGGAGAGGCAGAACGACCCAGGGTTTGGGAATGAACTGGAAGAGGATTCGCTTATAAAGGAAACTAGGTGCCCCGGTAGTGCCCTTTCTCACCCCCTTTTTGGTTGGGAGATTCGGCTCCCCTGCTAAAAAAGACTACAGACCAAAGTTGGTACCAACTCATTCTAACCTCCCTACTGGAGGACCTAGGAAACCAAAGCGGATGGATGGTTTTTGTTCGGGGTCATTCGAGCCGAAGGCGCAAGAAGTTCGGCCTGCGGGTGACCCTGAAGCATAAAGCCGTGTAGGGGAATCCCCCCAAATCCGGTTCATTCCCGCACCCCGGGCTTGTCAACCTATCTCACCAGCCTGAAAACATGGTGGTCGTTGGGAAACATTTTTCCCATTTTTGATCTTATTGTGGTTTAGTGGTTGAAATCCAAGCACTTAGCTGCTAAAATTTAAATGTTTGATCCCCTTCCAACGTCAACCAAGGAAAATGGCTTGATGCTGACGCCAAGCACCTTTCACCAACTAAACACAAGTAGAAACACCTCCAAGCAATGGTTGGATGGCTGGAAACCAAGTAATGCTGGGTCTTCCTTTGTTTTCCCTCCCCCCCCTTTTCGTGTTTTTCAGCCTTGGCCCCCCGCCCCCATCCCCCCCTCCTGTGCAAGTTTGCAAGTTTTTTCCTGAAGGAGCGCACCAGGGAGGCCTTTAACAAGCTCAGGGATGACTCCAACGCCAAGGCCGCCGCCATCTCCGAGTCGCACGAGTCGCCGCACGTGTCGCTCGAGGACCCCTGAGATGGAGATCGACGGCGTGAAAAATACCGGCAAGACCCAAGGGGCCCGGTGAGTAGGGCAACCCCAAGAAGTATACTTGGTGAGCCAACTTCCATTTGCAGATGTTTGATGTTTGGTTTGTTTCCCCGGTTGGTTTTAAAAGGGAATCGATTCCACTACTGGATTTTGTTTTTCAATTGGTTTTTGGGGGCTTAAGCAAATGGAGGCCAAGGAAACAAGTTCGGGCAACCCCAAAATGGTTTGCCTTGGTAAATGGAGATGGGAACAAAAACATTTGGTTTAGCGGTGGGTTCATTGTAACTATGGGGGTTGATCAAAATGGCATGACTAGAGGGGGAAACCACCAAACAGATGATACGTCCCACCTGGGAAAGTTATTCATGGACATTTGGCCGAAAGGAATATTGATCATGTGATCGTCAAAGCACGGGAGATGAAGGTTAGCAAGGGGCAGGGACTAGCCGGACCAACGAAAATCTAGCCACAATCAATACCCGGGAGATGAAGCTTAGTAAGGGGCAGGGACATGACAACCATGACACAAATTGTCCACAGTACCTTTTCGAATCGTAGTTTGGTGGGTGTGCCCCATATACCATTCCCTATTGTTTTCCGCTGGAGCCACAAAATAAAACTAGGTTAACACAGCCACAATCAAAACCCGGGAGCAGGTTAACATGGCCACAATCAAAACGTGGGAGATGAAGGTTAGTAAGGGCCGGACCATGGTGGGCGGCTTGTAACCTGCGGGGAGTGCTTGAGAGCTGCTCCGGGACTCCGGGATCCGGAAGTTAGCTGGGGATATGACCAGGGCTCATGTTGAAAGGCTTTTTGGGAAATGCTTGGGGTTCATTCAGGGGGGTTTCCTGTGGATATGACGTGTTTTGACCGAATGTCCCTTTTGGATGGTTCACCTTTCTGGCTATGTGGAGCCTCCTTTTGGTGGGGTGATGCAAAAAGACACATCATCTAGTCCCTAATTCCCAAAGGAAGAGCCATTTGAGTACTGGACCCTGATGCTGCGCCATGAGAATCGTGGATTTCACTGGACCCCAAGAATCAAACAATTACCCTTGCACCAAGAAACATGGAACCTGACGTTTGGGGGGTCCTGGTTGGACCATTTTGCTTTTAAGGGGAGCAGTCCCTGTCAGGTTCCATGTGAAAAGGGTGGGAGGGTACAAAGGATGAGCAATTCCCAATGAGCTCGTTGGGAGCGTGTTTTGCAAGCCAAAAGACGCGGAGCTACAAACACGTAGCTTCCCAACAACGACAATTTTGAGGACTTGTTGGGTGTTGTGTGGCAGGAACAGCTGATCAGTTTCTACGATCATAAACATGTCCAATAAGATTTCTACAGTTGTTCAGGTAAATGTGCGAACGATTTTTGTTTGGTCCAGAGTGGCCAAGCCCTTGATGAAGCTTCACGAACTTGTGAACGCCAACAGGAGGGTTTGCGACGAGAGGGGAATTCCCCCTCATCTTGACTGCTATTAAGTTGGATCTTGAGACTTTAACTTTTTGGGAAATAAAAGGGTTTTTGCACTAAACCCCCCTTTTTTGGGCAGAAAATTAGGTAACGAAACCCCACTAAACCCCCCAAAAAGTGTTCCACTTGCGGGGGGGTCAGCTCAGCCACCCAAGTCATCCACAGAGCAGGTGCAGTCCATGCAGCAAGAGCTGGACGCAGAGAAGGCCAAGCTGCAGGTGCGACCGAACCCCTCTGGGGGCACCCGACTCCTCGAAAGGTGGTGGTGCCAGGCATCCGGTTCCTTAGCTTTGTATCGCTTTTTTAGTTGCCAGCCGTCCGGCTCCTTGGCTTTTCAGGTTTTTGGTTGGTGAAAGGTGGAGGTTTCCGACTACAGCCCACAATTGGAGCTTTTGCTGATCAAAATCGGTTTGGAGAGCCCAGAAAAGATGGAGTCTCCGAATCCAACCTGAATCAAAGATGGGTTGGAAGGGCTTAAACATGGGTCAGCCGATGTTTGAAGGGTCAGAAGGAAACTCCATATACCCCCCCCCCCCCCGGAGAGTGGCAAACTAGATAGCATGAAAAACTTGTCCTTGACCGTGTCCCTTCCATACCCCATCCCTGTTGCTGCTTTCGGTGCCTAACTGCCGAAAAAAGCACGATGCTGCGCTGAGACAGCAAGGCGACCGTTCCGCGGGAAGTAATGTTATCCAAGTCTCACATGTCCAAATCCGACCTGGTGACCTTTTGGCTTTCCTGTTTTGGTCCACTTTTGTCAAGGTCCCAAAACTTCCCCAGAATTAGTTCCCCTTTTCCTTTTTTGCTTTTTTGGGGTCCCCTTTGTTTTCCACTAACCAGGCAAAAAAGGTCTCATTTTTTTTGCTGGGGTCCCTTTTTTCCAGCCAAGAAAAGATTAACCTTTGATTTCCGGGCCTTTGGCAGCTGAGACTTTAAGGAAAATTCCTTGGATCGAGGGCAAGTCACCAAGTGGGGAATACTGTTGGGGAAGCCTCCTATAGGGGTTCCTCGTTGCAAGCTCCAAAAGTGGCGATCGTTTTAACGGAGCTCACCACTAAATTGATAATTTCATCAACCTTTAAAGGCGAAATCCAGTGACCCCTCATCTTCAATGGTTGGACCCCAAATACCAGGGCATTTGACACCCAAGGACTTTAAAGGGGGTCGTGGGCCTTGTTGGAAGGGCAACTCTGATGTCGCGATGCTTAAACCTGGGCAAGTGGGGCCATAGCCCACTTATAACCATGGCTCTAATTTTTCTTACCTGAGGTTGGTTTTTCACGTCCAAGTAGAGCAGGTGAATATGCAGGCCTGAAGGACCCCCCAAAAACCTTAAATGAGCTGCAAAGGGGCCCCGAATGGGCATGGTTTTTTTCAGAGGTGCATGTTGCTGGGATGTTAGGACTGTCAACTTTTTGCCAACTAACGGAGTTTCCCAAAAAAAAACACCAAAAGTTAAACTTCTAGCAGGGGAGCAGAAAGCAACCGAGTTTTGGGAAGGGCACTGATTTCCCCGCCTCGCCTTCAGGAGCAGCAGGAGGCCGCCAGCAAAGGCGCACAGCAGCTGGCACAGCTCCGGGCGGCCGCTTGACTCAAGAACCCGAGTCAACTCGAGTTTCACTTTTCCTCTTTAAACAAAAATAACATGTGTTTTTGGGATACGTGTTTTTTGTGTGCGTTGGCTTAAGCACATGTGTTTGTTGTTTGTTTTTAAGGTTCCCCCTCTTGGTGTTTTGAAAGTTACTGACCATGGTGTCTTGTTGGTTGTTGCTGGGGACAAAGTACAATTGGAGGTTAACCACTCAGGAACTGGCAACCTGACATGGGTTGACCCTCAATTGGGATACCCCAAAATGGAAATTCCTCCAAAGGCGTTTTGTGTTTTCTTTTGTTCTGGACAGTTAATTCATCTGGAGTGTTTGTTACTCGTATTGTTGGATTGAACAGCTAGAAGGAGTTTCCCATGTTCAGTGGATTCCCTCATCCTGTTTCGCTTTATGAATCCCCCACCCAGCATGGTCACCAATAAGGTGTCCCGATCGTCTTTTTCCCCATCAGCTGGTCTCAGCCCAGATAGGCTGCGGGGCGGCCCTGAGGTAAGGTTCCACGAGGGTTCCACCACGGTTCCACCAGGGTTCCACGAGGGTTTCACGAGGTTCTGTGAGGGCTGCGGGGTGGTGCGAGCACTAAAAAGAGCACCGCATGCTGTTGGGGCTATTACCTGAGCTTATTTTTTTCTGTGGGGGGGGGGTCCATGTTACTTTCAAATAGCGTACACAAAAGTGAGTGTAGCATGACTTACGGCATCTTACGCCTCGCACAAAATGGGACGACAGGTGTGCCTGACATTACCTCGACTCGAGCACATGGAAGTCTCCCTATCTCCTGCCTCGCTTGGGAACCATTTTGGCTGCGATTCACGTGGAACTGTTTGCTGACAGTGAAGCAACGAGATGTTTTCATGTTTGCGTGCAACATATTTGCCGGCTGCCGGGTGTGCCTTTTGTAAGACTGGACGTAGCTCCAAGCATGTTACCTGTGACGAACTTGATCACTCTCACTCCCCGAGTTCTTGGGCTTGACACTTTTTGGGTTTGGACCCTCAGTGGTTCAGTGGCACCGATTCTTTTTCGCATTTTTTTTTTTCGGGGGCCCCACTAAAAATGGTCCAAGCCCCAAAAAGCGCTCCCATTTTTCCCAGGGTCACTGAACAACTGAGGATCCTTTTAGTGGCAAACCAGAAGTTTGAACTTATTTTGGTCACCCCACTCAGGAAGTGAGAACTGTACATTCATGCATCACTACTCAGAGATGTGTCAAGTGCCGAATATGTACGTTTCCAGACGCTATTTGTTTTAACACCCCAAAAGCATTTGCATAATGAATCCACACATCACACATGTATGCGTGTTTGTGTTTCAGACCCTAGAAAAAACACCCATGTAACCTGAGCAAAAGGGCCGTGGACATGAATCCCCACCGAAAAGAAACAACGATAACTGGCCTGCTGTTTAAAATCGGATGTTGACCCCTGATGAATACACCCCTCCCCAGTTATTAATCAGAATGGTCTCCCTGGAAAGACACCCCCACCAAACACGGAGCTTTCTGATGAATCACTGGGAAGATACTTTTCATGGAAGTCACCACTGGGCTGTCCAGGCGCAATCCAAAGAATCCTTGCTTTGGGTTCCGCAAGGTCCGGTCTAGTGGCCTCCCCTTTTTCGCGGTTCCGGAAGATCGGATTCAGCCGGTGGTTTCCATGAGAACATCCCATGTGGATTTTCGGCCAGCCGGTGCGTCACACTCTGTGCCCCCGGGGAAGTGAAGCTGAGTTACGGCCAGCCAATCGGTGCGGATCTCCGTGGGTCTTGAAAGGTCCCCCAGTGTACCAGGGAAACCCATCTATTTTTGCAAAAGGCCACCTATGGGGGGGGCTCTTAGCCCAAAAAGGAACTGGTCTTGAAACTAGGTCCCCCAGTAGTGCCCTTTTACCCTTTTTTGGGGGAGGGTTCAAGGCCTATGGCGACTCAGATTGATTTTTTGTCAAGGGGTCAAGCCAAGTGCCAAGGACCTGTCCGCGGCTAAGGCCGGAAGAGCGGGAGAGAGAGGGGGGGAGGGGGCGGATTGATTGGCCTAAAGCTGGACTTGGCATGGTGCTTCTATGTTTTTTTGTTTGCTTGTTACGCTTCGTACTGTTCCATTGTGTTATTTTGTGGTTGGGCTTTTGACTTGCCTTTTTTTGTTTGGATCTGTTCATTTTCAGTGGGGGCCGAGGATACCAGGCTTTCTGATGGTGACTATATGTTTACCTTGCAGGGTGGTAGAGTGGGCTGTTAGTTGCCACTTTCTTTTTTTCCGAACCATCTCCAAGCATATTTGACATCTTGGGATGCCCCAATAATTATAAGGGTCCTGATAGGATTTGGAGCCCAACTCGGGTTGTGGTACGGGGACTCATCGGGTCCTGATTTCTGCATCCCCTGACCCCGATCGGACCCTGGAAATGATGGCTCGCGTCAGAAAATCCTTCGGTGTACGAAGACTCTGGTTTTCTGAGTTGACGTGCTGGGCTCCCTCTTTCCCACCCAAACCCCATGATTCGTACCTCAGTGGGCCTCGTAACTTTTCATGTGTTTTGCTTTTTTGGGGTTCACTTTGTTTTCCGCTACCCAGAAAAAACATGCTGGGTCCTAATTCCAGCCCAGGTGAGGTGCTCAACCAAGTTGCCAAACTTTGCACAGGCTGCGGAGTCCGAGCTGCAGCAAGTGGAGAGCCTCCGGGCGGAAGCAGCAGAGGCGCGCTCACTCGGCCCGGACGACCTACATCTGTCCTGCTGAGGACGGATGAAATGCATGTTGCACCACCATTCGGAAACCCTGGATGCTGATGATTCCCGTGCAAATACCAACAAACAATGGATTCAACTCCATGGTTGCGAAGTGGTGCAGGATTTCATCCGTCCACAGTATTTGAGGCGGTTTCCTCCTCCAGCGATGAATCACCACTAGACAGAGACACGACACCGCCCCGTGAATTCAGCTGGGGTCGATGAATCCGGGGTCAAGATTATAAGGACAGTCCCAAGTCCCAAACAATTGGAGCCCAGCAAATCTGGCGTGTCAGTTTCGGAGATGTTGGCTGAAGCTAGCAGCTAGCTTTTGCAGCGGGTCCAAGCCTAACCAAGTTCAGACGCCTCACGCTTGCAAATACCGGTCCAGTAGCTCAATCACGCCATACTTCAGTGTTTACTTCGGCGCCCCACATGCAATTACCTGCTCAACGTGTAATTGTTCTTACCTCTTAAAAACACAACTTTTCAACTTTTTGGGTAACATGGGCTATATGTCTGTAAATGATTAACTTCCCCAGGGCTTGGAGTTTTAAGGGGTAATTGTTCCATCAATGGTCGACACCTCTCTTTCTCTCTCTCACTCCCTGGGTTCCTGGACTTTCATACGTTTCTACGAAAGGGATCCTCGGGTGCGGTCCGCTTTTTTGGAAGGTATACCAGGTCTGCCCTGGTTGGAAAAATGAGCATCGGAACCACGGAACACCAAGTTTTGCCTAAACAGACACAACAAACAAATGAGCCACTTGCTCAGACCCAGGGATTGATGAGTCCCGGTTAGGAAGTGGCAGTAGCCAGACATAGTTGCGGATCTCCGCCTTCAAATAATTCTTGAAGCATGGTTCTGGGATTACGACCATTAAGAATTACCGGGATTTGAGCAAGTGACTCAAATGGTCTTGAAAATTTGGAGGTCATAGAAACACCCCAAACTGGGCGCAAGCATGCAGGTGCCAAGGCTGAAGGAGAAGCTGGCGCAACTCGAGGTGAGGGCTGTAGAGCTTCTGGAGACTCTGTAGATGTCCGTTTGCTGAAATGAATATGTTCTAGCCCCCAGTGCCCTTTCTCACCCCTTTTTTGGTTGGGAGGGTTCGCCTACTAAAGTAGACTGCAGAAAAAAGGGTACCCTTATTTTGGTCCTCTCTGCTGGAGGACCTAGTGTTTTGTTTTCCCTTGCTGGTTTTGAAGGGAACCGATGTCACTGCTGGACTTGTTTGTTTCTTCTTTCCAGGTGGCTTAAGCACATAAAAGCAGATGAACGGCAAATTGTCGAAGGTCGTTTTTTTTGGGAGTTTGGGCGGTTTCTGTTTCCCCAAGCAGTGTGTGAACGCACTAAGGGGACGGTCACTGTAAAGCATGGCGCTTGGAATGGAGCTAAGTTTATTTTGCTTGGCAGGCACAGCAGATTCTGAAGATTTGGAGCTCCAAGACCTTGAATTGTGACAGGTAGCATTTTGTGGCCGGACAGGTAGTATTTTGTGGACGTTCAAAAGCTGGGGCCAGCGCGGTACGTTTGCGGGTCTGAACACTTTCAGAGGGTACGTGGCGATTGCAGCAAATTCTCGTCTGGGACGATGTGTTGAAACCCCGAAATGTCTCAATGTGAGGGACTGTTGTCAGTTTTGGGTTTCGCATGCGAGGTCGCATGCGCGCGGCATGTTGTGTGTGTGTGTGTGTGTCGGATCTCTCGTTATGTCGCAGTCCTTACATTCTGACACCGTTTGTGCAACTTTTACGTGGCTCGGGTCGGATCGCTCTGGTTGCGGCGCGGTGCTGATTCTGATTTCGATAGCGTAACCCTTTGCGTACTTTGCACATGTCCGTTTGCTCTCGCTGTGCTATGTGGCGCGATGCCGATTCTGCTATCGTTGGGAATAATCACTGCTACTGCAGTCCAAGGAGACGGCTTGTTCAGGAACTTGCAAGGTTTGTGCGATGCGAGGCCCGTGTCTTAGTTTTCAGGCCTGCGAAATCCCGCGCTCGAAGGTTGCCAGCGGGTTGCTTGCTATTCGCCTTGCAAGCTTGCAAACGCTTCACGAGCGGGCAAAGCGAGCGACTTTTGGCCCTCTCACAGAGCCAAATTGTCAACTCGCGTGGCGAGGTTTGCGCGGTTTCAGTGATACTGTGGATGGACGAAATCCTGCACCACCTAAGAGACCCTGGAAGGATGAATCCCCTTGAAAATACCAACACACACACTGGTTTTCCATGGTTTCAAGGTGGCGCACGTCGGCCACAGGCGCAGCATGCCAGCAGCGCAGAAGAACAAAGTCAAGAGATTCAAAGATTGAAGGCAGAGGCTGCGCAGGTGGGAACATGTGTAGAGTGCGGGCATGCAGGACAGATTCATATCACAGACCGGTAGCTTCCCTTCCACGAAGACGGCTAATTTGGTTAATTCTTCATGCCGAGTTACCCCAGTGATGGTTATGACAGTCCAGCGGCTAAGATCGGGAAGGTTGGTTGGCGGGTGGTCCCTCCTTCGGGGGAACTCCACAAGAGGACTGAACAGGTGGTGAGCAGACTTTCATTCTTTCGCGCACCACACCGGGCGTCCCCTTTGTCTTGCTCTTCCTGACAGGTTGAACAGCTCAAAGGGCAGCTGGCAGACGTGCAGGCGTCGGGCGCGTTGCAGTCACGCTGTACGATGTGCTGAATTGCACATTCATGTTTGATGCTCACGCTGTACGATTTGCTGCTGCGCGCCGCACGAATGAGACAGTCGCAAAGCACGTAGAGCAAAGGTCTCTGTGAATTCTATTGTTTTTGTGATCGGTCGTTTACGTTTTTGCTCGATGGTGATTCCAGGGACCTTTCCTTTGAACAACCCCGTTAGACTAGACGAGTCAAGTGTCAACCAGAAAGTGTTGCTTCCGGAGCCGGCATGTTTACGTGTATATTTGCCGCAGGCGCAGCATGCCAGCGCAGAAGAGGAACAAAGTCAGGAGATGCAGAGACTCAAGGCGGAGGCTGTCCAGGTGAGGATGTTGGTGGCTGGGTGATTGGGCGGAGGCAAATCCAAGCTGCAAAGAGATATAGCATAGGCCAAATTGGAAGAGGCTTCACGGGACCGGAGGGTGCTGAGACCTCATCCTTGCTTGCCCGCCGCAACAGGTGGAACAGCTCAAAGGGCAGCTGGCTGAAATGCAGGCTCAGCGTGGACTCATGCAATTCAGTTGGTTTTGCCTACAGGGAAGCTTGGTATCGTACTTTGCCCGTCCAATCGTCGACACACATTACATGTTGCACTTGAAACAGTTATTTTTCACGTGCCATCCCCAGCAGCGGCGCTGCAACGCGTGCAGAGTCGCCAGGCGCAAACCGCGGCTCTGGAGTCCAAGGATGCAACCTTGGAGCAGTACCGGCAGCAGATGGAGAGCCTTAGGGCGGAAGCCGCCCAGGCCCGGCGCCCGGCGGTGTGTGACGTGACGAGGCATTGCAAGATACTGGAAGTTGGTTGTATGGAGTTGATGCTTCGATTATGTGTAAGGGCAGGTTGTGTTTTTGCATGCTGTGGGAAAACTGTCACTCGCTTTGCCAAGTTTGCAGGCATCCCAGCTGCAGGAGAAGATAGCGGAGTTGCAGGCGCTTGGTTGTTGCGCATTGGGTGACTGGCAGGGGTGGGGGCCGTTCAATTACGACGTGTGGTGGCTGGGCCAAGTAAATGCGGAGTCGCGGTGTCGAACGCATAGCGACCTCAGGCGCAGCATGCCAGCAGCACAGAGGAACAAAGTCAGGAGATGCAGAGACTTCAGGAAGAGGCTGCGCAGGTGGGAACGTTGGTGGGCTGGTGGGCAGAGATGTGATGAACAGCAGAGCTGCAAAGGGAGGCAGCACTGGCTGAACAATTCAGAGGCATCATGGCTCCAGTGAAGAACGGGTTGGATAACAATGGGATGAGCATGCCTCATCGAGTCGTTTCAAATATGTCTGAATCATGCTGTGCCGTGCTTAGTCATGCCCCACGCAGGTGCAACAGCTCAAAGGGCAGCTGGCAGAACTGCAGGCGCACCACGCGGGTGGTGAGTTTCATCCTGCAAGGGCTCATGCTGTTTTGAGTTGGTTCTGCCCACAGGAAGCTGGGTACCATGACATGCTCGAGATAGTTGTTTGTGTTCTCGTCAACATGCGTGTTGTTTTGCACCAGATTTGTCGTGTGCGATCGATGACGCAATGTAAGTTGTTCTGGAATCCAGTAAAAGCTGAAGCTGAGCATCCCTGCAACGCGTGCAGAGTCGCCAGGCGCAAACCGCGTCTCTGGAGTTGAAGGATGCAACCTTGGAGCAGTACCGGCAGCAGATGGAGAGCCTTAGGGCGGAAGCCGCCCAGGCACGTCGCGCGATGGGGCATTGGAAGATATTGGAAGTTGGTTGTATGGAGTTGATGCTTAGCGCAGATCACATGCAAGGGCAGGTTGTGTTTGGCACGCTGTGGGAAAGCTGCCGCTTGCCTTGCCAAGTTTGCAGGCATCCCAGCTGCAGGAGAAGATAGCGGAGTTGCAGGCGTTTTTGTTGTTTTGCATTGGGACTGGGAGGTGGGGGTGGGGGGGTGGCAATTACGACGTGTGGTGGCTGGGCCAAGTAAATGCGGTGTCGCCTCAGGCGCAGCATGCCAGCAGCACAGAGGAACAAAGTCAGGAGATGCAGAGACTTAAGGAAGAGGCTGCGCAGGTGGGGACGTTGGTGGGCTGGTGGGCAGAGATGTGATAAAAAGCAGAGCTGCAAAAGGAAGCAGGTTGGAGAACAATGGGATGAGCATGCTTCATCGAGTTGTGGCATATATGGCTGAGTCATTTCAGAATCATGCTGTGCCGTGAATAGTCACGCTCCCCGCAACAGGTGGAACAGCTCAAAGGGCAGCTGGCAGAACTGCAGGCGCACCGGTGGGGGCGGTATTGAACACAGAGGAAGCTGGGTAACATGACACGCTCAAGATAGTCTTTGTGTTCTCGTCAACACGCGTGTTGTATTGCACCAGATATGTCGTGTGCGATCGATGCCGCAATGCAAGTTTTTGTGGGATCGAGTAAAGCTAAGCATCGCTGCAACGCGTGCAGAGTCGCCAGTGGTTGTTTCGCATTGGGACTGGGAGGTGGGGGTGAGGGGGTGGCAATTACGACGTGTGGTGGCTGGGCCAAGTAAATGCGGAGTCGCGTTTGCGAGCGCCTACCGGCCTCAGGCGCAGCATGCCAGCAGCACAGAGGAACAAAGTCAGGAGATGCAGAGACTTCAGGAAGAGGCTGCACAGGTGGGGACGTTGGTGGGCTGGTGGGCAGAGATGTGATGAAAAGCAGAGCTGCAAAAGGCCGCAGGTTGGAAAACAATGGGATGAGCATGCTTCATCGAGTCGTGGCATATATATATATATATATGGGAGTCGTTCTAAAGGTCCTTGTCAGGAGTTCAGAATTCGGCGACCATCGGTGTTGGTTGAGGTAGCTCCGCGAAAGATTCGCGATGGAGTTGCGAAAGTAACTTGTTTTTTTTCTCGCGAAAGTTTTGCATAACTGTATCTTGTAAATCAATGATATGTGAAACCATTTATCTTTGCTGCTGAGCCTTCCTTCTAAGCTGATCAAAAACACTTTGTTGACTCTGATAAAGTGATAAAGCCAGGTGAGGCTACAGTTTGATACCCTGCTTGGCTGGTTAGCGCTCCAAGCCTGTGTATGCGCGTCTGTGGGTGTTTAGTCGGTGGCTTTCCGCTCTGAAGCGTGGGTGATTTTTCGCGAAAGTTCCGCGAGAGATCCGCAAAAGCCCGCGCGAAAGCGCAGGCTTCGATTGCAAGGGGAGGTACTTTCTGAGCGTCGCGCTAGTCAGTATACTAGCTTGGTACTGGAAACTTCGACTTTAAGCTAGTGCTGCACGGCTTACGAAAAGCTGCGACTTTCCAGCCGGTTCACGTCATGTACTACCCCTGTGATGAAAAGTTGCGACACTACAGCTGGAGTTGCGGAATCGCATTTCGCGCACTACGCTGGCACTTAAAAGGTGCGATTTTCTGACTTGAGCAATGAAAGCGGCACGGCGATGAATCTGCGAAAGATTTGCGAAAGTAACTTTTTTATTCGCGAAGAATGGCCGTTTCGAGACAAAGGAATTTAGAACAACCACCATATTGGCTGAGTCATTTCTGAATCATTCTGTGCGGTGAATAGTCACGCTCCCCGCAACAGGTGGAACAGCTCAAAGGGCAGCTGGCAGAACTGCAAGCGCACCAGAGGGGGCGATATTGAACGCAAAGGAAGCTGGGTAACATGACACGCTCCAGATAGTCTTTTGTGTTCTCGTGAACCAGCGTGTTGTATTGCACCAGATATGTCGTGTGCGATCGATGCCGCAATGCAAGTTTCCCTGGCATTGAGTAAAGCTAAGCATCGCTGCAACGCGTGCAGAGTCGGAGTCAATGGAGAGCCTTAGGGCGGAAGCTGCCAAGGCTCGGCGCCCGACGGTATGTGAAATCTTGCGCAAAGGCAAACGCGCAGGCGAGCAGGCGAGTCTTTGCAGTTGTTTGTTGTGTTGGAGCTGATGCTGGGTTGTGGTTTGCATGCTGTGGGAAAGCTGCTGCCACTTGCTTTGCCAAGTTTGTAGGCATCCCAGCTGCAGGAGAAGATAGCGGAGTTGCAGGCGCTTGGTTGTTGCGCATTGGGTGACTGGCAGGGGTGGGGGCCGTTCAATTACGACGTGTGGTGGCTGGGCCAAGTAGATGCGGAGTCGCGTTTGCGAGCGCCTACCGGCCTCAGGCGCAGCATGCCAGCAGCACAGAGGAACAAAGTCAGGAGATGCAGAGACTTCAGGAAGAGGCTGCACAGGTGGGGACGTTGGTGGGCTGGTGGGCAGAGATGATGAAAAGCAGAGCTGCAAAGGGAAGCAGCACTGGCTGAACAATTCAGAGGCATCATGGCTCCAGTGAAGAACGGGTTGGATAACAATGAAATGAGCATGCCTCATCGAGTCGTTTCAAGTATGTCTGAATCATGCTGTGCCGTGCTTAGTCACGCCCCACGCAGGTGGAACAGCTCAAAGGGCAGCTGGCAGAACTGCAGGCGCACCAGGCGTGTGGTGATTTTCATCCTGCAAGGGCTCATGCTGTTTAGAGTTGGTTCTGCCTACAGGAAGCTGGGTACCATGACATGCTCGAGATAGTTGTTCGTGTTCTCGTCAACATGCGTGTTGTTTTGCACCATATTTGTCGTGTGCGATCGATGACGCAATGTAAGTTGTTCTGGAATCCAGTAAAAAGCTGAAGCTGAGCATCCCTGCAACGCGTGCAGAGTCGCCAGGCGCAAACCGCGTCTCTGGAGTTGAAGGATGCAACCTTGGAGCAGTACCGGCAGCAGATGGAGAGCCTTAGGGCGGAAGCCGCCCAGGCCCATCGCCCGACGGTGTGTGAAATCTTGCGCAAAGGCAAACGCGCAGGCGAGCAGGCGAGTCTTTGCAGTTGTTTGTTGTGTTGAAGCTGATGCTGGGTTGTGGTTCGCATGCTGTGGGAAAGCTGCTGCCACTTGCTTTGCCAAGTTTGCAGGCATCCCAGCTGCAGGAGAAGATAGCGGAGTTGCAGGCGCATTGGGTGACTGGAAGGGGTGGGGGCCGTTCAATTACGACGTGTGGTGGCTGGGCCAAGTAGATGCGGAGTCGCGTTTTCGAGCGCCTACCGGCCTCAGGCGCAGCATGCCAGCAGCACAGAGGAACAAAGTCAGGAGATGCAGAGACTTCAGGAAGAGGCTGCGCAGGTGGGGACGTTGGTGGGCTGGTGGGCAGAGACGTGATGAAAAGCAGAGCTGCAAAGGGAAGCAGCACTGGCTGAACAATTCAGAGGCATCATGGCTTCAGTGAAGAACGGGTTGGACAACAATGGGATGAGCATGCCTCATCGAGTCGTTTCAAATATGTCTGAATCATGCTGTGCCGTGCTTAGTCACGCCCCACGCAGGTGGAACAGCTCAAAGGGCAGCTGGCAGAACTGCAGGCGCACCAGGCGTGTGGTGATTTTCATCCTGCAAGGGCTCATGCTGTTTAGAGTTGGTTCTGCCTACAGGAAGCTGGGTACCATGACATGCTCGAGATAGTTGTTCGTGTTCTCGTCAACATGCGTGTTGTTTTGCACCAGATGTGTCGTGTGCGATCGATGACGCAATGTAAGTTGTTCTGGAATCCAGTAAAAAGCTGAAGCTGAGCATCCCTGCAACACGTGCAGAGTCGCCAGGCGCAAACCGCGTCTCTGGAGTCCAAGGATGCAACCTTGGAGCAGTACCGGCAGCAGATGGAGAGCCTTAGGGCGGAAGCCGCCCAGGCCCGTCGCCCGATGGGGCGTTGGAGGATATTGGAAGTTGGTTGTATGGAGTTGATGCTTAGCCCAGATCACATGTAAGGGCAGGTTGTGTTTGGCACGCTGTGGGAAAGCTGCCGCTTGCCTTGCCAAGTTTGCAGGCATCCCAGCTGCAGGAGAAGATAGCGGAGTTGCAGGCGCTTGGTTGTTGCGCATTGGGTGACTGGCAGGGGTGGGGGCCGTTCAATTACGACGTGTGGCGGCTGGGCCAAGTAGATGCGGAGTCGCGGTGTCGAGCGCCTACCGGCCTCAGGCGCAGCATGCCAGCAGCACAGAGGAACAAAGTCAGGAGATGCAGAGACTTCAGGAAGAGGCTGCGCAGGTGGGGACGTTGGTGGGCTGGTGGGCAGAGATGTGATGAAAAGCAGGGCTGCAAAGGGAGGCAGCACTGGCTGAACAATTCAGAGGCATCATGGCTCCAGTGAAGAACGGGTTGGACAACAATGAAATGAGCATGCCTCATCGAGTCGTTTCAAATATGTCTGAATCATGCTGTGCCGTGCTTAGTCATGCCCCACGCAGGTGGAACAGCTCAAAGGGCAGCTGGCAGAACTGCAGGCGCACCAGGCGTGTGGTGATTTTCATCCTGCAAGGGCTCATGCTGTTTAGAGTTGGTTCTGCCTACAGGAAGCTGGGTACCATGACATGCTCGAGATAGTTGTTCGTGTTCTCGTCAACATGCGTGTTGTTTTGCACCATATTTGTCGTGTGCGATCGATGACGCAATGTAAGTTGTTCTGGAATCCAGTAAAAAGCTGAAGCTGAGCATCCCTGCAACACGTGCAGAGTCGCCAGGCGCAAACCGCGTCTCTGGAGTCCAAGGATGCAACCTTGGAGCAGTACCGGCAGCAGATGGAGAGCCTTAGGGCGGAAGCCGCCCAGGCCCGTCGCGCGATGGGGCATTGGAAGATCTTGGAAGTTGGTTGTATGGAGTTGATGCTTAGCGCAGATCACATGCAAGGGCAGGTTGTGTTTGGCACGCTGTGGGAAAGCTGCCGCTTGCCTTGCCAAGTTTGCAGGCATCCCAGCTGCAGGAGAAGATAGCGGAGTTGCAGGCGTTTTTGGTGTTTTGCATTGGGACTGGGAGGTGGGGGTGGGGGGGTGGCAATTACGACGTGTGGTGGCTGGGCCAAGTAAATGCGGAGTCGCGTTTTCGAGCGCCTACCGGCCTCAGGCGCAGCATGCCAGCAGCACAGAGGAACATAGTCGGGAGATGCAGAGACTTCAGGAAGAGGCTGCGCAGGTGGGGACGTTGGTGGGCTGGTGGGCAGAGATGTGATGAAAAGCAGAGCTGCAAAAGGAAGCAGCACAGGCTGAACAATTCAGAGGCATCATGGCTCCAGTGAAGAACGGGTTGGATAACAATGGGATGAGCATGCCTCATCGAGTCGTTTCAAATATGTCTGAATCATGCTGTGCCGTGCTTAGTCATGCCCCACGCAGGTGGAACAGCTGTGCCGTGCTCAGTCATGCCCCACGCAGGTGGAACAGCTCAAAGGGCAGCTGGCAGAACTGCAGGCGCACCACGCGGGTGGTGATTTTCATCCTGCAAGGGCTCATCCTGTTTAGAGTTGGTTCTGCCCACAGGAAGCTGGGTACCATGACATGCTCGAGATAGTTGTTTGTGTTCTCGTCAACATGCGTGTTGTTTTGCACCAGATGTGTCGTGTGCGATCGATGACGCAATGTAAGTTGTTCTGGAATCCAGTAAAAAGCTGAAGCTGAGCATCCCTGCAACACGTGCAGAGTCGCCAGGCGCAAACCGCGTCTCTGGAGTCCAAGGATGCAACCTTGGAGCAGTACCGGCAGCAGATGGAGAGCCTTAGGGCGGAAGCCGCCCAGGCCCGTCGCGCGATGGGGCATTGGAAGATCTTGGAAGTTGGTTGTATGGAGTTGATGCTTAGCGCAGATCACATGCAAGGGCAGGTTGTGTTTGGCACGCTGTGGGAAAACTGTCACTCGCTTTGCCAAGTTTGCAGGCATCCCAGCTGCAGGAGAAGATAGCGGAGTTGCAGGCGCTTTGTTGTTGCGCATTGGGTGACTGGCAGGGGTGGGGGCCGTTCAATTACGACGTGTGGTGGCTGGGCCAAGTAAATGCGGAGTCGCGGTGTCGAACGCATAGCGACCTCAGGCGCAGCATGCCAGCAGCACAGAGGAACAAAGTCAGGAGATGCAGAGACTTAAGGAAGAGGCTGCGCAGGTGGGGACGTTGGTGGGCTGGTGGGCAGAGATGTGATAAAAAGCAGAGCTGCAAAAGGAAGCAGGTTGGAAAACAACGGGATGAGCATGCTTCATCGAGTCGTGGCATATATGGCTGAGTCATTTCAGAATCATGCTATGCCGTGAATAGTCACGCTCCCCGCAACAGGTGGAACAGCTCAAAGGGCAGCTGGCAGAACTGCAGGCGCACCAGAGGGGTCGGTATTGAACACAGAGGAAGCTGGGTAACATGACACGCTCAAGATAGTCTTTTGTGTTCTCGTCAACACGCGTGTTGTATTGCACCAGATATGTCGTGTGCGATCGATGCCGCAATGTAAGTTGTTCTGGAATCCAGTAAAAAGCTGAAGCTGAGCATCCCTGCAACGCGTGCAGAGTCGCCAGGCGCAAACCGCGTCTCTGGAGTCCAAGGATGCAGCCTTGGAGCAGTACCGGCAGCAGATGGAGAGCCTTAGGGCGGAAGCCGCCCAGGCCCGTCGCCCGATGGGGCGTTGGAGGATATTGGAAGTTGGTTGTATGGAGTTGATGCTTAGCCCAGATCACATGTATGGGCAGGTTGTGTTTGGCACGCTGTGGGAAAGCTGCCGCTTGCCTTGCCAAGTTTGCAGGCATCCCAGCTGCAGGAGAAGATAGCGGAGTTGCAGGCGTTTTTGGTTGTTTTTCGCACGCATTGGGACTGGCAGGGGGGGGGGCGTTCAATTACGAGGTGTGGTGGCTGGGCCAAGTAAATGCGGTTTTGAACGCCTACCGGCCTCAGGCGCAGCATGCCAGCAGCACAGAGGAACAAAGTCAGGAGATGCAGAGACTTCAGGAAGAGGCTGCGCAGGTGGGGACGTTGGTGGGCTGGTGGGCAGAGATGATGGGAAGCAGAGCTGCAAAAGGCCGCAGGTTGGAGAACAATGGGATGAGCATGCTTCATCGAGTCGTGGCATATATGGCTGAGTCACGATGTGCCGTGCTTAGTCATGCCCCACGCAACAGGTGGAACAGCTCAAAGGGCAGCTGGCAGAACTGCAGGCCCACGGGGGGATGCAGATGAGCGGTTTTTACAGGATGTATTATTCAGTGTACTATTCAATTGATTTGACTCAAGCATGTGATTGAATTAGGCAACCGGAGCAACTGATTTTCAGCATGGCACCCTTGGCACCTGGAAAGCTGCGCGTGGAGTCGCCAGGCGCAAGCCGCGTCTCTGGAGTCCAAGGACGCAACCTTGGAGCAGTACCGGCAGCAGATGGAGAGCCTTAGGGCGGAAGCCGCCGAGGCTCGGCGCCCGACGGTGTGTGAAGTGACGAGGCATTGCAAGATACTGGAAGTTGGTTGTATGGAGTTGATGCTTAGCCCAGATCACATGTAAGGGCAGGTTGTGTTTGGCACGCAGTGGGAAAGCTGCCGCTTGCCTTGCCAAGTTTGCAGGCATCCCAGCTGCAGGAGAAGATAGCGGAGTTGCAGGCGTTTTTGGTTGTTTTTCGCATTGGGACTGGCAGGGGGGGGCCGTTCAATTACGAGGTGTGGTGGCTGGGCCAAGTAAATGCGGTTTCGAGCGCCTACCGGCCTCAGGCGCAGCATGCCAGCAGCACAGAGGAACAAAGTCAGGAGATGCAGAGACTTCAGGAAGAGGCTGCGCAGGTGGGGACGTTGGTGGGCTGGTGGGCAGAGATGATGGGAAGCAGAGCTGCAAAAGGCCGCAGGTTGGAGAACAATAGGATGAGCATGCTTCATCGAGTCGTGGCATATATGGCTGAGTCACGATGTGCCGTGCTTAGTCATGCCCCACGCAACAGGTGGAACAGCTCAAAGGGCAGCTGGCAGAACTGCAGGCCCACGGGGGGATGCAGATGAGCGGTTTTTACAGGATGTATTATTCAGTGTACTATTCAATTGATTTGACTCAAGCATGTGATTGAATTAGGCAACCGGAGCAACTGATTTTCAGCATGGCACCCTTGGCACCTGGAAAGCTGCACGCGGAGTCGCCAGGCGCAAACCGCGTCTCTGGAGTCCAAGGACGCAACCTTGGAGCAGTACCGGCAGCAGATGGAGAGCCTTAGGGCGGAAGCCGCCCAGGCCCGGCGCCCGGCGGTGTGTGACGTGACGAGGCATTGCAAGATACTGGAAGTTGGTTGTATGGAGTTGATGCTTCGATTATGTGTATGGGCAGGTTGTGTTTTTGCATGCTGTGGGAAAACTGTCACTCGCTTTGCCAAGTTTGCAGGCATCCCAGCTGCAGGAGAAGATAGCGGAGTTGCAGGCGCTTGGTTGTTGCGCATTGGGTGACTGGCAGGGGTGGGGGCCGTTCAATTACGACGTGTGGTGGCTGGGCCAAGTAAATGCGGAGTCGCGGTTTCGAGCGCCTACCGGCCTCAGGCGCAGCATGCCAGCAGCACAGAGGAACAAAGTCAGGAGATGCAGAGACTTCAGGAAGAGGCTGCGCAGGTGGGGACGTTGGTGGGCTGGTGGGCAGAGATGATGGGAAGCAGAGCTGCAAAGGGAAGAAGCACCATGGGCTTCGCTCATTGCAAAGGTGAACATTGGATTTGCACGCCTCGTCAAGCTATTTTTGATTTTCATGGCGAGGTCACTTCTGTTGTGTGACGAGTGCTGAGACTTCATACTTGCTGCCCGGCAACAGGTAGAGCAGCTCAAAGGGCAGCTTGCTGAAATGCAGGCGCAGCGCTGGGCTGAGGTCAAGGTTTGCGAGAGCTTATGTTGTAGGGTCTGATGACTTTGAGTGCAGCGTGTGCCTCTCTTGAATGCACAGCATGCAACTCTGTTGTGTCTTGAAGGCGAAACATCCTAAAACACATTAAACCACTCAAGTTAAAGGACCATATGCCGAGCTTGGAGCCCTATGCCCAGCCAAAGTGGCCCAATGCATGTCCTCTGAAAAGGACTTTTGACTAATCACAAAGGGAGTTCCCCCTCTGCTCCCCCCTTCCCCCCGTCCCCCTGAAAAATCCGATGTTCTTGGTGCCGCAATGTACCCAACAACAAACCTGGTCGTATTTGAACTGTGCAGTTCTCCCATGTGCAACACTTGACAAAATGCAAGTTGTCCTCAAATCAGATCAACTGAAGCTGAGCATCGCTGCAACGCGGAGTCGCCAGGTGCAGACCGCGTCTCTGGAGTCCAAGGATGCCACCTTGGAGCAGTACCGGCAGCAGATGGAGGGCCTTAGGGCGGAAGCCGCCCAGGCGCCCAGCGCCCAAGGAATTGTCGGAAGTGACGAGGCCATAGGATAGGCAAACAGGGAATGTTGCTAGCGGTTACTCCATCACTAGCAGTCTATGCAACTTGGCTGCATGGATATTATGTTAAAGTTAGTAAACAAAAACAACAAGAGTCGGGAGTTGTGTTACGCATGCTCGAAATTCTGGCCTGGCAGGTGTCCCAGCTGCAGGAAAAGATCGCAGAGTTGCAGGCGCTTGCGCTGTATTATGATATTATATTATAAATATCATATATATATATATAGTAATATAATTATATATATACATGCATATTGTTATATATATATATACGCATATTGTTACATATATATATATATATATGTATCTACATACGTATACCTATATATATATATATATGATAGAAAGGGGTTGTTCGTAAATTTGGCAACGGCAACGAAAAATGGCATGAGCCGCGAGAGATGCAGCGCCCGCGGATGGGCCGCAGGCGCAGCATGCCAGTGAAGAGCACAAGGCAGAGGCTGCGGGGCGTGGATGTGCTTGGTTGCTTTGAATGTATACTCAGTTGCCCAAAGCGAATCGACCTTTTAACCTTTTGGTTTTCCCGTTTTGGTCCATTTTTAGTAGAGGTGCCAAAAGGTTAACCTTTTATTTCTTGGTCCTTTGGGCAAGTGAGTATATCATCGACAGGTAGGGGCGAGTGGGTGACAAGGCAGGTTGTATTCTATGGGACGGCGGCTTTTGGCAAGCCCCCTGACACAATGGGCTGTTATCTAGTCAATTGTCACATTGTGGACTGGCCTTGGTCAGCTTGATGCTTCGAGACCAACCAGTGCAACCAGGACGCCACTTACTGCCCCAAAAACGAGAAAAAAAGAAAAAGGGCAGGTCCAAAAAGGGACTCCTCTCAACAAGGTGCATTTTTCGGGAGCTCCATGATAATCTGCAGGTGTGCATATTGGGTGTGTCTTTTTCGAGGTTACCTTTTTTTTCCTCGGCAAACCAACGGAAAATCTTTGCCATTTCCGATTCCTATTTTGGGAACCATATGAGTGAAGAAACCCCACGTGTAATCTTTGCGGGGCAACTTCCGTCCATCCCTTCCATCGATTTTCTTTCCGAAAAAGCCGTGTGGAAATCTCCGGGGGGTTCCCCGGCGATTTGTGTTTGACTGGGGGGCTGGTTGGGGCGTGCTGGGAAATCGGAAACCTATTCTTTGGCTCTCACCTGAGCACCTGACAGGGGGTCCCTTGAGGGTTTGTTTCTTTCAGCTACCTGGATGTGTCTTCTTTGGAGCTGGTACCCCCTGATTTGTGGTTTTAAACGGAGACCAAAAGGGAAGCCACCATTTGCTGGGCCTAAAAGGCCACAGCCACCTTCAGGAGGCATGGCTCGTTTCTTGCATACCGTTGCCTTTCGAGTAGGTGTCCCTGCAGGAAAAGATGGCGGAGATGCAGGCACGGTCGGCGGTGAATGGAGCCTGCGAGGGGTATTGTAATTACTAGGTTTGAGGTTCGAGCACAGCCCCCGTTGCTTGATTGCTGTTGGGTTAGATTTTTAAACTTAATTTTTTAGGGGAAACCAAAGGGTTTTCCATTGAACCCACAAACATGTTAAACTTGTTGCATTGGGCCCTCCGTTGGGGCATCGAAATGGGTTCCAGTTCAAATGATGTGTTACAATTGCGCTTTTTGGCCCACATGCGATGGATAAACGTTGTTGCTGCAAAATGTGTCCCCTCGCCCAGACAATCATGGAAGCTGACATGAGTGTGGGAGAGACGACTTTCCTCTTGAACGACCTCACGACATGGGTTTTCGTTTGCAGTCACCTCTCGAGATCTTGGAAGATTGCTCACTTCGTTTGCAGTTTCGCGTCCAGATGGATTTCTCATTCCCATAGGTGTCCTTTTGATCGGTTTGGGTAGAAATAAATGGGTTCCACTGGCTGGGATGAGTTGTATTTTCAATTTACGCGTTGGAAACCCATTTTTTTCAGTTTAGGTCACCCATCATTGCTTTCTGCTCCCATGGCTTCTCCTTGCTGTAAAGGCCCTGGGCTTCGCCTTTGTGCCCAATGCTTTTGGTTGAGTTTCGGTCGGTGATCAGCATGCTGGGCTCGGGTTCGTGGGTGTTTATGATCTATATTTGAGAAGGCTTGAAACTCACTCCCAGAGTTCCTTTTCGGCCTTTTCTTTTCGTTACTCTTTTGGGGGCTGGATCATTTTGGCGGTAAACACAAAGTTTGGATTTTGTTTGGCCAATCCACTCAGGAAGTGAGTAAACCGCCTTGGTTTTTCCAGGAAACAAAAAGAACAAGAACAATACCGGAGCCGTCCGAGTCTTATTTTCACGCCCAAATGTTTACCTCACTCCCTGACTGCTTGGACTTGATCCCTTTCGAGAAGGCAACTTTAGACAGTTGGACTTTTTCTGGCCCATCCACTCAGGAAGAGAGGAATGGTGCAAGGGACCCAAAATGGATGATGAAATTGCTACATTAACCCCGTGTGATTTCATGGTTTGAACCCCAGAATACATTCCCGAAAATGTGAAGGGCGCAGTCCCTGATGGGTTTGGATGGCTCGCGCAGGCGCAGCTGCAGGCTGAGACGCTGCAGGCGACGTGACGCGGGACGCGCGCGTTGGATTGGCAGGTTTTGGACAATGGGTTGCCCACTCGTCTTTCTCGGAGATGAAAACGGTTTTTTGGTTGGGTCTGAAAGGAAATCCAGAAGGAAGGCCGAAATCTATCGTTGGTTCCCCCATTTTGAGACAAGCCCAAGTCCTTTGTGCTAGACTGTGCTTACATTTTGACTGTGGAGACCCAACAACTGGTTCCTGCATTGTCAACCAGCAAAAATGAACAACTTTGTGCGGGTCTAAGTGCAGCCCAGCTGTTGTGATAGGGAAGTGATTGAGTAGTTACGGGGATGAGACGTTTGGTATCACAGCGGTTCTGCTCCACATACGTTGGTGGGCAGAGAGGGGGCATGCGCAGCGAGAAAACACGTTCAGATGGGTGAATTTCAGTGCTGTTGCCAATTTGTTGGGGTTTAGTTTGTTTTGGTCCTAGTTATGTTGATCAGGCAAAAAACAAAAACACAAAACACATGCTACCATACAAAGAGTTGGCAGTTTCAAGCTGAGACAAAGCACCGTGTGGTCGCCACCAATCCACACCACTTCGGGTTGCCTGAAAGGGAACGGAGGGGAGCCCAAACCAGGCCCGATTCTGACCTTTCCCCTTCCCCCCTTCCCTCGTCCCCCCCCCACCCCTCCCCTCCCTCCCCTCCCCTCCCGTCCCAGGCCCCACAAGAAGAGGGTTGCTTTGGCACTAGGAAGCCGGCCTGAAAAAGGCGAGGGTCAGGCGTTGCCTTTTGGGAATCTGAATCACAGGTGTCCTTTTGATCGGTCAGTTTGCTTAGAAATAGATGGGGTTGCACTGCACTGGTTTAGATAGGTTTTATGCTCCAGTTACCAGGGCCATCTATTTTACAAAAAGGATACCTACGTTGGGAGTGTGTCAAAGTCAGGGGCGCTGAAATTGCGGCAACTTGTAGTTGGTTTCTTCACACCGAAACGGGGTCCAACGTGTGATGGCCAGTGGATTCTTCGCCCCAACTCTTCACATAGGCACGTGTCAACAAACAAGGTCTCCAACAGTTAGATGGTGTAATCCTAGATTCCGTTGAGGGTTTCTTGTTTGAACACGGGGACCTGGAAACCGGCCGGTGTGGGTAGGTGGAAGGGCTCAAAGTGCAGCTGGCAGAAGCGCAGGCGCAACCTGTGGGCCAAGCCGCTTAAGAAGTAGTTAAACCACCTCACTTTCGTTTGCATGTTTTTAGGTTCAAGTTGTTGATTCAATTTCTCTGCTGTTGTGGTTTTAAAGGGCAATCGAAAGGGGTGGTCCAAAAAAGACACCCATTTGTTTCCCTTCACTTTTGTTGGCATGCTTTTAGGTTTTTAGGCTTGGGTTTTGCTCATTTTTAGTACGGGGTTGCAAACATGAAGGTTTGTTCTAAGAACGGTTTCCAGGTTTTATTGGTAGTAGGGGGCTGCACACATGACAGTTTGTTCTACGAAACACCATGAATGTGAACCAAGGTTGATGATCCCCTGCTTCATTAATAGGGAATACCCCCTTTTTCTTTGGGATTCATCACTTTGCCACTCCACAATTAATGGGAAGGGCTTGTTGATCCAGGGGCAGCGTTATTGCTTAAGCAACCTCTTTTTGGGTTGCCTTTTCTCGTGAGCCGGGGTCTGGTAAGCAAATTCTGCGGTGTTTTGAGAATCTTTGAGCAGGTTTTGGGCAAACCATGTGGTAGGTATCTTGGCGGCTCAACCAGCCATCCGGTTCAACTTCGCTTTTTAGCTTTTGCATTCCATTTAACTCACTAGTTCAGCTTTTCTCAGGGCATCTGAAAACGGACAGCCCAGTCCCCTCAAGCTCAAGTGAATCAGCCGAACAAGGCTTCGTGTTTTTGTTTTTCAGCTTCTTCAAGCAGCTTGGCTTGATTTCTCACTGAAAAAAGCTGGAAAATGGGACGTCTTGAGTTCCCATGGAAAACCACCGGGGAAGAAAGGAATGCAGGTCAGGCATCAGACAGCACTGGCGGATACGAGTGACCTTGCGCAACACGACACAGTTCGCCTCGTCTACACCAGTTGTACGCTGGGCATTGAGCTGTACTTTGAATTCATTGCAGTACATATGGCCATGGGTCAAAACCCCGTACCCCCAGTGACCATCCCAATCCCCACTAAAATAGACTAAAATGGGTGGTGCGCCTATCCCAATATGGGATCCCATTCGTTTTGAACCATGGCTGTAGCTCAAAAACGTGGAAACCAACAAGGCAGCTTGGTAAATGGAACCAAAGACCAGCACCTAGTCATGGCTTTGTGGTTCCGATACATCCCTCGGAGAGAAAAAAGCAACTATGCAGAACATGAAGATGACTCCAAAACACGAAGAATAGGGTCCCTAGCCAAAAGTATTTCATCATGCATAATCATTTGTGAGATCCTTGTATGCGCTAGATGAGACGTATAAGGGTACAATCTGTTTTCAACCAAGGACTAAACACCTTTGCTCACTCCTTCGGCGTTCCCCTGTTTGGGAAATTGTAGGAACATGGTGGCTCCCAGGAGCCAAACAGGCCTTCCCGCAAGCATCAGCATGCTCTCCTGCTTCGCATTCTTGCGTTTGCTCTCATACAACGTGAGCAAATATGGGCGCGCTTTCGCCGGCGCAAGCCAACACGGCCTCTCACTTGCTTCTCAGCTTCAATTTGCTCCATTTTTTGTGTGGCCGCCCCCAAAAGGCTCACCTTTGGTTTCTGGGTTGCAAGCCGAAATTTCTGGCGCAGACTGCGTCCCTGGATGCCAATGATGCCGCCTTGGACCAGTACCGTCAGCAAATCGAGAGCCTGAGAGCAGACGCCGCGAAGGCTTGGAACGGGAGACGCACGGGATTTGTTTTGAAAGGTGGGTTCGACATGTGGCTCATGGGGCTAGCGAATGAGCTTTGGCTGCCTGAGGCTGTATCGAAAAGGGAAACATACCTTCTTAGAAGTCTTCGCGAACATGGAATTGGGGTACTGGGCGACTTCTGGAGATCTCCACAGGTTCCATGTTCCATTTGGGGAAGACTGGATAATTGGACCACCACCTCCCTCCCCCTTAAGGTAGCGGGGGGGATGGGGGTCCAGCTACATGAGGATTCATAGACTTGTTTAAATTGGTGGACCCAAGGCGTGCCACTTGGCGTCGGAAGAAAACATGCGGGTGCCCCTCTGAGGCAAGGAAGGGTTGAGCAAGACTACGAACCGCAGTAGTGCCCTTTTACCCTTTTTTGGGAGACTACAGAAAAAGGGGTACCCTTATTGCAACCTTTGTACTGGAGATTACTGGAGGACCTAGAAGAGCAAGCTGGCCTCAGGAAGTCAATCAGGAAATGGCATGCAGCATGTGTGTGTGTGAATATCAATGAGAGCATGTTTGCGTTTGTGTGCTCATGTGCTTGACAACCTGATTTCAATGAATACGACATACGTGTCTTGTGTGTCTTGCCATCGCGTGTGCCTTTCGGCTGCTTGACGTTTCCGGGAGAGGTGCTTTCTTGACTAGGTCCCCCAGTACTTCCCTTTTACCTCTTTTTTTGGGGAGGGTTCCCCTACTAAAATAGACTACAGGCAAAAAAATAGGTACCCTTATTCTAAGCTCTCTACTAGAGGACCCAGTTGACACGTTCGGTCAGGCGGCGGAGATGCAAGAGAAGGTGGCGAAGATGGAGGCGCTGCCGCGATCAGTTCGACTTGATCGCAGCTTCGTGTTGATGCGAGCGAGCTGCTGATCCGGTGCGCCCTGTGTTATTTTGCTCTTCTCACCAGCCCATGCAGGAGACTGGCCCGGAAATATATCGAAGAACAGGGAACGGAAAAACCCAGACATAAACAGGTGTGGATATCCGCCTTTTCACTTCTTTGCATGGTGCTGGGTAGACCATTTCAGTGCCAGGTCTTGATTATGACTCGGGTCGGCTTCTCATATCCGCCACTTGATGATGGTGACGTTTTTGTTTGCTGAAAATGCACCACAGGACTGCCTGGCCAAGGTTTGATCTTCGAGAAGCTTGCTTCTGTTTTGGGAGAATATGTTCAATTGAGGCGAGCCTAGCCGTGGAGTTGTGGTTCTATCAGCATGGTTATCAAGGTTCTTATTGGAATGGAATCTTCCGTTTGCTTAAGAATAGTTGTTCTTTTCCCTTGCTTGTTGGTTTTAAATGGGGGCTGAAGCAAATGGAAGGGCATAGGAGCCCCTTACAGTCGGTTCACATGTCAGGAGCAGCAGGAGGAGATGGAGAGGCTCACAAAGCAAGCAGCAGAGGCGGGAGTGGTTTCCGAGGGCTCGTTGACATACGGTAGGGTGCGCTGGGTCCCTTGCAATATGGCGAGGGCATCCACGGAAGTTTCTGCAACTGCTGGACCCCCTTTATTCAATTGGCAACAAATGGAAGCCAGCATGTTTTAAAGGGACCCCCTACTTTGAGCGTGTCTTTTTGGATGATACCCTTTTTGAATCCAGAAGAACACCACCCATTTTGGAAGGGCCCCCTTTTTTTTTCACTCCCTGAGTTCATGGACTTTATACTTTTTGGGAAGACCATTTTGGTGGTAAACAAAAAGTTTGGACTTTTTTTGGCCAATCAACTCAGGAAGCGAGGTTTAGGCAGTTACTGGGTCCCTCACAGTGAACAAGGGCTGGAAAGTTAAGAATATGCTTTACTTCTCCCCTGTGCTATTTGAAGGGAATCACTACTGGATTCTGTTCTAGGGGATTTAGGCCAATGGAGGCTACTAACCAAAGGAAGCATATAAGGTAAATATTAGTCTGCAGATGGAAAGATATGTTTGTTATGAATAAGGGGGGATTCAGAAACGTTTCTTTCCGTGCAAAGTGGGCCCACCGCCTTTTGCCATGCTCGAATAATACTCTCCGAACGTTGCACTTAACATTGCGCTTCAATCATGTGCTCCTACAATTCAGTTTGATTTTGTTTGCAACAGCTCCCCAATACGACTGCAGCCGGAGTGAGTTCCCCTTTTGTTGGTGTGACAAAAGCTCAAGGTATTTCTGATGTTCCTTGAAAGGTTTTTAAGGTGCAAACCCTTCGTTTCTCGGTGGCAGGATCCCGTCACGGTCCCGGAGGGGTCAAGTGCCGAATCCAGGAGAAACATCAGGCAGCGCTGGAGGCGGCGCAGGAGCAGTATCAGGAGCAGATACAGACCTTTGCGGGGCTCCCAAGCGGACGAGTCATTTTTCTCAGTTGTTCAGTGGCATCCTTTTTCCCCCCTTTTTGGTGGCTGCCCCACTAAAAAGGGTCTTCCCCAAAAGGGTTCCCTTTTTTCCAGGGTCACTGAACAACTGAGTTTTTGGTTGCACGCTCGACGTGTTTTGTTTGGGTCTTTGCCCTCTTCAGGTAACTCTTCGGAGGTTTGGATTGCTGGGGGTTGAACCCCTTGACGGAGGGGACATATCCGAAACACCTCCGAAACACGGTGCTGCGAAGCTGATGACAAGACGGTCAAAAAGAGATGGCCATGGGTCAAAATCCAAATCGTGCCCGCAGTGAACATGACCACCACAGCCAGATGTCGCTTCGGGGTATGATTTTTTTTTTGGTGCTTCGGAGGTGTTGGCATGGAAGCTCCTCTCCTTGCCCTTTCGGAGGTTAGATCGGACCGTCAAGAGAATGCTCAGTTGTTCAGTGGCACCGATTCTGTTTCCAACTTTTTTTGGGTGGCTGCCCCACGAAAAATGGTCCAAGCCCCAAAAAGGGTTCCAATTCTTTTTTTCCAGGGTCACTGGACAACTGAGAATGAGGTCCAAGAGGCCTCGGTTGGCGAATCCTTGGAACACCGAAGGTTTTGGAGAAGTGCGATACTGGAGTTACTCCTGCGAAGTGACATGGAGCTAGAAGAAAGGATCCGAAAGGACATCCCTCTAAAATGATGATGGTTGTGGGTCAAAATGAAACCACCAGGAATTGGACCGCAGGTTGAAATGTCCATGTTTCCATGTACCAGGGTTCCATTTTGGGGTTACCCTATTTTTGAGCCACAGCCATATTGTTTGCATGCGGTCGGTTCGTCATGTTTCTTGCAGGGGGATCGTCAGGATTTGCTCAGGCTGCACAGCTGCAGGACAAGATGGCGGAGATGGAGGCTGGGCGCTTGAGCCGGAAACACGTGGGTTATGCGCGAAAGAACTGCTCACTCGCTGTTTCCATAACTCGGTATGTATATATATATATATAATGCGGATTGTTGATGTTTGAAAACCAAAGATGCTGATTGATCCTTGAGGCAGGGGCTAGACAACCACCAAAGTTAAGTGCTAGTTAGCTTCCTGTGTTTTGAGGAGGATTGTTCGTCCATGGTTCATCGAGGTTTTGCGCAAGATGAGCCTTAGGGTAACATGAGTCTATCCATGAAGATCCATGACGGTACCTTGCTTAGGGATGCTTCCTTTTTGATGTTTGGAATTTCTTAAAATTGCCAAGATTGCTCTTGAGGCGTATGCGATGTCTTTGTGTTTTGCCTGCTTTCCGCTTCGATACAAGGGCGGCCGATAGGTTCATGAAGGGGCCCAGTTTGAGTCCGATTTGTTTCCATCCGACTTTGGGGAGTATCCCATATTTGGGTTGCACGTCAAGTTGCGGGGGAGGTGTCTTTTTATGGCTGTGGCTCAAAAAACCGGCACCAAAATGGAACCCTGGTAAATGGAAAAGTAGACTAAAACCTGCGTAATCCTGGGACTTTATTTTCGAGCCACACCCTTTTGGCGTTTTCTCCGCTGCCATGTGGCTGCCTCGACTCGCTTAGTTCGCTCCGTTCGTCTTTGATCTAGGGGCCAAACCACATGCCGCTGGGCACCCCTGATATCCACTGGGAAATATGGTTATATACCTGTTATGTACTCATTATGGATCTGATCTTTGTGGTGTTTGGCAGGGGCACCTACCCGGATTAATTTCATGGTGGGGACCGATTCGAGTGTCAGGTGCAGCACGGGCAGTGGTCTGCCAGCGCGGAGCAGCAGCAAAAGGCCATGGACGACTTGGAGCGGGAGGCCGCCAAGGCCTGATCGATCCATCAGGTTGGGCGTTTGGAGCCTGGGAACTGGGGGGAGTTGAAGGTTTCTTTGCATTTTGCCAACGGCTGTTAGGACTTGAGAACTGTTTGCCAACATATGGGTTTTCCGAACTAAACCACTAAAAGTTAAACTTTTAGCAGGGGAGCAGAAAGCAACCGAGGTTTGGTTCTTGTAATTTGTCCTTTTGAGATAGGTAGCCATTCTCAATCTATAGGCTGTTTTTTTTGGTTGCCTCTGCCAGGAAATGGGATCAGTGGGCAATGTTCTACCTAGTGGATCTCTGTTATCCCTGTGGGTAATCAGCCATGCTCCATGTGGTCTTGGGTGCAAGCCCTTGGTTGCCTGCAGTACCAGGGAAATGGATTTGGGCAATGGTCTCATGATAGTGTGAGGTCAACTTGGTAAAAGCAAATATCAACTCCGGATTGCTTGACACAAGTCATAATCGTAGCCTTGGCAAGTGTATCCTTATCTTGGTTGCTGCGACAACCCTGCATAAAAGCGAACGCTTTTCGTGGGTTCAATTCGGAAAACCCAACAGATCTCAACCCAATAGCAATCAAGAATCACATATTGGCCGCAGATCCCAAACTGGGAAGTCTGCCAATCAAGTTCTGATTTCTTTTTCGAACAGGATGCGCTGCAGTGCGGGTCCAGAGAAAGAGATGGGTTGATGGTGACCTTTGTCTTCTCGACGGTCGGATCCCCTGCGAACAGGTCCACTTCGTGGGAGAAACGGGAAACTCCCACGAAATCCTGAAAGCTCAAAAGCACCAGGGGCCGGCCGGGAACCACATGGAACCATCACCTTGGAGGGGAACCCCCCTTTCATGGTTGTGGTTGGGAAAAAATTTTCCCATTTTTGCTTATTGTGGTTTAGTGGTTGAAATCCGACCACTTAACTGCTAAAAATATGTGTTTGCTCCCCTTCCAACGTCAACCAAGCTGTATTGATGGGACAGGTTAATTCGTCCGAGGCCCCTGGGACTCCAAACTATGAGGGCAAGGACCGACCCGCCGAAGACCAAAGAAGTCATGAGGTTTTTCCAGCACGGGATCCGTTTTTTTGACAAGCCCGAAGTGGACTTAAGCCCAGTGGTTGATTTCCCCCCAAAGGGAAACCCCTAAAATGTTTGCGTCTACCTTGAGGTCGTCAAAAAATGGAACCCTGCAAGGGGTTAGGGAGCCCCACAAAGTGAGCGGATCTCATGTGTTCTCAATCAACTTGGCCCAGTGCAGTGAGGAAGAACTTTAGGGGCCCCCTGACAGGTTCGATGAACACCCTTCAATCAAAACTGTTTTTTACCAGACGTATGAGTCCAGGGTCCACACGACCTCCCGGGCGCTAAACACGTTCCCTTTGAGCCAGGCAGAGCAGCTCAAAGAGGAGCTGGCGCTGAAGGTGGGACGTTCATGTTTAAGAATATATTTATTGTTTCCCCTGTTTTTTTTTTTTTTTAATAGAATCGCTCACTACTAGACATATTTGTTTTTTGTTTTGTTCTTTTCAGGGGGCTTAAGCAAATGGAAGTTTCCCATTTCTTTTTCCATTTGAACCATGTGGCTTTGTCAAGACCAAAATAAAGGGACACCACCATTTACAAGGCAATGCTCAGGTGTATAATGTAAGGATCCCTGTTGTACTTCTGATTCCAGGGCAAGTGAGACTCGAGCGAGTTCAGAATCTTTGTCCTGGTTTTCGCATGCTTTGTGCTGGTCTCACTTGCAGAGTTCCGGCCGGCAGGATGTCCATCATTTTGGGTCCGCCATTCCGGCAAACACTTCGGACAGCTCATCGGCCTTATAACCTCTTCGTTTCGCTGCTTGGGTCCACTAAATATGAGTGCCTCTGACAGATTCCCAAAGATCAAGCAAATCATGAGGTCCAAACAATTCCCCTAGCTTTTCGTCAAAAAAGGAGATCCTTGCCCTGTGCCTTGGGACCTTCCTTGGGGTCTTTGGGGGTGCAAGGGCTCCTTTCGGGTTAGGCATCTCAGTTGACTAGGTCGCCCAGTAGTGCCCTTTCTCACCCCTTTTTTGGGGAGAGGGTTCCCCTACCAAAATAGACAGGAAAGAAATCGGGCACCCTTATTCTAACCTCTCAAATCTGCTCAGTAGGAAATGAAGGAATGAACCCATCCCCCCCCCAAAAAAAAAAACAAAAACAAGGGATAGTTTAATGGAGTCATTCCATTTCTCATTCCCCGAGCAGTTGACAGGATCTTCGGGGGCCGCAAGATTTGCTCCTTGGGCCTCTCAGCTGATCTGAGCGCAAGGCAGACGAGGCCGCCTCCCTCAGTGCCACGCTTCAGACCCGAACCGCGGAGGCGCGCTTGGGGAGGAGTCCGCGCACCCAGGGTTCCACTTCTTGACGACCACATGGCCTGGTCCCGGACCTCATTTCTTTTTGTTGGTCTTTTGGGGGGGCTCCTTAAAACTCAACTGCTATTGGGCAACGGATCTTTAGACTTTAACTTTTTGGAAAATAGTGGTGCCTTTTGCAGGGGGGTCAACAGCAACCAAGAAAAGAGATACACATGTTGCTTTTCCATTTGAAACATGCGGGCTTTTTCAAGACCAAAATAAAGTTGGAAACCACCATTTACGAGGCAATGTTCAGGTGTAGAATGTAAGGATCCCTGTTGTTTGCCACTGTTTATGTTTGGCCGAGGGGCAAGAACCTGAGGGAAGTCTTGAGATCGAAGCCGACTCGAGCCAAGCGTCTATCCTCAGAAAATACGCTCGGGACTTGAGCGAATCAGCTTGGAGCCCTGGGGTTGCGCAAACTCGAGGAGAACCAGAGCTTCAATCCCAATCCGATTGCCACCGGCAACCCGCACCAACCAAGGCTTACCTGAGCCAGAGTCAAAACCCGGGTAGATGAAGGTAAGTAAGGGGCAGTCCCAGCCGGAAATAGTTGCGGCCGCCTTTTTTAAAATCTTTACGTAGTTCTGGGTTCACCTATTTTGTTGTACCAGGTTTTGATTGTGACTCACCTGAACTAAGAATCTTTAGGATGAAAAACACAAGGCCCATTCCATGCGGGAGTGTCTTTCTTTTGAGGCTAGGCCATGTTCTAGGGAAACCAATAACTCAGTTGTTCAAAGCCGACCTTTAGACCTTTTGGTTTTCCCTTTTTGGACCATTTGTAGTAGAGGTCCCAAAAGGTTAACCTTTTATTCCCAGGTCCTTTGGGCAAGTGAGAAAAGGAAACCAGGTTTCCACCAATGAAGCACAATCCGTGCAGCCCATTGCCTTTCTTTTTCGGCAGCGCAAGTGTCAAGGCAATACAACTATGGTAGCACAAAGCCTTGTTTCTTGCAGCCCTCTACAAAACATGACTCTTGCTTGGTTCTTCAGCTGGTGATGCGTAGCCATTCCTGTTTGGTGGACAGATTTGCTTGGTTGATGTGGTCTTTGTTGTTTGTACTTGACGTTAAGCTACTAGATGCTTACACGCAACTGCTCTGTTATATTGGGTGGTCTTAGAGTGACGTGTGACTAATGAAATATATATACTTTGCAGGGCAATCCCTTTTTGCCTTCCGAGGCATAGGCGATTTTCTCAAGAAGTACCAGGGGTGGGCGGGGGTCTTGCCTTCTTGATTCAATCAGGCCGCAAGCAACAAGATGTTGGCTTCACTCCAAAAGGTTTTAATCTCTGCATCTGCTTTCTTCTGGCAGCACGTACTGGGGTGTTGAACCAAACTAGGCTCGTCACCAGGGGTAGCGGGGAAGATCACCCAAGTTGCACCAGTTACAATCTATAACTTGCCGGCTCCCAGCCATCCGGTTCCTTAGGTTTTTAGTTGTTTCTTGGGTGAAATGTGGTTGGGTTTCCATTTACCCCACAAGTTCTGCATTTTCAGCTACTGCTGGTTGATTACATGCGCCATTGTCAAGGCACCCTATTTCAGGTTTGTAAGGGTGATCGTGCACCCTTCTGGCATTTTCCGACGGATTGGTATGGATTTGATGGATTCTAATCTAATGTTGACCCCATATTGAATCACCCCCTAGTTTAATAATGTGGAGGTGTCACTGGGTTTAGCGGGGAATCAGACCACTCTTGGAGGGCCCCCACCCCCCATATCAATAAACAGGGGTTCATTCATATTTGTCAACATTACAGGGGTGGTTTTGGCCCCTCCAAAAGTGGTCTGATTCCAAGCAAACCCAGAATCGGACACCCCTCTATTCACAAGCTGGGGTTCATTCATATGGGGTCAACGTGACTAACCTGACGGTTGGGTTTCTCCACACCCCAAGTACCGGTTACCCCCAGACCTCCACTCTCGTTCCGGGCCAGGCTGAGGAGCTGAAACGAAGGCTGGCAGAAGCGGAGGCGCCCCGAGCGCCCGGGCGATGGCCGTGGCCTTTGGGGGTTGATGAACAGTTCCTTTGCACCAGCTCCCCCAGTGCCCTTTTACATCCTTTTACACTTTTTTGGTGGGGAGATTGTCGGTTCCCCTACAATCGACTGCAGAAAGAACATGGTACCTGCAAGCATCATTGGTCACCTGCAAGCAGTGCAGATCTAGGTTCCAGCTAGGTGCCCTTTCTCACCCCAGTTTTGGTGGGGAGATTTGGTTCCCCTACTAAAATAGACTGCAGAAAAAAGTTGGTACCCTTATTCTAGCCTCTTTACTGGAGGACCTAGTACATGAGCCACAAACAGAACCTGGGGAGGTGAAGGCTAGTAAGGGATGAACCCCACCATAAGCTTGTGCGGCCACCGCTTTGACTCTTTACATGGTTCTGGCAGGCCCTCTTTTATTCCAGGTATTGACTGTGACTCACATTTGGATCAACCGCCATTCATGGTAAAGCCTCCGTTTAATAAGTTAAAGTCAGTGGTTTGACATCATGTCCGGCAAAGTGTGGTGTGCAGCTGGCATAAAGTGATTGTTGAACCCCCCCTCACAGTGTGTGGTTGCCATCGAGGGCTCTGGTTGCCAGCTTGGGTAGTTGACTTGGTGGTTCCCAGAATTCCTCGGCTTGGGTTTCGAGGCTTCCACTTGAGCCACGCCCTCAAAACCCGGGGAGTGATGAAGCTTAGTAATTAAGGAGCGCGGAGATCCGCCAATCAGTTTCCGTGGACATTTTGGAACCTGACACGGGGTCTCTGTACAAGGAACATGGTCTTCCAGTCTCCAGGACCCCCCTTTTACGTCAGATTCCATGTTAATTCAGAGGTGCATTTTGCCAACGGATGTTAGGACTTTAACTTTTTGCCAACGTATGGGTGTTCCATTAAACCACGAAAAGTTAAACTTTTAGGAGGGGAGCAGAAAGCAACCGAGAATTGGTGGGAGGGTACCAGTTTCGATTGTGACTCACTTAGGACATTGCAACGCTCGTGTCAGGCCCAGCAGTCGGAAGCCGGTGACGCCTTGGCCGCCAATCGCCAGGAGGTGCTGAGAGAGTGGGAGAGAGAGAATCCCATTTTCCAGTTCTTCCATTTGGTCAAGAATATGTTTTATTTTCCCCCGTCGGTTTTAAAGGGAATCTACTGGAAATATGTTTTTTTCCAGGGGACTTTAGCAAATGGAGGATTTGCTTCAGAGTAGCTGGGTGCCTTTTTCTTATGAATCGGACGCCCCAAGGTTGGTGGTGTTCCTTTTGTATTTGCTGTAACACCAACAACAAATACAAGTAGTCCTCTCAAGAAAGACCCACCGATTTGTGTTTCAGAAGGGTTTCAACATTTCTCCTTTTGGTTTTACAGAGAAACAATTTCACTACTGGCAATTTCCAGTGGTTATTCCTTCCGGATCCAGGTCGGTCGACCCCCCATTTTGCATTACACATGGGTGGACTGGTCGGTTTGCACTGCCCAAACTGCGCCCGGCCAGCCGGCAGGCCAAGCTTAACTTGAAAGGGAACGCGAAGCCCGGGCGAAAGACTTCAGGCAGCTAACTGGGAGCAACCCATGGCCTTCTTCCCATTTAATTTGGGTGTGGCTCAAAATTTAACAGGAGGGGCAAACCGCAGGTTTTGGCCCATGTTTCCACTTACCAGGGCAAGCCATTTTGGTACCGGGTTTTTGAGCCACAGCCTTTTAGCAAGGAGCCAGCGATTCCGACGAGCATCACCCAGCTAAGGAGCCCGTGTTGGGGGGTATGTTTAACGAACTTCTGCTCCAGCCCTGCTGATGTGTTACCCTTTTTGGTGAGCAACGTTGCTCAAATCCCACCAGGCCCCTTGTCAAAGCAGGGCCATGATTCCTGTTTCCGGATCAAAGTTGCTACTTCTTGGGAATTCAGTGGGTTTTCCAACAAAAATAGTTTGTTTGCAAAGGGGCCTGTTTTCGCGGAAGGGCGAGGGCCCGATTCAGCCGGTTTTAAGCACTCCTGAACAACTTAAACCCCTTTCTCAGGTAACCCCGATTTGGGGATTTGAATTCCTGGTTCTTGTACTATTGTGGAGGGTAAATACAGCCACTCCTAAACCAGCAAACCACCACTCCAAATCACAATTTGTTCCCAAGAATTACAGTAGTTCCTTTTTTTCTTTTTTGGGTTCCCCTTTGTTTTCCATTCACCGGGCATTTTGTGTTTATCCATGTTTTCGCCGGGGTCCCTTTTTTCCAGCCTAGGAATTTGTGTGCGGACTGGGGGCTCAAGGAGGCCACGTGGCGATGCGGCCCCGATGCTGAACCGAAGCTCATGGCCTGCGAGGGTGACTGCGAGCCAGCGCTGGCTCTGCTGCAGTTTCAACTGGAGGTCAATGTGTCAAATGCTTCCAGCTCCCCAGCCCAGTGGATTTTCCGGTCCCTTTTTTTGCTTTGCTTGGGCCATTGTTGATTTGTTTTTTTGAGGCAATCAAACAAGGTCCGATCTGGGCTCGGTATGCAGAAGCCCGGGACTCGGTTTAGGTACCACCCCCGCATTGCTGAAACGGGGTCATTTTGGACATATTGAAGCCCCAAATTCTGTCAGGACCTTCGGGCCAGCCATATGCTGCTTGTGTGTGTGTGTCTTTCCTTGGTTTCCCTGGCTCCGCAACAAACAGCGGAGCCATTTTGGCTGCACGCCCATGACGCCCCTGTTTTTTCGTCGGCGTCTCAGGCTCGGCACTCTTTGGCTCCGGGATGGAGATGACGGCGCTCTTGCAAAGCTGGTCTGCGAGTGCCGCCTTGAAGATGGCGTACATCCGCATCCCAACCTGGCTAGTCGTGTTGATCTTGGTCGCCCAGATGCAGCCACCAGTTGGTTCTTTGTTTTTTTTCCTGGTCCGACAGAGCAACCATATGGCTGTGGTTGTCAAAACCAATGGGATCCCATTTTGGGGTAGGTGCACCACCCATTTTAGAACCGGTTTTAGTGAAAATTGGGATGTTCACTGGGGGTACGGGCTTGTGACCCATGGCCGTATGTGGGTGTCGCTTTAAGTGGTACATGTTTCTCTTTCTTCGTGCCATCGTTTTGGGGGATTGCTTTCTCAGGCACACCGGGAAACCAAGCAAAGCGAAGGAGCCGAGATCCACAGGAGGAAAGCCACACCTGTTCCATGGCAAAATGTAACCTCACCCATGGAAGCCTAATAAGGTTTGAAGCCATCCATGCTTGGATGTTCAACCCATTTAGTAAGTAGATCATGACCATGGTTATAAATTGGGTAATATAACCTACTTACTGAGTTGGTTGAACATCCAAGTGGGGAAGGAACGTGCAACCAAGCACGAACCTGGATGGTGTTCCTGTATTCCATTGCCACAGTTCCTGTCTTTCTACCTGGGCCTCTTTGCCTTTGCGATAGCGCACAGTGTCTGTTCCACGCAGGGATTTATTGGGGGGAGGAGGAAAGAAGGAGAAGGCCCCAAAAGCGAACAAGTCAGTGTGTTTGGGCTGTTCAAAGGGGAATCCTGAAAATCCTTTCCGCCGGCTACGCAAGGAACCGATCCCCTTTGTACGTATTCCTAGGTCTTCCAGTAGTGCCCTTTCTCACCCCTTTTTTGGTTGGAAGGGTTCCCTACTAAAATCGACTACAGAAAAAAAACAGTTGGCGCCCTTATTCTAACCTCTCTACTGGAGGACCTAGATTCCCTCCAGGGATTATGGAAAATCGGCTTGGCCAAGCCATCATGTTGAACAGCCCGAAAGGTCGTCCTCGCGGTGTCCAGCTTCTACTTGGTGAACTTCTTCATCTGGCGGGAGCGGAGGAAAACAGCGCAGCAGAGGATCTTGGAGACGGCCAAGGAGGGATTCGCTGAAGAACCGCTGGGTGCGATCCTGTTTGAGCTACCCGTTTTGCGCCGTTTTTAAAGGATAGCTATAGAACCCCAACTTGTTTCTGTATGTGCAAGACACGCTCGTATATAAAATGCTTAGGCATACTTTCGGCGTCCGCAAACCTGGAATGCCTTCCTTTGCAAGCAAGGCTCGCAGCACGCTTGCAAGGCCAGGACGCGAAGTGAGCCACAATCAAAACCCGGGTAGATGAAGGTAGTACGGGGCAGTCCCAGCCGGAAGTAGTTGCGGCCACCTTTCTAAGTCTTTACATGGTAATGGGTTCACCATTTTTGTACCAGGTTTTGATTGTGACTCAGGTGAGGTGGGCAGAAGCTAGAACCTGGACTTTCTTCTCACAGCTAGAGTTAAATCGCCGCCTCAGCTTGAGCCTGCGTCGCACTCAATGCGCTTGAACAGTTCCTGAGCGCGCTTTGGAGAGTTGGTCACGCCGCAAGCTGACACCACCTGAGCGTGGCGTGCGCCCAGCCCAGGCGTGCCCGCGCTTGTCGATGCGCGCGCTATTACCCCACTTTTCCCGCTGCCTTTTCGGTAGTTGCCATGCTTTGACGCCCGAATTATTGTAAGAGAACCAACCACATCCAGACACAAAACCCTAGACCATTGCGTTTTTGAAAGGGCTCGCTTTGTCTCACTTCCTGAGTTCATGGACTGTTGACTTGTTGGGAAGACCATTAGTGGCTAATCAAACGTTCAGATCAACCTACTCAGGAAGTGATTTCCCCTTGGCCTACTTGCAACGTTTCGGGCATCCGCCGCGGGTTGCAAAGCCCTGGTTAAAACCGTAGGCGCACGAGGCGGAGGGCAACATGCTGGGGCGCCTGGTCGAGGCAGCCATCGAGCACTTCGACCAACAGCTCTTCGGGCTGGCGGTGAACTTTGGCGCGGTGAAGGCCAGGAAGATGTGTTGTTCATTCTCCCTACCCCACCAATTAACATGGAACCTGCAAGCAACTGTCTTAGATGAAGGCTTCCCGTGTGTCCATCCTCGTGCCCCCTCCGAAGAAAACAAAAGGAAGAAGAAGAAGCCCCCACCCCGCCCCCAAAAAAACAAACTGAAAAAGGAAGTCAAGCTCCATGTGATTTTTTTGAATTTGGTGGGCGGGGAAGGGCCCTCAAGGCTTGTTTCTGAAGCCCCGGTAGGAGGGCTCGTGACCCGGCGGGGATGGGCAGAGGTTTTCAGCTTTCAATTTGAAGTCAGTTTTTTTCTGAAGCAATGTTTGCAGGATCCCGGTTGTTTCTAGGGAGCTTCGAACAAAATTCAAGAGGTTTGAGTCTACCTTTCCATGTGGCAGGGGTTCATTTTTAGGCCGGAGAGGGTTGCCTCTAAATGTGTGTGTGTGTGTGGTGTGTGTGTGTGTGTGTTTCTGAGGCTCCCCTATTCGGGGTTGGTCTGAACGGCAAACCAGCAAGGAAAAACATGTTTTGTGTTTTGTTTTTTCTTGGGGGGGAGGGGGCGGGTACTCTTGTGTGGTTGCTTGTTTGTGTGTGTGTGTTTTTTGTGTGTGTGTGTTTTGTGTGTGTGTGTGTGTGTTTTGTGCGCATGTGTGAGGGTACCGGTTTTGGAGTGGTTTAGCCGGATACCACAAGGAAAACCATGTATGTTTGTTGGCCGAATGTAGATGGATAAAGATTTCGTATGACCAGGAATCGCTTTCCTTTTGCTTGGAAGCACTTCTATCCAGCACTTTTAATTTTGGAAATCATGGGACTTTGCTATGGAAAGAATAGCAACTCATAAGGACTGACTCATAAGGACAGACTCAATTTTCGGGGTTTCCGTTTCAACTCATTATCAGTCTATGCCCAATCCTATGTCATACCATAATCCCAAAGTTTTTGTCACCCAAACCTAAAGTCATCTATAAACATTTATGGCAGTGATTTTTTGGGGGGTCTGCAACAGAGCCGCGGCGGACATTCGTTACAGACCTCGTTACAGACTTCTGTCACAAAACCAGCTGGCTCGTTACACACCCCTCGTTACACACCCTCGTTACACACCCTCGTTACACGCCCGCAGTACACACCTCAGATGAACAAACCGGGACAGTGACGTGACTGCCCTCTTTTTGCCGCAGCTTGGCTTGCGTTGAGTACTTAGCTGCAATCAAGCTGGAGCCGCGGAGGCGCGCTTTACGTCCTGCGCTTTGCTTTGCCTCGTCGCATACCTCGTTACACAGCCATTACATACCTCGTTGTGCTGCGCTACATTGTGCTACTGATGCTGCTTGTCAGGAAATGTTTGTCCCGTTGCAGACCTGCGTAACAAGGACCTCCGTTACAGACCTCCGTAATTAGATTCGTGGTGCGTCGCGAGTTACAGACCCCTAAAAAAATCATAGCCATATATATATATATATACACATTTATTTAGTTTATTCATAAGATCTTTTGGCAACTCTACAATAATTATCCAAAAGAAGCTGAAGCAGCGGTTTATATAGAGTCCTGGATGCTAAGTCCTTTGTGTAATGACGGTTAACCCCATCCCTTCCACACTCACTCCAGTATACATTATGTTTCACATGTCATATTGTTCCAATACTTGATACATATATATATACATATTTATTTATTTATTTGCAAACAACACATTGTTCCAATAATGAAACCTATTCTCACAAGTTTTCTTTTCTTTTCATTATCTTCATTTTGGTTTTCTTGCCCAGATAAGCACCCGCGTAAGCTCTGCTTCGTGACTGTAAAAGTTATTGAATAGCGGGTTCTTAGCCGCTGGATGTCCCAAACACAAAGGATGAGCGCACAGCAGCTTCAGCAAAACAAAGGGGTCCATGTGCGTAAGCAGGCGTAAGCAGGTGTCAGCAGGCGGAAGCAGCCTCGCCTAGCACGGCTGCCCGCTCGCAGCCCACGCCATGATGCCACAAGAGTCACTCCTTGATTTGCAGTGGAGGCAACTTGAACTCTGGAGGCAAAGTTGTCGGTCAAATCCAAAGCGCTGAGCAAGAGGGCTACAAAGTGAAGACCAGAAAAAAAGGAAAAAAAACGTGTTAAGTTGCTCCGCCTGAGAGCGAATCTTCATCAACTTCCTCCTTGGAGTCGTCCACGTTTTGTTGAACAGAGGTGGCTGCATAGAAAAATGGGCCTGCGCAAGCGATTCTTCCCCTCCGCTCGCACAAGCTACGCGCAAGCTTGACACGCGGGCAGTCTGCCGCTCACACCCAATCAGCGGTCGCGCAAGCAAATCACTAGCTTGCGCGTAAGCACGCTTCCACGACATAGAGACTCATGGCGTGTTTATAGAGTTGCTCAAGCTTCCATTTGCTTAAGAATATATATTTTTTTTCCCCTGTTGGTGTTAAAAGGAATCGATCACTACTGGACATATTTTTTATTTTCCCAGGGGGCTTAAGCAAATGGAAGTAAGTCAAGCTTGGCACCTAAGAGGTAGGAGCCAGGAGTTATCCGTCTTGCATCTGTTCCGCGGTGTGGAATCCACTGGGGGCCGGAGTCAATGGGTTTGGCACTCAAGTCAGGTTTCGGTGACTTCGGTCACACCTATGTAGCACCTCCACCACTGGACCATCAAGAGTTCCCCCCCTTTAAATCAATGTGTGCTAAAACATTGCTATGTGGGTCCTACTGTGGATGGACGAAATCCTGCACCACCTAAGAGGTGCTGGAGGGATGATTCCCCTGTATATATCAAAACAAACAGTGGTTTTTCGACTTTCGACCGTGGTTTTTCAACTGGTGCGAAATGGATTGGTCCATCCACAGTGATCACAAAATGGCTTAGAGCACACAAAGGCCCTGGAAGACTTCCGTGTGACTTCCGGCTCGCTCCAGACCACAGGAGTCCTTTTTGGTTGTGGAAAAATGGTTGGCGATTCCTTTTTTTGCCTGCTGGTTGTCATCATACCAGGGAAAAACCCATCTATAGATGGGGATTCCTGTTTTACCTGGTGGTGTTTTTCATGATTTACCAGGGACACCCATCTATTTCCAACCTAAAAGGACACCTATGCTCCGGACAGTTCTTCAGGTGTCGGCGGCCGAGGGATCGGTGACGATTCATGACCTGGTCATTGAGAATCCGCCCGGGTACTGGCCGCCTTGCACGGCTCAACACACGGTTTTTTGGGAGTTTTGTTTTGCCGGGCTCCTTGAAAGATACATTTTGCAACCATTTGAAACATGTTGCTTTTTCAACACCAAAATAAAGGGAACCCACCATTTACAAGGCAATGTTCAGGTGTAATGTAATCATCCCAGTTTTGGCGACCTTTTTTCTCGTCGTTTTCTTGGCGGGGGTAGGCATGTATCAAGCCAAGGCCGCACATGTTTTGACAGATGTGTGGCGGGGTTCCTTTTTTCTTGTGAGCAGCAACATGGTTGTCACAGTTTGCAGGTCTGAGCCGTTCTGGGTCGTTTTTTGTTGCCAAGGTCGGATTGCTTCCTGCGCGTGGGGTATGTGCTGGTAGACATCGACCTGGCCGCGTTCATTTCTTCCTTGGGCAAGCATGCATCTCATCAGAGTTGGCAGGGGTGTTGTTTTGGGACTGCCTCTAGAGTAGAGTCACCACATTTTACGCATCATGTACATTTTACAGGTGGCAACAAGTGCGACAAGCAATTTAGTGAAGTGCTTATTATCAGAACACGGCTGAACCCAACTCCAACCGCAACTTGATGGAACGCGTATGCGATCACTATGACTAGTGCCGAGTCCGGCTTATAGCAGGCATGTTTTCTATATGAGTTCAACAAGCTGTCCTTCAATGAGAACGCAAAGCAAGAAACAAGCACGGAATAGCGACAACGTACGGTTGGGTGAGCGTAAATGGCGCATGTTCCCAATGTTGAATTAGTTCTCCGGAATTTCTTACCTCAAATCAAGACAGAACATTGCGCAACATACTTTCTGTATAAAAAATCATGGGGGCTGGGGGGGAGGGAGCCCAAATAAGCCTAAGCCCTTAAGAAGGCCTTATTTAGGGCTTGTTTGTGCTCCCTCCCTTCCCCCCTCTCCCCCAGCCCCCATGATATTTGTCTTAAACTGTTTTCCGAGGTGGTCATCGAACGCCTGGAGCTGCAAGATGTGGAAGTTTTCTGGGAGCGCGCTTTTCTGGAATCGACGCTCGGGCCGTGCTTTTTTTTTGGTTTGGCCTTTGGAAATTGGCTTTGACGCCAAAGACCCTGGTTAAATCAGATTTTCTTGGTTGCCATGGGTTGGTTTCCACTGCGACCGACCGACCCACCCGCCCGCGAAGAGCGCAGGCAGGTTCCAAAAGAAGCACGGGGCTATGCGGAGAAGTGGAGGCAGCAAACATCCCCTGGCTTTGGGTATGCGAAGCTCAATCAAGCCTTCTTACGAAGAGCGTTGTGTTTGTCATTTTATACACCTATGCTGATCCAATGCCTCCCCTGTTGCGACACCCAAACCAATACGGAACTCAGAAGTACGAGGGAGAAAAAATGAAGCTGTTGCTGGCATGCTTGTTTGATCGAGTTGGCTTTCCCAAAGATTGGATCTCCCAAAGTGGGTGGCTCGTCTTTGTTGGTTTCCTTTTTTTGGCTTCAAAGGAACACGTTTTGCCATTTCGGGGGTAACAAAAGACGCCCAAGCATATTATTTGGGTGGCGAAGAGGGGAATGGCTGCATACAGCAACCAATTCAACTCGTCGCCGTTCTCCGATCCAACACCGGGAGTTGGTAAATGTGAAAACATCAAGTCTGAATTCTGCGTTTGAACTTGCCGGTGAAACCTCGTCGTTCCCTCCATGGTGTTACTTCGATGCTATGTGAAAGCTTTGTGTTGAATGTGGTAAGCCTTACATGTTAGCGCGCCAAAATTGTCATGGCCACTGTCGGCGGCATGTCCGCCCAGTTGCCGACTTGGCGATCCCAAAACTTCCGTTGGGCGGTGTTTCCATCAGCTGAAAAGGGGCACAGACCTCAGGAACTTGCAGAAGATCCTGTCTCTGCTGCATCACGGCACGCACAAAGAGGACGAAGCCCCGGAGGCTCACGAGGCTCACAAGGAGCAGGTGTCGCAAAATTTCCCTTGGTTTACAACATCCTTTTGGCACATTTCGGTGAGGTTGCCTTGCAACTCCATTGCTAGCACATGGGATACATGTTTGGTTGGTTCTCCCGGCACATTGCCTTGTTAGTTGGTTGGTTGCTCAGTTGGTCAGTTTGGTTGGTTGGTTGGTTGGTTGGTTGGTTGGTTGGTTGGTTGGTTGGTTGGTTGGTTGGTTGGTTGGTTGGTTGGTTGGTTGGTTGGTTGGTTGGTTGCTCAGCTGGTTGGTTGAGTTTTCCCTAGGGGTGAGGGAGGGTTCCCCTACTAAAATCGACTACAGAAAAAGTTGGTACCCTTATTTTAACCTCTCTACTGGGGGACTTAGGGAAGTTGGTTGATTGGTTGGACAAAAAATGGGAGCCCCTGAGGAGGCTGGCACGCAGACCACAGTTCGGGAGGTCGCAGTCGAGGATGTGAGCCTGAAGATGGCAGGCGAGACTGGGGGAGCGTCTGGAGGGGCAAGCTGACCAACCATGGCGGCCCCAAAGCCACCAAGAAATGTGTCGTTGTTTGTTCAGTTCCACGTTACTTTTTGCAGGAGAGGAAGTGCACACAGCTAGTATTTGGTTGTCCGAAGCGATTCAATCTTTAAGTCTTGTGCGGTTCGATGTGGCTAGTTTAGGCAGGCTACCTTTGATGTTCAGGTCCTTTGGGCAGGTAATATGCGGGGCTAAATAATTGCACACATTATTATCCTATGATGACGCAATCTTTTCACCTCCCGAGTTCCTGCACTTTGTACTTGTTGGGAAGACCATTTTGGCGGTAAACAAACAGTCCAGACTTTTTGTTGGCCAATCTACTCCGGAAGTGAGCACCCTAGCGAGAGGGGCACATAGCGAGTGAGTGAGTGAGAAACGGATTCCGCCAGTGCATTTTGCTGGTTCCCAGCCATCCCGTTAGGTTTTGTGGCATGGGTTTTGTGGGGTTTCTCATTCAACACTCAACTTCTAGTAGGGGAATCTAAGGACAGTGGCAAACAAAAAGCTTGGTTACTTTGTTTCGGCCAACCCACTCGGTCGGAACTCCTTACAGGCTCCAAATCAACACATCTCAGCTCCTTGTCTTGGGGCCCCCTGGACTGATCTCACTGTGGGGTGGGAGGGAAGATGGGACACGGGGGTCCTGCACCAGTCTTTGAGAGGAACTGATTACCCATAGGGTGCAGCCCCCATTAACGGAATGGTTCACCAAATCTAGACTATGGCACCTTAGGTACACAATGGTGGCCATATAATATATATATATATATATACGGTTTTTGTCATGGTTTTCAAGGGCGACTAAGAGGAAGCCGCTGTGCCATTTTGGCGGTCCCCCCAAAATTCAGATCCCGCATCTCCAACATGTTTCTTGCGTTTGGTAGGCTATTGGCTGGCGGGCTGCGGTCCGAGGACAGGGCAAATTCCGACCGTTGTCGGGGAACATTGTGTCCCTACTTGGATTGCGATAGGAAGGGAGTGACCTTCCGGGTGTTGGGAAAGAACTTAGAGGAAACTATAGGGGAGGGTTTGTAGGGGTCATTCCCTCACTGCGTGCTGAGAACAAGCAGGTGTTCGATTCGCTATAACTTCGGGTGAATTCCACTTTTATAACAGGGTGACTTATGAGTTAGTGGGTAACCGAAGCATTACCAAACAAAATCCAAGTTGGCGAATTGAACCTTCAAGTCGGAGCCATTTGGGCCAGGGTTGTGTGGGTGCTAGGAGGAAGCCACCGATGTTCGTGGTTTCCCTGTGGCGGCCCTAAAAAAAAATCTGAGTCAACTCCCAGAAAGGGTACTGAGTCAAGAAGCACCTTCCCAGGGGGGGGGGAACATCCTCCTATGGTGGACACAGAAATCCCCCATGGGTCGGGGACCCATCAAAAAAGATACACAGCCAGATGAGCAGTGGTGAAGCTATCTCGCTGAAGGCCTCTTTTGCCTCGTTTTTGTTGTTTTCGATTCGTGCTAGTTCTATTGGTTGCCAGCCAAACTGTCGGACCCCCAAAACATCCACCTACAGAAAAGCATGCCTATTAATTGCAAAGAGTTTCCAACTTTAATACTGCAATGCGTGGGATTTTGTTACGTCGAACATATGAGCCCCTCAAAAGCTGGGCGGCTCCCACATTGTCAATTTCCGCGAAAGGAAACCAGCAGGGCATGGATATATTTGTGTCCTACCTTTTGGCAGCCAGTTGTGGCTTCACTTGGCCATCCAAGAACTTTGTGGAAAAGTCGGGGGTTTGGGGCCAGAGAGGTGTGACACTACCCGTGACAAGCCCCTTGTTTTCCTTATGCCCCACTTCTGCTTCATTCCACTTCCCTCTATGGAAGTGGACGTGCCGGAGGAAAGCCGCCCGAAACCCTGCCCCCAAACCTAAACCCTAAAACCCCAAGCCCCAAACTGCCAGAACACGGTTTTCTCCATTTCCCTTTTTGGAACCTCCAAAAGTGGCTATCGTTTTTCAAGGGAAACCACCAACCGGGGAGTTCATGCCAGCGACTTTTGTCCGAAAACGGGGCAGAGGTGCCCGAACGCACAGGATCCTGGTGCCCGATTTCTCTTCCCCCAGCCTGGCAGAGGAGAAGGCCGGTGAAAACCGAAATCGGCGGTCCGCAACGTGGTGATCCCTCTCTGCGTACGGGCGAATTCGCAACTCGGTCCCCCAGTGCCATATTTCTGGCCCCTTTTTTGGTTGGGACCCCCTACTAAAATAGACTACAGCAAAAAGTTGGTATCAACTGTTTCTAACCTCTCTACTGGAGGACCCAGTCAGGATTACGAAGTGTGTTTTGAAACGCGCTTTCCCGGCAGGTCGCGCTGGAGCTGCCGCTGATGCTGCTCAAAGTACTCCTTTCGAGCAGGGGACCCGGGGGTGGAATGCGCAGGGTGAACTTGGTGGTTTGGGTTTTAAGATTTTGAGTTGATTGGCTTATCAACTCACTAAAAGTTGTTGTTGTTTTTAGCAGGGGATCTGAGGTCCCATTCTGGGTTGGTAGATACTGTGGTCAATATGTTGACTTTTTCTGGGGGGTTATTAAGGTCAGACACCAGGGTTGCCTTCCTCTCACCTACCATTTAGGGGGTGACTTTGATAACTTTGAAATAGTGGGGGCAGTAGAATTTATCCATTTCAGCAAAGGCAACCGTACAGTTTGCTTTTCGCTTTTGGCGAGGTATTTGAGGTCGAATGAGGTGACGGTTTTTTCTTAGGGCTCATTTTTGTTCTTAGGTCTGGTTCCGGCAAACTAAAGCCACTGCTAAACCAGCACACCGAACACACAGCTCCAAGCGAAGCCTAAACCCACCCAAAGTCAACCCTAATCCCCACCCAGCTTGGATGTCGGCCCTTTGCTGAGCCTACATGAACCCCAAACCGACCCAAGACCCAGCCTCGGGAAGGTCCATACCTAAAGCCATCCGTGATGAAACTCCAAGTGCCAATAGTCGACCCTCGGCCCTGGTTGATTTGGCTGAAAAATTAGAGGGCGCTGGTTTACCTGGTGCTTCAATCAAATACCAGGAAACCCATCTATTTTTCCCAAGAGGGCACCTATGGCGGAATTCCTGCGCTCGCGGGGGGGGGGGGGAAACGAGGTCAGGTGGGAGAGTATTTGGCTGTCGAGGACTCTCGGTCCCAGTGGTTTTGGGAATAGAAGCACCTCATAGACCCGCAGTCGATCGGACTTGGACCCTAAACGGGTTAAAACAAATCCCGCTTAAACATGACCTCACAAGGAATACAATTGATGCAATCCCCCAAAGTGTGGATTCTTTGTGTACTTTCTGTACTGTACTTGTGCTGAACCCTTTGCGATTTCTTCAGTCTTGCAACACAGAAGAAAACACCACCATGTTCGGGGCAAGGGAAACGACACGACCTGGAGTCTCCATGACCCTTAAAAAATAGGATTCATGACCGCTTAACAATTGGCACTGACGTTTTTTTAGGGTCATGGCATGGAGACTCCATGGTTTATTTTGCTTGAACAGCTCCAAGTGAGCCACAATCAAAACCTGGGTATATGAAGATTAGTCAGGGGCAGTCCCAGCCAGAAATAGTTGCGGATATCCGCCTTCTTAATTCTTGAAGCATGGTTCTTGGATTACGACCATTTGAATGCCGGGTTTTGATTGTGATTCACATGACCCTGTTTGTCAGACTTTTATGGGGATCCCCTATTTTGGGAGAACCCCATGACGGAACATTCGGAAGCCCCCTAGCCTACCTTACCATGGTGACTCAAGTGGGTCCGTTAACCATTTTAGTGGTTAACCTTAAGTTTGGACTTTCTTGGGCCATCCACTCAGCCAGTGAGGTAAAGGATTGTGACTCAAGTCCTAGTACGTGACTCAAGTGGGTCAGGGGAGGGATTCAAGTTCAATACTATGTTAATACCATTGTGATACATGGTTTTGATTATGACTCCAGTGGGTCAGTGGGTTGAGGCTGCGGCCCGAAAAAACCTCGAGGCATCCTCGCAAGCTTCCTGGGCCCAACGCTCGCGGAGCACATCATCGAGGGAGGGCAATCGGTGACTGACGGCCTGGTGCACCTCTGTGCGGGCCTGAAGATGCTCAGCTGAAATGAGCATCGTTTTTATCCACCTCTCTTCTTGGTGGCCCAGAGCCGTCCGGTTCCTTAGCTTTTTCGGCTTTTAGGGTTTAGTGGCAGTTTCCATTTAGCCCACTAAAAGTTGAACTTTTAGAAGGGGAGCTGAGGGCAGCCCAGTTTTGTTTTCTTCTGTGTTCGTTTGTTTCTCGTTGTTTTTGTTGTTGTTTGACTTTTTGTTTTAGCGCTGTTTCTTTCAGTTGCTGAATTGCATGTTGTTGTTACTTTCCTTGTTAGTGTTAAAGGGAATCGATTTCACTACTGGAAGTATGTTTTCTGGCTAGTGGGTTTAAAATGGAAGGCTGTGGGAGTGGTTGAAAGGGAGACCAATCGCAACCACAATTCCTGGAGTTCGCCTTATTGTGAGACAAAGCCACATTCATCCGTGGGAAATAAGGTGGGAGACTTTGTAAATATTCCAAGCAACATGGAAGTTTCCATGCACCAGCGGGATATTTTTTGGGGGCCATTGTTTGCGACGCCAAGGAAAGACCACTTTGGTGTCACGGAAAGGGTTGTTCCCCGCAACCAAATGTGTTCATCCCCACCGATGAATGGCGATTACTTTAGCTAGGGCTCCTTAAATATCTCCGCATTTTGCCACCATTTGAAACATGTTGCTTTTCCAACACCAAAATAAAGTTGGAAACCACCAGAAAACAAGTTGCAATGTTCAGGTGTATGCATCCGGATTTTGTTGGGCTCCGGATCGCTGATTTCCACGTCGCCCTATCCAAATGTTAAGATTTCGCGCTCCGAGTTCCTGGGAGAAAGCCCAGTCGCCCAAAACCAACCTCTACTAGGTCCCCCAGCCAGGTGTTCTTTCTCACCCCTTTTTTGGTTGGGAGATTCGGTTCCCCTACTAAAATTGACTACGGCAAAAAAAGGGGCACCCTTGTTGTAAGCTTTCTACTGGAGGACCTAGTCTAGTCATGGCCCCGAAAGGTTATCCTTTTAGTCCCAGGTCCTTTGGGCAACTGAGCTTTAGTTACTTGTGGCTCAAAATTAAGCGAGAGGGGCAAACCGTGGGTAAACCGGCAAACCATGTTTCCACTTAAGGCTTGCGCCATTTTGGAATTCCGGTTTTGTGAGCCACAGCCACTTGTGAAGACCACTTTATTGGCAAGCAATAAGTTTGGTTACTTTTCTGAGCCATCCACTCGATCGAGACATTCAGGGATATCAAGCCATCCCTTCAACAACTGCTTTTGTCCATGCCTGCACCCTCAAAATTCCTTAAACATGGGCAACCCACAATTATGGGGTGCATTTTTTTAATGGGTAGTTTGAGGGTCAGGTAGTCCAACTCCCCCCTCCCCCGTACCCCCCCCCCCGGTACGGAAACCAAAACTTGTGCAGAGGGGTCAACAGCAACAAAAAAGCAGTGGCTGGAACTCGAGTGCCCTACCCAGCCGTTGCTTTGCATAGGATGTGCCTCCGCCTCATCTGCCCTTGCGGGCCGGAACCTGCCCCAAAGGAGAAGGCCACGGGATGCGACGGAGTTTCTTTTTAGCCGGGCCAAAGCGAATCGACCGGATCTGTCTGACCTTTCTAGCTGTACCCTCCCCACTCTCTTCAGACATCATTCTCTTCAAAAAATGAGCCAAAGCTCTGGAGAAGAGGTGGTTTCTAAAGAGATGGGTGAAGAGAATGGGGAATCCAACCTTCGACTTTTGGTTTTGCCTTTCTGGTTCATATTTACTTGGTGATTCCCATCTTCACTTGGTGGTTCCCAGTTGTCCCTTAGGTTTTGAGGCTTTGGGGTTTAGTGGGGGTTTCCATTTAACCCACGACAAATTATACTTTTAGTAGGGGGCAGCCCAGAAAGGTTCACCTGAGTTGTTGGGCAAATTACAAAGGACAACCTTGGGCTGATTTAAAGAGAAATTGAAATGAAAACCAGGGCACACCCTTTGTGACGCACATGGCCAGGTGCCCAAATCACCCCCGCAGAAGAAGGCGGAGCCGCGGCCAAAAACCGCCGCACCCAGCTCCTGTTGCCTGCCCTGTGAGACCCTCCTGCGGTCCAATTCGACTCGATGACCGCAGCTAAGGTGCTGCCGAATGCACTCAGTTGTTCAGTGGCACCGATTCGTGTCCCCTTTTTTTTGGTGGCTGCCCCACTAAAAATGGTCCTGTTTTTCCAGGGTCACTGAACAACTGAGGCAAGGTCTTCCAACTTATCCTGAGAACCAGGAAGGTAGGAAGAAGGACGGACTAGCTTCCGAAGAACAGAAAAACTAGCTGGTGAGTGGAATCCGAGCTAAGTGCTAGTTTTTTCTCCAGAGGGAGCGGTTCGATCGGAGCTAGCGAACGAGTTTTGGTTTAGGATCACTTGGTCCAAGGCTCTGTTGCCCAATGGTGCCCTTCTTTCAACTTTTCTGCGTACGGATTCCGATTCCTTTAAACTCCACCAACCAACAAAGGGTGCCGATCCTTTCTTTTCTCAGCAAAAACAATGCTGCCCTTTTTGTGGGATCTTTAAACTCAACCAGCCAAAAACCAGATCACTTGGTCCTTAACCTCCTGGATCCATCGGGTCACGGCGGCTGAGGGCTCGGAGCCTTTCGCCTTAGGATCCAAGAGCTGCGGAGGAAGCGAAAGCGACTCCAATGTCCTGTGCGCAGATGGCGAGCTAAAATGACCGCAGGAGCGGCTCTGACTTGCAGAGTCAAGACTTCTTTCCGGTTTGTGTTGTTGTAACTCACTTGTTCAGTGGCACCCTTTTTCCCTTCTTGTTTGGTGACTCCCCCACTAAAAATGCTCCAAGCCCCAAGAAGGCTGGCCTTTTTTTCCCGGGGTCACTGAACAGCTGCGTGTAGGCCCAGATTTTCCATAAGCGGATGCAGCGGATTGAAGCGCGACCTGGTCCAAACGACATCCACAAAAGGCCCGTGGCAACCATAGCTCCTATCACACTGGGGAGCACTGTTGACCTTGACCCCACTTGCATCCTAGGCCCAATTGGGAACTATGAAATCCATTGAACCTGCAGGCGGATTTGATTTTTGTTTCATGGAGCTGGCACACTTAATCATTAAAGGTATATATATACATATATATATATATATATATATATATATTATGATAGTCTATTATACATATATATATATATATATATATTGTCGAACAAACTACGAACAACTTGTGTAGCATATTAGACACGTGCCTACATATTGCAAAGCACATTTAGGCAAGACAAAAAGCAACCACTATGATCCATGTGTTGCCATCCGGAGGTGCAGCAGCTTCAGGAGCGGATGGCGGCCATGGAGGCCCTGTTTCGTCCTCCGACTTGGGGGTTGAGGGGAGGGGAGTGAAAAGGAGGCGACCCGCGAGAAGAAACTTGTGTTTGGATGCGTGTTTTCTGCCCAGCCGGAAGCACAGCATCCAGAATCTGTCCTACTTGAAGGCTTAACCCACTGAGTAAATAGGTTATATGACCTGCTTACTAATTGCTCTGAACATCCAAGTCTAGACCCCAGAGGGTCCAAGTCCCTTCTGTCTCTTTTTTTTGTGTGTGTTTTTACGGGCATTGAGGGTGGGGGGTAAGAAGGGTAAGAAAGGTTCCAAGCACCATTTGGATTCTGGTGTTTGCTTGTTTTTGCTGGGGGGGGGTAAGAAAGGGTTCCAAGTAGCTCCTTCGGATTTTGGGAACCTTGGGACCCTGCGGGGCTGCTGACCGTCGGCAGGCGCAGTTCGCGGCCTCTGCAGAGAGGGCGGAGGAGCGGCACGTGGAGGAGATGGAGCCGGGGCCTCGGTCGAGGAGGAGTGAGAAGTGAGAAGATGGTTTGGTGAGCCAGGAAGGCGTCGTTTTCGGGGAGGGTTTGGGGGTGGGGGTTTGGGGGGGATTGGGGTTGTGGGGGTGTTTGGGGGGGGGGAGATTGCCCAAATAAGCCCGTAGGCCATATTTGGGGCTTATTGTCCAGGAATCTTAGTTTGAAGTTTGAGGCGGGGGGGGCACCGTTTTTTTTTTTGGGGGGGTGGTTGTGTTGTGGGGAGGGGGGGGTTGGGGGGTTGAACATTCCGGGGGTCGCTGGACTTGTGGGGCTCTTTATTTGGAGGGTTGTCCAACATGAGTACTACTTTTGGGCCACGGTGTATGGGCCTTGCTCTAAAGGGGTGCAAAAAAAGGGCCATACTTTCGACAACCCACCATGTAAGGTCTTTGGGGGTCCTTCAGCCAACCACCAATTGGGGGGGGGTTCCAAGAGTTTAGGGGTCACTGGACTTTCAAGTATGAACCACAATTTGCTTTTGAATCTGCTTGAGGTTGAAAAGACGCTATTGTTTACCCGGGGCTTTTCCTGTGAAGGAAGAACTCACCAAAGGCTTCAGCTGGGGAGCATCGTTTGTGAGTTGTGGCTGGACATCTTGCCCAGTTACAGGGTAGAAGAACCCAATAACTGGGGGTGGGGGGGGGGGAGATGTCCATACCTATAGCTACCTGAAACCTAGGGTACATCCGTGCCCATACCGTGGACGAAATCCATTTCGCACCACCTAAGACCCCCTGAAATGATGCTTCCCTTGTAAATACGTCAACAACCGGTGGTGTCCCATGGTTTCAAAGTGGTGCGAACGGACTTCGTCCATCCACAGTAGCCTGATGTCATACCCATGGCTTTTGAGCACCTATTTCGGGGCCTCAGGAGTCCTTGCGGCCCAACTTTTGGGTTCCAAGGGGCTTCGTTTCGGGCCATGGGGGGTCCATTTGACCCCAAGGGGGAAAAGTCCGCTTGCGTCCAACTGGTCGGATTCGATTTGGTCCACCTGGCTTGCTTTAGGTTGCTTCAGGCGGACGGTTCGCTTGAACGTGTGTGGGGTCTCTGTCTTTATGTTGTTTTATGTCTTCCCCGCACGGCCACCCAACACGGCGGCTTTTTCCCACAGTCCACCCCACCGCTCCCCCGCGATTCTTCATCGAGGACGGAGGCTGAGAAGGCCAAGAACGCGGCGGCACAGGCGAGGGCAAAGATTGGGGCTCGGGTGATCAATCAAGACCAGGGCAATGGGACACTCCCAGCCAGAGATGGGTGCGGATCTCCGCCTTTCCAAGTCTTGAAGCCATGGGTTCTGGGCAGAGCATTTTGATGCCAGGGTTCGATTCAGGTGGGTGTGGCTCAAAATTAAACAGGAGGGGCAAACCGCAGGTTTTGGTCCATGTGTCCACTTACCAGGGTCCCCTTTTGGTACCGGTTTTTTGAGCCACAGCCAGGTGATCAAACAAATCCGGGTATTTTTGGTGGCAAGCTTAGTTTTCCGGTTCCTGAGGGTTTTCGGCTTCCAGGGTTTAGTGGGGGTTTTCATTACTAAAGCCCAGTCAAACCGCGGGTACATGAAGCTGTTTTTTTACGGGAGAGTCGGAACCACAAGTATGTGCAGATATCCGCCCTGGTAAATAGCCGTGCATGGTTTCGGGGAGACCATTTTTATGTCAGGTTAAGTTTGACTCAGGTGCCTCACTGGACCCATAGGGAGGTTGCATTTGGGTTTGTCTCAAACTAGGAATTGGCAGCGGTGTTGCTTTTGTTCCCCTTTAAAACTTTTAAAACCATCCCAAAAATGGTGCCATCAAGAAAAAACCTACTTCGAGGGGCTCTCAAAATTACGTTTGGGCCCTTTTGTGTGTGTGTGTCCCTTTTTAGGGGGTGAGTTTGGTTGAATATGGACCCAGAATGATCAAGCGAGGGCAGGAATCCTTCTATCAGAAGAACCAACCCATGACTGTTGTTGGATCATGTTTTTTTTTTTTAGTTGCTGTTTAGTCCTGTTCAATTTTAGAGGCTGCAAAAAAGGGGGCATTTTTTTGCAAGCTCATGCCAAGGGTTGGACAGGTTTGGCGGTTAGATGGTATCCTCTTGGTCTTAAAGGGGATCGACTTCACTACACTACCGGACATTTTCTCACTTGCCCAAAGCCGACCTTTTGACCTTTTGGTTTTCCAATTTTGGTCCGTCCCAAAAGGTTGACCTTTTATTTCCAGGTCTTTTGGGCAAGTGAGTCTTGTTGTTCTCCATGGGACATAAGAAAACGGAGAACGGTGGAGCCATAGCCTTTCAGAGCACAACTGGCTTCCTGCCAGCACCCCTCAAGTCCCAAGTATGGTAACCAAAAAGCAGCGGTTGGGTGAATGGACTCCCAAAGTCAGTGGTTTCCCTTTTAAAGAGCCCAAATACTCTCCTGGACCCTCCAAATTCCCTTAAACATGGGTTATTGCAAGCCACAATTATGGTTGGTGAATTCCCTTTTTGTATGGGTAGTTTGAGGGTTGGGCTGATACTCTCAAACGCCACCTAGGGTCTTTCCAACCAAATGTCTACGGTTTTTGGAGCAACCCTGAGAGGCCAGCCAGGCAATGTTGGACGGCAAGAAAGCATGTGGAACTGAACTGCTTGCCATCTACATGGTACTTGGATGTTCAGCCAACGTCAGGTAAATTGGTTAATTCCCCATGGGTAATAAGTGGGCGATCACCCCAGTCACCCAAGTTGTAACCGGTTAAGTAACCTACTTACTAAGAGAGTTGAACATCCAAGTACTGTACATCCCATTCATCTTCTTGGTCTCGGTAGTGGATTGGGGCATGTGGGCGGCTCGTCTTGTTTTCTGGGTACATCCCTTGATTGGTGGTTGTAATGGGAAACCAAAGGGACCACCGAAGCCATTTTGGGGGTCCAAATGCTAAAACCAGACACACTCCCCCCCGCTTCCGCCGGATCCTCAGGCGGCAGAGCTTCATTCTGGCGAGGCCGCGAGAGAGCACTGGTGACTTTCTTGATCGGGGCGGGGAGTGTGATTCGGGTTTTGTGAATGCTCCGGATCCCGTACACTCACTTCCTGGGTTCCTAGACTTTAAACTTTTGGGGAAGACGATTCGGCGGGGGGGGGGGGGGGTTGTTTGAGGGTTTTGTCAGGAGTGGTTTTGGGTTTTCTCCAGGCGTTTTGTTTGTTGCTTGGATTTGTGCGAGGTTTCGTGGGTGTTGGTTTTCCTGCATCCTCAGCACACCAGAAATTAACATTCCCAGCATCACCACCGGCAAGTCAGAAGCAGCACGCATGTAATCCCACTTTCTCTAATCGGGCATGCCGCCCCTCCCCCCCCCCAACCCCCCAATCCCCCCCCCCCTCCCCCCCTAAAACCACCTTAAACAAATCCTATCCCAATCCTGAACCCACCCAAAACCCGCACTCAAGATTCCCCACAGAAGCCTTTAACCCACTCTAAAGCAACCCCAAACCAAACCTAAACCCACCCTAAACTAACACTAAACCCAAACTAAACAAACCCTAAACCAGCTCCACAACGCATTTGACAAGCAGCGGGCACTATGCTCAGAATTCTGCCCGAAAGGGTTTTATCTCACGGTGGTGTAGTCGCTGAATTCCCTGTGGGAACAGGGGAACACGATTCGGAGCAACTGGGCAATGTTCTTAAAACGCAACAGATTCCCTGGCAATGGGACATGGAGTTCAAGTTCAGGTCATTATGTTGGATCACCCATATTGGGCAAACCGATGCTGGATGCCCCTTAAGAGGTGTTTTTGGGGAGGCAAACACAATGCCTCAGCACCACTGAAAACGAGCTGAGCTCCCTCCATGATTAGACCCGAGGAACGCTTCTTCAAAGAGTTCCCTGGGAACTTTGTATTTGTTCCACGTCCATGGTTGACAAAAAGCTAGGTCCCACCCAGCTAGTGCCCTTCTCACCCCTTTTTTGGTTGGGAGGGTTCCCCTCTTAAAATAGACCACAGGGACAACAAAAAAGGGGTACCCATATTCTAACCTCTCTACTGGAGGACCCAGAAAGGGTCGCATGCAGAAGCTGGCCGAATCGGAAGGTGCAGCAGCTCAAGGTGCAGATCGCCGAGCGCGAGGAGGGGCAGGGGAAGGTTCGGATGTCCGGCTCAGTTCAGCTGGCTTGTGAAAACCGTTTTGGGATCCCATGTTGGTGGGTAAAGTTGACCAAGGATCTAAGTAGAACCCGTCCCATTATTCGGGGGGTGGGGACCCCTCCAAAAGTGGTCTGAATCCAACCACTAAGAGGGGCACCCCCTATTAATCAACCAGGGGTTTATTAATCCGGGGTTAACATTAGGTGAATTCACCACCCATTTAGGCTTCCTATTTTTGTGGTTGGATTGGGATGTTCACTGGTTCACCGGGGGGTCCGATTTGGCTTTTGACCCATGGCCAGCTGACAATCTGTTTGAGTCTTTTCTCCCTGCTTCAGGTTGGTTGATTGTTTTGGGGCCGAACTGAGCAACTTGAAAGAGGTTGCGGGAGGCTTAACGGCCAAAGCAATGATCATGATAGAGTAATGTGTTTATAGCTTTGCACTTTGCTGTTGCCATTCAGCAGTGCCACTTGTTTTTCCAACATGGGCGCGTAGGATGTCAGGAGCCTGAACCAGGCTGCAGGTTGACCGCGTCAGGTTCTTGCTTGGTTTTGGCCTGGCTTGCTAAGCCCCAAGCCCCCCTCCCCACTTTTGGGTGTGTGGTCTCTGAGTGCGTGTGCTTGGCCGGCCCACAGTGTGGAAATAGGACAAGTGGGTGGTAAGTTTCCGAGCGCCAGACAATTTCTACCTGGGTGTGGCCCGGCGACTGGCAAATTGAACAAGCACCAGCTGTAAAACTTAATCATGGAACCTGCAAGAGGGCTCCAGTGAACGGGAACATGGTCCTCCAGAGGTCCCTTTCAGGCTTCATATGTGTTTGGAGAGGGTATCTGTTCTTGGTGGTTCCTAGCCATCCCCTTCGGTTTTTAGGTGTCTTCAGGGCACTATATGGCCACGGGTCAAAACCAATGACACCATTTTGGGGTAGGTGAATTCACCACCCATTTTAGAACCTATTTTAGTGGTTGGATTGGGATGTTCACTGGGGATACGATTGGGATTTTGACCCATGGCCATAAAACTATATAACAGTTTGTTTTTCTTTTGGGGGGGGATCTGAGGACAGCGCTGGTTGCCAGTTCAAAGTCTCTTGTTGTCGGGTGACGGTCAACACCAGAGGGGTGACTTTAGTTTATTTCAATCCCTTTCATTGGCTACCTGGGTCGTTTTTTGGGGGGGGAGCTCCCAAAAATGTTGCATCCTTTTGGCTTCCCTTGACAACAAAAGAAACTGGGGTACCCTCCAAAACATGAGCCAATCACCTTGATTAATAGGTTAGGTTTCCCTTGGAAGCAAACCCAACGAGGGACACCCTCAAACGGCGACATACGGAGCTGAGAGCAACTTGTGATGTCAATGTCACCAGTCCTTTGTTGTGGTGGGTTGATTTGGGCATATGTTGAACTAGGAGGACCCCCAAAACACCCTCAGAAAACAAACAGCATAACAAACCCCTGCAGGCAGCAGCGGAGGCTGCCAAAGATGCGGCCGCCCAGGCAAAGCCAACCGAGCGGAACTTCTCAGCACGATGTCTGCTTACCTACCCCCTCCTCCTAATACCCGCTTTTCTTCGGGTATCATGTCAACCCTCTACGAAACAAGGATACATTTATCGTGGAAAACCAGGTTGTTCAAAACATACTCTAACAGAATAGGGTATGTAGAATAGGGCTTAGGTTTCTAAGGCCAGTTTTTCAGCATGACACTCTACGCTTTGTCTTCAGTCAAATGGTCATCTAATGAGGGCTCCCGTTTTGTAGCGTGGACTGTTTCAGCTCCTTCGCCCGCCTTGATGGGGTAAATCTCCTATGCAAACCTTCACCCCCAATTGGAGTTCGTTTCCACATACGCTAGGCGTCCCCCCCATTTGGCGAGACTCGCGAGATGTGTGAGTCGCCTGCCCGTTTCATGTCTTGGGTTCGGCACAAAGACGGCGGAAAAACGAAGTTCTGTTGCTGGGCCCAGTGGACGCAGGTACCACCATAATCGTTGGGCCTTGTTTGAGGGTCTCCCCATGTTGAGACAGACCTGAGTAGAATTCATAATACTCTCAGCTGTTCAGTGGCTCCCTTTTTCCTTTTTTTTTGGTGGCTGCCCCACTAAATGGTCTTCCCAAAAAAGGGTTCCCTTTTTTTCTAAGGTCACTGAACAACTGAGTACTGAGTTCAATGCCCGTTTGACGATCGTTAGATTGCGTTGAGACCCAAATCGATATGATTGGCGAAGCAACCGCCCGTAATTTCGTGGGGAGCTGAAATTGACATAGAGCCAAGTTGAATTCCATCCCACTTGGATGTCCCCTAAACCCTAAGCCCTAAACCCTAAACCCTGCTGTGGCTCAGAATTTCAAGAACTAGAGACTTGGATGTCCAACCCGTTTGCTGTGTTCTGTTGGTTTCCATATGGCTGTGGCGAATTAAAGAACTAGAGCAAACCGCAGGTGAGAGTCTTTGGTTCCATTTACCAAGGTGCCGATTTGGTTTGCATGTTTTTTTGAGCCACGGCTTTTTATGTCGAAGCTAAATCCTGGAACTCGCAGAGGACAGCAGGGTACCAACGCTTGGTGGCTCCCAGCCATCCGGTTCCTTAGCTTTTTAGCCTTTTGGAGTTTGGTAGTTTCCATTTAACCCACCAAAAGTTAGTCACTTGTAGCGTTGGATCTGAAAACGGGCAGCCCAGAACCACCAAGCGACGGAAAAGAAGCGTCGCTCGAGAGGCGGTGAAGAGGCAGAAGGAGGCTCGAGCGACTTCAGATCGGTTTTGGGGGGTCGATGGAATCGGACGCCTGAGGGCGGGTGCCTAATTTGTAGAGGGGAATTGCATGGGAAACCACCCCGGAACACCTCCAAACCACAAGGGTATGGGTCAAAATGAAACCAGGAAAATCGGACCGCAGGAACCCTGGTCCATGTTTCCATTCCAGGGCAAGCCATTTTGGTACCGGCTTTTTGAGCCACAGCCAACTTATTAAGAACTGTTTCGGGTTGATGAGTGGCCGAAGCCAAGTACAAGTTCAAGCTGTTAAAAGCCATGTCAATGTGGACTCCATTGGAAGTGTGTTGACGCGTTGTACCTTTCCGACTGCGTTTACGTTTCGGAGACATGGGGGTTGATCAGAATATCCTTTACATGGGATGACTATTGGTTGAAACACCACTAAACAGTTTTGATATTTCAACCACTAACTCGGCAAAGTGACCCATGGTCAAAAAAACTGGGGGTTCAAAGTTGGAATATTGGTCTCAACCCCCGCCCCCCCCTCCCCTGTTTTCCCCCTTCACCCTAAAAGCTTCACCCCCTTTTTCACCCCTCCAACTCCCAACCCCGCCACCTCCCCACTCCTCTACTTCCCCACCCTCCCCCCACCCCCCCATCCCCCACCCGCCCACCCCCACCCCCCCACCTCACCCAACACCCCCACCCCCCCCACCCCCAGCCCCGCGCCTTCCTCGCCCCCACGCCTAGGCAGAGCGCGTGCGCTCGGCGGAGGCCCAGGCCTGGCAGCAGGCGGAGGCGGCGCTTCAGCGCGCCCAGGCCCGCGATCGCGAGCCGATGGCCCGACGTTCTTCGGCGTCGCCTTTGTTTTCTTTGTTTGTTTGTTCTTTGTTGTTTTCTTCCCTTGTTTTGTTCTTGTGTTTCTCCGGTTTTTTTTTCCCCCCCGGCGGTGGGGTGGCGTCCGAGCCTGGGGCTATGGCATGCTCACTCCCCATGGAGTTTCTTGGACTTGCGCGATTTGTTTGGGGAGTTTCTGGGCGTTCGACTTTTGGGAGAAGACCAGTTCGGTGGTAAAGAACACAGCCTGGTGATGTTTGGTTAGCTCTTGCTGGCCAGTCCACTCAGGAAGTGAGGTTTGGTCTTTTGAGCCTGGGACCTTCCAGGCAAGTCAGTTCCTTCTACCCTAAGGCTCCACCAATGAACCCGGACCCCTCCAGGGCCCTCATGTTGAGGGCCCAAAAACAATCGGGAGCCTTGGGGGTATTTGTGTCACGGCACCAAATCGTTGACATTAGGGTGTGGCTCAAAATTTCAGGGCCAGGGTTACGCAGGTGTTGGTCTTTGTATCCATTTACCTAGTACCCATTTTGGGTACACTTTTTTGAGCCACAGCCATTGATTTCTGGGTCCCTTGGGCAACTGATCAGACTTCCTTAGGCCATGTGATCAGCACCCAACATATCCTGGGACCATGTGAGCAGATCCGGACATTCGGACATGGACCGGGGTGGGGGTCAGCGGGCTTAAGATTTTGCTTGAGAATGTGTGGAGTAGGTGGTTCTACCTGCTTGCACACGGATTGGAGTAAGACCTCTATAAACCTGTATAACCATCCTTGGGCTGAAAACGACTTCTGTCAGGGGGGGGGGTCCCTCGTTTCAGGACACACCCATGAATGTGGTGAAGCCATAAATGAGCCACTTTCCAAACACCCGGGTAAGTGAGTGCTGAAGGGTGTTTCCGCGAGTGGGTTCGAGGTAATTGCATCCTATGCTTCTTGATGGGTGGAAAGGAGTTGAAGACGATACTCTCTTGGCATGCTTGAAAAGACAAGCTGTGAAAGGGAAGGCAGTAAACATAGAAGGCAGATACTCGAATATTCATGTGGAACGGCTGAGGAACCCATTTGAAAAGGAAAAGGTGATAGCAGGTTTCCCGTTAAACATACTCCCCTTCACATGAAGATGTAACCCCGAAAGAATTGACAGTAATGTTGAGCCCATACGAATCAACCCCAGTTTGTTCAGAAGGGGGTGTCATCACTTTTGGAGGGTAACACCCCCTTAGTAAACTGGGGTTGATTAATATGGGGTCAACCGTAAATGCCAAAAGGGTGCCTCAGTTGCTTGTTCTGAGACACTGAAGGTGGCTTTGGAGAGGCGGTGAGTTTCCGTAGAAGTTTTCCGTCGAGCGCCAAGGCTGAAAAAGAGAACCTGCAGAAGACCGTGGCAGAAGTCTCGGAGAGGGATGTGTTGAAACCGCTGCTTTTGCCCACGTGCAAAAGCCACATGCTTCTCCATTTGCATTTCCCCTTTGTGCTTGTTTTCAAGGGAAACGATTGGTAACATGTCCCTAACAGACACCAGTTTAGGATGTTATCTTAGAATAAAATCGCTTAGGATGTTTTACTTATCTTCTCCGGTTTAGGATGGAGGTTCACCTGGCACCATGCAGGGCTGGGACCCAATTTTTGTGGTCGCCCCGGGGCTGGGTCCTTGAGGCCCGGGTCCTGTCCAAGCTCCGAATGGGCAAGGGTCACTCACTTTGGTTCTCTCAGTTGTGGCTGCCCCACTAAAAATTCGGTCCAAGCCCCAAAAAAGTCAAAAAAGGGTTCCCTTTTTTTTCCAGGGTCACTGAACAACTGAGTTTTGGTCTGATGAACGGAGCGCGCAAACACTGGACCAAGGAGAAGCTAAGAGCAGAGCTCGCAGCCTCTAGTGTTCCGGCACCTTGGCCGAGAGGGGGTTTGTGGCCATGCACGTGTCCTTTTTGGGACCATTTGAATGACGAACAACAAGTTTGGACTTTTTCAGGCCATTTCAAACCTCCTGAGTGAGCTGTGGGATGACGTTTGGTGTTACTATCAGGGGCTACTGGCTGTGACCACTTGTTGTAGAGTAGTCCCGTCCCATTTTGATGATAACACCCTTACAGTCAGCCCAGAGATTCGATTTCCCTGGTTTTCTAGTAGAACCAAGGGCTTGCCACCCAATGTCAGAATCGAATCACAAGGAAAATGGATGGAAGGGGTCCACTCAGAAGAAATTATCTCTGCCGTCTAGGCGGCTTTGCGTTCCTCAGGCGGAGCCGCCGGCGCCCGAGCCGGACTTCCAGCTGGCAGAGCTGCAGCAGGCAACGAATTTCGACGCGACCGGCGGAGTTTCTACCTGCCGATCTTCCATTTCTAGGTCCCCAGTAGTCCCCTGTCTCACCCCTTTTTTGGTTGGGAGGGTTCCCCGACTAAAATCGACTACGGAAAAATGGGTACCCTTATTCTAACCTCTCTACTGGAGGACCTAGTTGAGGGCTTCCTAAGGGAAACCATGGCCACGATCCGCTTTCATTTCAGCTTAAGATTTGTTGTTGTTCGTTTCCCCTGTTGGTTTTCAAGGGAATCTATCACAGCTGGAAATACGTCTTTTTGTTCAGGGAGCGTTCTCTTAAGCAAATGGAAGCGAAAGGCAAACCGATCACTCTAGGGGTTGATTCCGATTCCATTCTGTTCAACCATCGTTCTTTTCATAAAAACCGGATCGCTGTTTCCCCTGGGGTTCCTGGAGGTTCTCTGGAAAGAAAAGCGGATTTTCTGGAAAGAATGGAAATGGAAGTGTGGCCAAGCGATCACTCGTTGAGTCTTCACCTTCAGTCCCCAAAAATGGGGTCGTTCGGGGTCCAAGGCCTGAAGGCCTGGGCTCCAAGGCAGTGGTGGATCATTTGTTAGTTGTTTGTTTGTTTTTTTGGCTGTGTGGTTCACTTCATCTTGCTTCACTGTTCTTGGCGTTTTTTATTTTCCCCACCTCCCCCCCCCCCGTTTTTTACTGGGGGTCTGCAAAAACGAAGTTTTTCGCTACCATACCAAGAGTAGAGATGTTTTAGTGGGGGTGCAAAAAAGAGCGAAGGTGTTTTGCTACCATGCTCAGTGGAAAGTATCTTCCTTCTCACCTGAGTCGGACAAATAAGCCCGGCGGTTTTGTCTAAGGCATGATTCGGATCCATCGGTTTCCTCACTTTCTGAATAGGACTTGGTACCTTCTGGGAAGCCACTTGTTTTGGCCAAGCCGAGCTCAACAAACAAAATATATAAATGGATAGATCATGTGGTTGTTGAGATCGTGCAGTCCTCGTGCTAGAGTTGAGCACCTAGTTTTGCTGGTTCGGTGGGGGCGCGGGCCCTTTGTGGCACTTTTATTCTAAACGGACACATGCACAAATTAGAACGAGCTCACTGATTCGGGCGTAAAGGAAGCTCACACATGAAGATCCGGAAAGAGTGTTTCGCTTTCCGCTGTGGGAATTTCTCCCCTGCAGGTTTATGTGAAATACCATCCGTGTTTTTTGGAGAGTGGTATCAAGCAACAGCCCCTCTAGAAACCCCAACTTGCAGGAGGTATCTTTCTGTTTTTTGGGGGTTCCTTCCTACTTTGCAGGGCGGGAGTCTCCTAATTTTCCGAGTTTCAACTAGATCCCCCAGTAGTGCCCTTTCTCACCCCTTTTTTGGGGGAGGGTTCCCTTACTAAAATAGACTACAGCAAAAGAGTACCCTTATTCTAACCTCTCTACTGGAGGACCTAGTCAACCACTTTCGAGTTTCACCCCCGCACTGGTTTCGAGTTTCAACCCGCCGAAACGGCGCCTTTCTCCTTGCTCGGTTTTCAGGAGTGCGCGGCGGCGAAGGAGGCGTTGAATGTGGAGGCCGGCGGATCCGTCCGTGCGATCCGAGTCGGATTCGCATTCCGTTTGTTTGTTGGTAAAAAGGGAGGGATCCCTCAAAGCATGTACATTTAGCCGGTGAACAAAAACCACCTGCGATTTTTGTGCGGGTTTTATGGATCCTTCAAGGATCATTGAAGGAAGCTGGAGGAGGAGGGTACAACTTAACGCTGTCTTCCTGAGCGCCTGACAAGCAGTTTGGACTCGGACACTTTGTTCATCTCACTCCTTCTTTATGGCCTAGGTCCCCAGTAGTGCCCTTTTACCCTTTTTTGGGAGAGGGGTCCCCTACTAAAATAGACAAAAAAGTTGGTACCCTTATTCTAACCGCTCTACTGGAGGACCTAGTTGCTATTTGCTGGGATCTTTGGACTTTCCCTTCTTGGGAAACAGAGGGTCTTCCAAATGGCAACAGTTTGTCTGTTCTGTTTTAGTTGGGCGCGCCAGTTGGGGCAGCTGAGACCAATTTGACGTGGGTTTGTTGCAAAGGGAAGCTAACCGATAAAAAGCAACGTCTTCGCTTCCGACCTTCTCTCTAAGTTTCCAGGGAAGCCCCCCAAAACACAGAGTTCAACCGCGGCCTCCTTTTTTGTGGGGTCCCATTTTGACACATCCGTTTTGTAAGCATCCATTTGCTTAAGAGCATGTTATTTCCCTTGCTGGCTTTAGCGGAAATCCATCATAAGCTACCGGGCATATCTTGTTCCAGGGGGCTTCAGCAAATGGAAGTAAGGGACACCTTCAAAAACCCGCCGCCGCCACCGCCGCCATCGGAGCCGCCCCTTCCAGGCCCAGCGCGCCAGCGCGGCGCTGCTGAGGGCCCAGCAGGCCGAGGCCGAAGCGGCTGAGGCGTGGGGCAGTGGGGAGGTGTTGGGTGGAGAGTCGATTCTTCCACCTGCTGAAACTCACTCCCTGAGTTCATGGACTTTATACTTTTTGGGAAGACCATTTTGGTGGTAAACAAAAAGTTTGGACTTTTTTTGGCCAATCAACTCAGGAAGCGAGGAAATGAGTATTCTTCCAGCTGGAGATGAGCAGGCGACGACGAGGTGACTCTACCTGCCGATCTTCCATTTGCTTAAGGGCTAAGGGAACCATATGCCCATGCCCCACTATCATTTGCTTAGGTTGTCCCCTGTTAGTTATAAAATGAAGTTATCAGATCTGGACATATTTTGAAGACTTGCAGATCTGACAGCCAAGACGGGTGGCGTTTGTTTGCAAGGGACACAGCCCCTGCCCGTTGCGCATCTCTTCAGTTTCACTCGCCGAAACGACCTGATCCGTAGGCTGGGCGGCTAAGAGCGCAAGTGTCCGAGCTAGAGGCGGGGGAACGCAGGTCCTGTCGGGTTTTGTGGGAAGAGAAACTCCCAGACTGCGGATCTTGAGTTGCCTTTACAAGCAGGGTGCCTGTCTCAAAAGGGAGCCTCGTTGAAGTGAGAATCTCGTGATGGGATATCCTACGTTGCTTTCATGTTCTTAAGAATAGTTGTTTTGTGGTTTGTGTTTCCCTTTGTTGGTTGGGAAGCCATCACTACTGGAAATAGTTTTTGTTCTTTCTCCGGAGGACTTAAGAAGAAAATGGAAGGTTGGTCACAGAAACTGTGACTTCTACAACCATTTCATGTTTCTCTCCAAGAAACCGCCTCCGGGAAGTTTCTCCAAGTTAGCCAAACTGTGTTTTGCGGCTTGGCCAATTTTCCTGGAGACGGGTTTGGTCAGGGAAACCAAGCAGGGATACAGGGGGAACCATGGATACGGGAGGATTCCCCCCTGAACTTGACTCATCTTGACTAAGTTTGACATGGGAAACGGCAAGGGAATCCCAGCTCCCTCCGTATCCCCGCTGGTTTGTTTGTCCCATTTCTTACACAAGCAACCATGAGACACCATTTGTTGGTATTTGCACGGGAATCGACCATTCCAGGGGTTCGTCCATAGTCTCAGTTGTTTAAAGCCAAGCTTTTGACCTTTTGGTTTTCCCTTGGTCTATTAGTAGAGGTTCCAAAAGGTGATCACCTTTTGCTTGTCCCTAAGGGGCAAGTGAGTAGCTCCCCTTTGCTTCCCCAGACCCTGGCTGTTGCATCGATCGGGCTTGATGGTTTTGCCCGAGCTTCAGGCCGGCCTGGAGCTCGCCCGGGAGGCCGCGATTCAGGCGACTGGGATCTATTTGGAATCAACGCTGATTTGGGTGTGGCTCAAAATGAAGCAGGGGTTACACAGGTGGCCATGAATCTGAATAAGGGACCCTTTGGTGGACATCGTTTAGGTGGGGATTCATGTCCACCAATCACTTTTGAGGTGGCTCCTTATTAAAATCCATGGCCAGGTTGCAGGCATTGGTTCCATTTACCAAGGAGCCATTTTGGTACAGTTGTCTGACCCAAATCCATGCGAGGGAAGGCTGGTTTTGTGGTACACTGCCGCGGGTACCACCACCCTGCATCTAAGTATCTAAGCAATGCCCCCTGTGGTAGTCTAAGCGCACTGGGAATTGTGGCTGTGAGAAGTACCCAGTTGCCCAGTAGTTGTTTGTCCTTGTTTTCTGGGAAGGGTTCCGATTCCTTGAAAGTCAAACCAAACAAGGATGCCGATTCTCTTTGCCCATGGAAATCCACTGGGCATCTGAGACTAGGTTCTTGACCCCCACAGGTGGCCATGGGTCAAACCCCATGAAGCCCCAGCGAACATCCGATTCAATCCAACCACTAAAATAGGTTCTAAAATGGGTGGCGAATTCACCGAAAACCCCAAAATGGGATCCCATGGGTTTTGACAACCACCGCCAGGTGTCTCCGTTGACTTCCCATTTCGAGGCCCCCGGTGTCAGCTCGCCTTTTCGTAGGCGGATGCCGAGGCCGCCAAGCTCAAGGCGCCGGGATTTTTTCGATGGACTTGGGGAGCCACGAAAGCGACAGGGCCTTTGCATGGTTGTCGTTGGGAAACATTTGAAACATGTTTGGTCTTATTGTGGTTTAGTGGTTGAATTCCAACCACGCTTAGCTGCTAAAAGTTAATTATTTGTGCTCCCCTTCAACGTCAACCAAGTGGGCTCCCCACGCTTTTTGTTGCAGGAAGTGAGATTTGGGGTGCTTGGGCCAACTAGTTTTGCCCAATGATGCAAAAAGTGCTCGTTCCCCGCAATTCCCCACAAAGCGCTCGTTTCATGAACAATTGTTGCGTGATTTGGATTTGCACTCGTTTGCGGGTATTTGCGTTGTTTCCGCGTTTCCACGCTATATAACGAGAAGCCGCCGCAATAACCATGCGCCCGTTCCCCGAAAAACACCCGATTAGACAAATGTCTGTAACGAATGAGGTCTTGTAACCCTATTTCGTTTTCCTGGGTTTAAACAAATGCGGGCTAAAACACGCAACCAATAATACATCGGACCAGGGCGGAGTCGAGCCACCACGATATGCGTCTGCAAAGTGCGAATGCCTTGGAGATTGTAACACCTCACCCATAGGGCAACTGGTCCTGCTGTTGTTTCTGTACCTTTGAACTTGAAATCACGCTTCTGGAAAGACCAGTTTACGAGTTTAGTGGTAAGTCCCAAATGCAACATTGGGGAGCAAGTGTGTGTGTGTGTGGCTCAAGAAATGGAATCCCACCTTGAGAATATGCAAGTTGTTGTTTTTGGTTTGGGCAGGTCAAGGTCACGAGTTCCATGTTGCAACGGGCGGGCTTCACCTTTCACTCGTCCTTTGGCTTGTTGGGATTGTGCTTCTTTCCCTGCTGACTACGGAGCAAAATTCAACACTTGGGTGGTGTCTGTTTTGGAGTTGGTACACGTGTTTGGGTGGGTTTCTGAAGGGAAACCAAAAGGAGAACCACCAGTCCTCTGAAAAGAAACACCCGAGTCACACTTCAGTCAGATGGACTTGTTTTGTTTTGTTTTCGACCCACGTTTACTGCTGAAATCAGATGGGACACCTACATTCTTCCCAGAGAGGTCTGAATGGTGTTCCCTTCGCCCCAATACCACCAGTGACTTTGTTGAACGGGGATGCCTCTTGGCTTTGTGTCAACACTATTGGGAAGGTGGCAGAGCTTGGATTGTTAGGATCATCTTGCATGGCTTCTTTGGCGGCCAGGAGCAACAATTTGCACCCATTCCTTTGGCTCGTTGTCACACACTGACATACTTCTTGTCCCCAGCCCACCACTGTCAGTGGCTAAAATGCTGCCAGAGTGGTAACACACATCGACATATAACCGAGTTCCACAAGACGCACGTAGTTGGGACGGACGCGTGCATGCGACTTAGACACGCACCTGAGCGTCAATCCAGTGGTATTATTGTTTCGAAGCTGACAGGAGGGTGTTCGGCGTACCGGACCTCTCCACATCCATGATTGTTGATCTTAAGCATGACAGCCGCGTTACAAAACAAAAACAAAACAATCAAACACATGGCTTGTTTTTGTGGGTACCTTTTTTTTGTGGTTTTAAGTGAAAATCGAAAGGAACAACACACACTCTTTTTGTTTGGAGGGGGGCTGGCTAAAAAATGACACCCAATGTAAAGCTCACATTTGCAGATCATTTGTTTTCACCTCTTGGTTTTCCCCGTGATTCCAGGTCCTTGGGCAAGTGGCATAGACGTTAAGGTGAAATATGTGAAATAGGTAAGTTGGCACAGAGCTTGACAACCACCCAGGTTTTGTTACATGGAGACACACACATGGTTGTTGTTGGGAAACAATTTACATTTTGCTTGTTGTGGTTTAGTGGTTGAAATCCAACCACTTAACTGCTAAAAATCGAGAGTTTTTGCTCCCCTTCCAACGTCAACCAAGCATAGAGCATGGAGAATCATGTCAGGTTTGGGAATGTTAAATGGCTTTGTTCTAGACCTCGGCGAAAACGCTCGCCGCTCGCCCAACCGCTCGCGGCTCAACAGCTTGCAGCGAAAACGAGCCGAAGAAAGGCCATTGGCATATGAGCCGCGGAGAAAGTTAAAATAAATTTGCGCCTCAGATTAGTTTTCCTGTTTTTTTTGTTTTTCCTGGCTTAAAGCGAATCTATCACTTAAGGTTAGTTTTCTTGTTTTGTTTTTTGCTTTTTTTCCTGGTTTGAAGGGAATCTGGGGGGGCATGGAAACATGACATGTCGTTGGGATTTGATTTCCTGGCCATATCTGCACCGTGGTTGGATTGCTGGGCTTTAGAGTGGGGGAGACTAGGGATACAGTATCTTGATTCCCCCCTAAACATGAGAAAGGATTCGCTGGCTGAAGTAAAGGTGCTAATTGGGTGTCTTCGCTGGAGTTTTGAGTATGGTCTTTGGCTGCCAGCTCAATTCGTGAGTTCCCCCTGGGTAGGGAAATTAATCAATGAAGGAACATATTTTAGAGACGTTGCGCAAGAACTCTTCGAGCCAACATTGACTGCCACAGCCAACACTGTATCATCATCTCTCAACCTGCCCCCTGCTTGTAACATCTTCTTACCTTCACGAGCTTTTTATGCATTGTTACCTTGACTTTCGTTGTCACCCTGCACTCAGCCCTATCTTCTCACCCCTTTTTTGGTTGGGAGGGTTTTTCTGCTAAAATAGACAGAACCAAGTTGGCACCCTTATTCTATCCTCTCTGCTGGAGGAGCTAGGGTTGATTCACCATTCCTTTCAACCATGGTTCTTTTTTGAAAAACCAGCTGTTTCCCTGGGTTTTGGATGGTTTCCTGGAAAAGACGAATCCCTTGTGTCTGTGGAGGACCTCGCCAAGACCCAACTTTCAGTTCAAAGGGCGCCCCTGTTCAAAGGGCCGAGCCTCGAGAACCCACGGACACCTTCCGCAACATGCGGCAAGATGCAGCCGGCGACCCGCACGCCAGGCGCGAGCGAGTGATTTGCGACCTGCGTTGCAGTTGGTCTGAAAAGTCTCACCCAATGATTCCATTTCCCTGGTTCTCTGATTCATTTTGAAATCCAAACAATAGTGTCTATCAGTCAATCTACCTTTATCATTCAGGTCAGTCTATTGTTATTCAATTGTCCAGGACAAGTACAAAGTCGTCAAAGAAGTTCTATGTGACCAACAGGAACATTGGAAAGGATTGCCTACTAGGGATCGATCCGCTGGGTCAGAGAGCAAAGGATCAAAACATGGACCTTTTGTACACACCGAGCAAGTAAGGAATATTATTCGGGCTGTTTTCCAGCAAAGCACCAGCCAATTGGGACTTAGCCAGGAAGTGGTGAGCCTAGTTGGTTTATGTTGTTTGATTGGGGATTTTGGAGGGATTTTGAGGGAATTCATCGGGTTGTTCAGTATTGAGCTTTCCAGGGCTAGCCCCCCGAATGGTCTCCTGACTTTCTTGGTATATTTGTAAAGCCACCATTTTGTCCCAAATGAAAAGTCGATAGGAGAAGCGGACAATAGGGCATGTTATGTTTTGAACGGAGCCCTAGCTCGAATTTGCAGATTGGGGGGGATCCGTGTTTGATTTGTTCCATCGTCTTTTTTTTGGCACTACTGTCAGGCCCTTTAGGTTACAAAAAGATGGTGCTGGTTCCAATCATTTATGTTTGTCCACAGTATATGTTTGTCCATAGTGGCATCTATGTTCCCTCTTTGATATCCAAATGAGCCACAATCAAAACCCGGGTAGATGAAGGTTAGTAAGGGACGATCCCAACCATAAATAGCTGCGGCCGCCTTCTTATTTCTTTACATGGTTCTGGGTAGACCATGTGTGTACCGATCGGTTTTGATTTTGACTCAACTGAGGTTTGCTGGACTCCCCCGCGCTAGCCCCAGCGCAGGTTTATTCGTGGAAGACCCTCACAGCGTTTGCAGGGCGGCAAAAGGCCATCCTGGTTGCAAGCTACCACCCAGCTTACCTGAAGGTAAAACGAGCTATCCACTTCAGGATTCCTTGTTTCCACATTGCGAAGAATACACTGCCTCAGTCTAACATGGAAGCTCCCAGGCCTTTGCAGAGGTAATAAGTATTTGCCCACTTTCTTCCATTTGGTTCAGTTTGTTTTTCTATTTTCCCCTGTTGGTTTTAAAGGGACATGTTCACCACTGGATTTTTTTTTCCCAGGGGACTCCAGCAAATGGAGGCTTTTAGTTGACAAAAAACAACCCGGAGCCTGGAAAACCGGCCTTCCATCGGGGAATGGATTCGGTTTCGATTGGGGAGACTCGGGCCTTAGGACGGCAGCCGGCAGGACCGACCTGGTGATTTGGCCCATGCTTATTGCCCAACTCGTTTTTGCTTCCCCACGCAGTAGCATCAAACTCCCTCCAAAGAAAGGGGTTCTACAAAATGAGTTGGATTCTTTAATTACTTAAACGGATTTGGGGGTGCGTTACACTCCCCCGGAAAATTCCATGGAAGCTCCAACAAAAAACCCAAAATGGAAGACTTGCTTCCAGGTGTCTTTTTTGGTAGGTTGCTGAAAATATAGAGGGCGATTCCTGGTTTACCTGGTGGTTCAATCATCTACCAGGGCCCATCTATTTCCCCTACAAGGGCACCTATGGGAGCGTATTTCCAGTGCCCTTCGGGTCAATTGCAGGCTCTGGCGCCAGCCCCAAGGCGGGAGAGGATTCCTCGAATCGGCGATTCGACTTCGGGGCTGGCCCCCCTCGTGAGGTCCAAAGGAGAGATTCATTTCCCGGTGTGCAGCATCCTTTCGCTAGCGTAAATCCACACCAGAAATTCAGAATGCATGTGGTTTGCTCAGTTGTTCAGTGGCTCCAATTCTTTTTCCCTTTTTGTTTGGTGGCTGCCCCACCAAAATGGTCCAAGCCCCAAAAAGGGGATCCTCTAGGAAAAGACCCCTCCACTAGCCTTAGCCCAAACTTGCCTCTTAAAAACACCACTTTTCTCAACTTCTTGGGTAACATGGGCTATATGTCTGTAAAAGATTAACTTCCCCAGGGCTTGAAGTTTTAAGGGGTAGGAACAAATTCAGAATGCATGTGGTTTGGGTGCCGGTGTTCACCTTTCGTCCCAGTCTTTGACTCTCGTTTCCCCCGTGTTTCGAGACCCGCAGAAGCTGATCGGCTGGCATCACTTGGATCATCCCACTTTGGCTCTGTTGCTCAGTGGATTTCCTTTTTTGGCTAAGAGTCTCCCTTCAAAGTCAACCAACCAACAAAAGGTGCCCCGTTTTTTTTCTCATGGTCACTGGGCATCTGAGCTGGTATCACACGTTGGATCTTTTCCACGAAAGGAATCTCATTTCATTCCACCTGCGGTGCTTTTCTTTTTCTGCGATCTGTGGGGAATGACCGAGATGTGGGTGTCGGGAATGAAGCCGGGGATTCCCGAACGTCATGCCCCGATTCTCTGCCGAGAACCCGCAAGTTGAGTGTGTCTTTAAAGGCGTGCCCTGGGGTTTTTATTTCCCAATAAACCAGGGGGGTTGAATCTGCCCAGCATTTGCCTAAGGGGTGCTTACTAGGGAGCTCACTTCCTAAGTTCCTGGGCTTCAAACTGTTTGGTCAGACCATCTTAGTGGAAAACAACATGTTTGGGCACTTCTTTTGGGCCATCCACCCCCGGGTTTTGGAACCCACGGGAGCTTTCGCCAGAGGTGAGGAGCCTTCTGCAGCGGCTGAAGAACAAACGCATCAGCAACGCAGAGGCCGGTGAGAACATCGATGGTTTCGCCGAGTCAGCCGCCGGCTTTCTTTGGATGTGTTTTGACGACGGTTGGGAACTGAAGTTTGTTTTTTGTTCCAAGTCGCTGCTGGTTGTTTTGGAGGTTTTTTGACGGTTGGGGGGCGCTACCATGGGGCTAGGTGTCCCTTTGAAACCACGAAGAAAAGAGGGCTGCCATCATGTTGGATTTTGTTTTTAGGTGTGTTGTGCTTTTGTGGCTTTGTTGATGTTTTGCAAGGGGTTGCAAAACAAAACAGTTTGTTGCTTCTATGCCAAGGGTTGGAAAGAGGTTGTCCTGCTTGCTTGTGTGCTTCTCTCTTCGACTCGCTTGTTTGGCGCTTGCTTGGCATGCGGGGTGTTTGCTTTTTGTGTATTGTGTCAACTAGTTGTCTGTTCCAACCAATGCAGGGTGTCTAAACTTGCTTTCGGTTGTGTCTTAAATTGAATATACGTCGGAGCTCGGTTTCTCGCCAAATCGTGGACTCTCAATGGGCTCCGAGCCGGTTCCCCATGAGAGTGTCCTCAAATGGATCGGTGTCTTGTCGTTTTCGTCCTTTTTGTCTGGTTGAGTCGCTCAAACCGCGTAAAGGGCGCTTTGTGAAAATGGGCCTTTCAGAGGACACCACAAGTTGAGGATTTGCTCAGGTCTGAGTCTGGTTCACTTCGTACACCCGAACCTAGCAGCAGGAAAGCAGGAAACCACTGATAATTTTTGCAAGGGAGGTCTGGGTTCCCCGCGCGAATGGGCGGCATGTCTTTCACTCGCAAGGCACCCCCCAAAATGGAGTGAAGTGCCTCAAGGACCCTCAAAGACCCCATAAATTGTAAAAGCAATCTTGGGATTTTAAGGCCCCCAGGACCCGCAAAGACACCATACATTCTATTGTCTCCCGACCTGCAAAATAAGGACCCGCAAAGACCCATTAATTCAAACATCTTGAGTCTTG